CTGTAAATAAAATAAAAAAAGAAAACAGATACAAAGAAAATTTTCATTTTAACTTAATTTTAAGAAAGTGGCAGACTGATATAACGCATAGAGACACGCGGCAATTAAAGAGATTTGACTGACTGGCGCTTGAAGTGCATTTTCACCAAGGACTTATCAATGAACAAATAAGTCCGTTGCAGATCTTGTGACATTAAAATCCCCCTTGTGTAAGAAGTCTAAGAACCTGCATTTTTTGAAGCCTGGCAAAAGAGGTTCTTGTATTTTGTGGTAGTTGTTGGCAAATTAGCCTGCAGTAGGCTTACGAAGATCTTAATTTTTATAGCGGGGATTGTTTTAGGGTAAGGGTTAGACAACTACATATACGTGGGTTTGAACCTGTTTTTACTTTACATTGCAAGCCCCCTATATGCAGGGTCCTCTCCATGTTGGACTTTATATTTGTTGTAGGAATTACAGTAACACTTTTATTTGTAATGATTACAGTTTGTTACATTATTTTCTGGTAACTGTAAAGTGCAAATCTCCTTGGTTTTACAACGTTTTAATCATAGCGAAGCTCAAAGTGCCTTGGACGGGCGAGCGGAGAAAATTTGGTTATAACGTCAGCGTACGACCTCTTGTCCGTACAGACGCTATGGGAGAGGGAAGGGAGTCAAACGTCAGCCCATCGGGGGAGGAGTATGTTATAGCTGAAGTGAAATTTTCTATTTCAAGGAGCTCGCTCGTTTCGGCGGTAAATCACAAGGCCGCCCGGACTTTTAGAGAGAAAAAAACAAAAAGACAAGAGTCTTTCTTTCCACTAAATTTTAATGTCTACCTTAACTTAGAGAACAATTTCGTTGGAGGAAAAACGTGAAAATTATATAGCGGCGGTTAGAAATGAGAAATGCTAGCGGCTACCAAAATGAAAATGAGCGGTATTGAAAACACATAGTGAACAGGAACATAAACATTTCCTCCATAAAACGTGTAAATAGGAAGTTAAAAGAAGTTTCACATTTTAGTCGTTCAAAACAACGGCAAGGAAATGTACAAAAAAGTGTGCTGCACGAGCAAAGTTGTTTTTTTGTTAATTAGAAAAAAGTGTGCTGCACGTGCAAAGTTGTTGTTGTTGTTGTTTCGCTAGTTAGATCTATTGTTGTTGTTTTTTACCTCTCGTTTTCTTTAGTATTACTCTATTTTATATTTTTTTGAGGAAGCTACAAATATTAAAGAGAGCTTCGCTTTTAGCCCTGGCTAAATCTATATTAATTCAAACTCTAACCAAGAAAAAGTATTTATGAACCAGCGTGGCATGTCCTGCTTGGCTAAGGCTTATATTTTTGTACATTTTAAAAAGTGGCAAATTTCTGCCAGCAGGTTCTTAAACCACTTGGTTCTTACATGCTGGTTTTTACTGTATTAGAAGTCAGGGAATTATAGGCAGGTGCACCATTGATCCTAAAACTCATGTAAAACTGCCCTGGTATTTGGTGGTTTCAGCCAAAGGTATAGCCGCAACTGATCACATTATTTGTTTACGTGAGAGCAGATTCGGTGAGTGTGTCTAATTTCACTAAGCAGATAAGAAGGTGCTATTCCACTGATGCTTGTGTAGTCAAGGAAAGACTTAAGGGAATTACGGCGTGCTCGCAGATGTAGGGCCGAGACAGTTCGTCAAACTTAACAGCACTGCTCTCTATTACACATGCAGCAAGCCGATTAAGCTTGTCTCTAAGTAAGATTTATTACCCTGGCCACAGCTATCTTAGACGATCATTCAATAGTCAAATAAATGCAGTACCATTGTGTTATGTAATGTAATATATACAAGCAGACTCTGGTGGGACTTTTTGAAAGCGAGGCAGTTGAACTAATCTAGAAGAAATCTCTTTACCCATTGAGCTTCCATGCTCTTTGCAAGACAACGATTCATGCATAATTACACCAAGGTATATAAAAGTATCCACCCTTTCTAAACTGGTGTTGTCTGCCATAACCGAAAAATAGTCAAGGGCGTTACGCCTCTGGTGAGACCTAAATCACTATAAATATAAATATAAAGAAGTTAGAAAGAAACCATTCTATTTATCTATCTTGATCCGCTTGATCCGATGAGAGCCTAGACTCAATTTCGCTAACAGATTTACCACCGGAAAAAATGAGCGTATTAGCGGCTTAAAACTCTACGCAACATGCTCGTACAGTAAGCAGAAGATCATTGATATACATTATGATGAATAAGAGTGGGCCCTAGAAGCTACCTTGAGAGATGTGAAATTTACACTCTGATGCGTTGGGTTCGGCTGGTTAGGTAAGAGGAGGACCATTGTACGGCGGAACGATTAAGACCGAAAAGTGATAACTTGTTAAAAATACCATTTTGGTCTATAAAGACAAACACCTTACTAAGTTAAAAAAAAAAAAAAAAAAAAAAAAAACAAGCCCAGTAATATCGATGATATGAGGGAGGGTGTTAGTTACATGCGTGGGACAAGCAGAAGGGGGTGAAAACTAGATTGGTGCGAAGATAGAGTTTATATTCTTGTAGATATTGTGGACCATGTTGTAAAGAATCTATCCAGTAAATGAAGAAATTTCTTTTGGCAGCGAGTTGTTGGTTATGTGAGAAATAAACTACGTATTTCTTCGATGGCGAAAACACTCTAATCACGCTGACGTCGATCCCATTTACTCTGGTTTTGTCCTGATTCCGAGCAACTTTCCAACTGGGCGGGTGAATTTCATATTGATCGACAAGGTATCTTAAAAAGAGTGTGGTATCATCTGCATATGGTCAGGAATTATAGCTTTAATGTATTTCTCTCATGAAATTAAGTTCTTTTGAACTCAGTTTCATGGCATTTCCAAAAAATTTCGACGCCATAAACAAACAAAGCTGAATAGTGAACCTCTACACACTACGCTCACCCTATTTTTCTGATTCGAGTCGGCAAAATAGGTTAATCTGGATCAACACAAATTACTTGAACTACATGTAGTGTACCCGCGCCATACTCCTACTAAAAAACGTCGACCTAAATCTGTGTTTCTACCTCCATGGGCTTATTTCACTCGGATGTTAAGTACTCACAGCAACAGCAAGCACTCGCAGCCTGGTCAATTTTAGATGTTTTTGTCGATGTCAACGATAAACTGTTCTACAGGTTTACAAGAAATTGATAACTGGATAAAAGATGAGCACATAATTTAAACTGCTGACGTGACGTGTAGCATGCAGACTGCGAACAAAATGTTTATTCAAAAATAACAAACGGGCTCTGAATCAAACCTTGTTTCAGTGATTTTTAACAATATGGAAAAAAAAATAAAGAAATCTTAAGAATTTTAACCAAATTTAATACCAAAACTCTTCGTACATGTTTTCTGCCTCAAAAATCGTTGTAAACATTGCAACTTATAAACAAAGTATGGAATGTAATTAACCATAAGTAGGTTGAGTATGATCGTCCGGGTGAACGTAGTCCTGAATAGGACTGTTGTTGTTGACAGTGACTGACGTTTCGACAACCTGTGCGATAGTCATCTTCAAAGTGAGTTGTATCACGTCAGGGGATGGTATTTAACTCTGATTGCTGACAGACCCGATTGGACAATAAGTCGCGATATTATTGGTCGTTTGTCAGTTAAGCCTTAATGTTATTGCCTATGAAGACTCACACTGTCATGGGTGCGTTTCGATCCGTCTTTTGTCACAGTTAAACAGTCGTTCATTGTTAGTCAAATTGTCAGTTGTCCAGTCGTTCTCTCGTAGTCAGTTTTGCTTGATTCCGTCGATAAGTAGTTTGTACGGTGCCGGTAACTGTTGACTACGATTCCGTGGCGTTTGTTCTAAGTTAGTAAACCAGCTTCTAAAGTGAGTCGTTGATAGTAGTCTGTAGAATACGTAATACATGTCGCAGAGTGACCAGAGTCCCAGTCGATTTAATTTTTCGTCCGTACTGTAAATTCGATAACGTATTTGGATATATTTAAGGACTATATGCTGTGTACAGCTGAACATTGTACTCTGAGATCGCGTAAATCTAAACTGTACGGAGATATTACATACACCTAAGATAACAGAAGCTATGGAAAGTTACCATATTTTGAGCAGACATATCCTGTTAAAAACGGGCAACAAATTCAACAGGAAAACGCCCGAACTGAATTAGTTGTCTGTTGTACATTAAAGGCTCTGCTCAACACATTTTTTTTTCACTCATGAATGCTTATTTTCTCTTGATGAACAGCAAAAGGTGTATTACATTGACCGAGGCCGAACGTGCCACGAGGCATGAAGAGGTAGGTGAAGGTTTTTCCTTCATCTATTCATTTATTTTTCGTGGCTCGCTAGCGTATTTAATTATCATTTGATGCAAGTTTTTCTTCCTTATCATTGGCCGAGAGCTCCGGCACCACGTGCCCTGCAAATGACTCCCCAAAAATGATGGTCTGTTCACGCGCAATGTCGTCCAACTATGTTTAGCTGTTTGGCTGCAAATATTCTGCTCACGCGCGAAATAAACTACACTTTCTCCTTCTTGCGATCGCTCTTGCGTGGAAATGGGAAAATTTCACAAGACAGGTGTTGCACTTAGCCTCGTTTTGAAAGTGAGGGTTTTGGAATTCGGAAGAGGCGTATTACGTTTCATTTCAAGTTGCACTTTGAATCGGTAAAACACAGTAAATCTAGAAATGGCTAAATCACCCGAAGTACATAAGACTAGGTAAAAACACGCAGAATTCTAATCGGGCGATATTTGTTTAATCATAGTGGTTTAATGTCCTAACAATTTCAGATTTGTGAACTTATGATAAAATGAATTCACTTCTGGCTGACATTGTAGCCAGTTACAAGTATATTTGTATTTGTTACTGCAACCATTTCATGAAATGGTAATTAGATCGCGAAAAAAAAAGTTGATTTCCTAATCTTTTCACCCATTCTAGAAAAAAAAAAAACAAACAAAACTTGCCTTTGGTAAAAACTTCCAAAACAAAGAAAGAACAAAAAATAGAACTCTTGCAGGAGAGATTATATCCGGATGGCCACCCCGCAGGAATTTCATTAAAAGACTCAAGAAGGCCATGTTCGCACTACGACAAACGTTTGCAAGAAATGTGAAAATTTTGTAATCACCAATTTTCTGTTTTTGCAACCTTGTTCTCATCTGAGACACGCGAAAGGGACGAAGGATAGCTTAGCCTGCGTAGCTGGCGGTATTGTGTGGGTGCGAGATTAAAGTTTTGGCGGCGGAGCCGTGTTCCATAAAAGGCAGTAGGGACGAGGCAGTTGAAATTTCTCGCGGCTTCGCCGCTCGTGACGGCTCCGCCGTCAAATCTCACTCGACTACTACACAATGCCGCCAGTTATGCAGGCTAAGGATAGCTTTAACGGAAAAAAGGATTTTGTCGCCTGACAAAAAATTGTACGCCTCCAAATCTTCTCGACGACAGCTTTGAAGTTTGGTGACAGCTGAGAAAATTTTGGTAGGTGGAAAAATCGTTCGCACTAGAAATGGCTTGCTGTTGACAGATTTTTTTGCATAACAAACAAATTTTCCTTAGAGCGAACAGGGCCTTAGATCACGTCGAAGTAAAGTATAATAAACAGCACCACGGGAAAGTACTGCTTAAAAGCTTTCACTTGAATGGAAACGCTTCATGATTTATATTGAACAAACTAACGAAACTGTTTGACAATGATCATATCGCAAAGTAAGTAATTAGGACTCTGATCGACGGCTAAAAGAACAAGCAATGCTAAACCTGTAGCCTGCGTGTGCGTGGCAGGCGTTCGAATGGGATGTGGAAGGGAATTTGGGCGCGAGACCGCGCTCCAGGGAGAAGGGAGGAGGGGACCGCCTCTCCCTCCTTCCTCGCGCGTCCCTCGCGCCAAAAATCCCCTTTCCCTTCCCTATCGAACGCCTGCCACGCAAGATACTAAACCCGTTGTAACAAGAGTTGTTTGGAATCTTCCCTGACAACACCCTCAGGAAAATTCCACGACAGAGTGATAAATATATTCAAAAGTCAATCATTATTATTGTCTCTTCATGCTCTCAATAAATTATTTCAGCACGGCGAGTGACGGCAAAGAAAAGAAATTATAGTCACACTGGCACCGTACTTCTTCAACAACGGGTTCTCGTGATTCAGTCATTTCTTGTCTTCTTGGCTTTCACTATCTCCTAGTAATTCCATTCTTGCCGCTTCTGGAAGGTGCAGAAACAATGGACTTCGAAGAACTTTCAAATCTTCCTCAATTTTAGCGATGGAATTCTTGATATCGTTGTATCTTCTCACATCCAAAGATTTCCTTTTGGAAAATTTGTGGAAAAACAGTAGAAACTGCCTATCACGCGCATCAGGATAAAGAAATTCCTGCAGAAAAAGTAGAATAAATTAAGCATAATCTTTTAGTGCAGATCATAACACAGAACGGTTGTAAACAATCAGTGTAGCAGATATACGACAAATGTTACTTTCAGCTGTCATCAGTAAATATTTCTTTTGTTTTTGGATATCCCCCAAATAACAAACAAACGCCATTTTCAATAAAACACATGGAAAGTGGCACGTTTAGAGCGGTGATGCAAGGGATGCGAGGGACGAAAGAAATTACGTTTGCGCGGGGTCCTCAGCTAACTTGGTAGTGGTTTTGAAATCTTAACTTAGTATTCGAAAATCGAATTATATTTCAATATCAAACCCCTAATTCTAGTGCAGTGCTAACCTGTCACGTACGATCATCCTCGGTCCCTTAACTATCACTTCCCATGGAAGTGGATACTTTTTCGCACATGGATGCAAATAGTTTCAGTAGCTTGCCAACCCAACGGCTCTTTTACCTTGGCTGATACATATATATTTTAAGTATACAGTCGACTCTGTCTTAACGGACACCTCTATAAGACGGACACCTCTTTAAAACGGACACGTAGAGTTGGTCCCTGCCTTTCTTTACTCCCTTTATTTGACTCTCTATAAGACGGACACCTCTCTAAGACGGACACTTATTGCCGGTCCCAAAGGTGTCCGTCTTAGAGAGAGTTGACTGTATTTCCAGTATATTCTGTTTTAATATTAATACGAGTACTGCATTATTTCAGTAACAATAATGTTGTTTTTTCCTATTATACGGCGTTAGTTGTTTGAAAGGCAAAGATCCATCAGGTGAAAGCACTTCTAATAAACCATTATTATTAATACCAGTAATAGTTGACACTACTGTACACCTGCCCCCGCTCTGTATGCTGTTGGTCAATAGTATTCTTGCTCGTTGTGTAACTCTTTGAAATATACCGATTCATAATGAAGATTAACACACATATTCCATACAAAAGGTGAGACAAAAAACAGGAAACGCGAGGTTCCATACCCTGATTCAAGTCGATTTACACAGCTTTGATCAAAACATTCTAAACTATAAGAAAAGATTTGATTAGAAGTGTTAATTTTTCGCTATTTCTCTTTCACTTTTTACATACAGTTCATTTTATTAGCCGGAAAGAAAGCCTTAGAAAATAAAAGGTTTCATCAATTCACGCTCGCGCTACCCTGCGAACACTAGAGGTTTCTCTATTAGCGTTAACGAAGTCGTTTGCGTCGGTTGTCATTCACGTAGTTGGTCTTTCAATTATCCATGCATAAACCAACTGGGCAACAGACAAGCCACGTGAACTACTTCGTACACGCTGAATGCAATGAAAGAGAGAAACTTCCACTCGCAAGGTATGCCCGCGCGTTTTAAATGTAGTCATTCTTTTTAACTATTTAAAGACAATAGTTCAGAAAAAAAAACGTTATAGAAGGACATCTGTGAGCAGGGAATAAGTTAGCACAGAATTTATTTGCCGGTGAACTTCTGTATTGATTCACTTGTTTGCATAGGGAAACTTGCTTGCTTGTGGGGTAAGTCTTATTCCCCGAAAGTGATTTGTGTCTTACAAATCGTTTCCAATCAAAGAATTGTGAATGATTAATTCGTGTCTGGCAAACTCTCCAAGTGTTTGTATGTATATAATTATACAGTTATACGCCCCCTTATAACTTCATCCGCGCTTAATGAGTGTCTTTTTATGGTCCATAGCTTTCAAAACAACTGCTCCACAGAATGTCACTGAACACACGTAACGCAAAAGAGTATCGAAGTATGACTGTACAATAAGTGTCACAAAATCAATCTAAGCGGACCCTTCGGGCATTTTCTGTTTCATGTCATCCTAACCATTTCATACTTGCGGGCGCGAACATTTGAAACGTCATCATTACCAAAAGATTCCTTGAGGGCCCCCGATCAAGCAAACTGTAAGTACTTTTCTATATATAAGAGCAAGTTGCTACGATGCCTCCTCGGGATTTCGCCCGCTGGGCAAAATCCCTGCGGGGGCAATTATTATTATAATTATTATCATCATCATATCATCATTATTATTACAAAAACAAATAAACTCTTCAAACTGTCAAATTGAAACCCTGAGAAAATAACCTCAGCAAGGATAGCGACGAGAGCTTGCTAGCAGACTATTATAGCATTATAGCTTCATTCAGGGTTGGCGCTCTTTTGAGCTTTTGAACTGATTCCATGACTTTCCATGCCTTCTTCCATAAACGTTTAAACTTTTCCATACCCTTCGGTTACACTGACACTTTCGAAAGTTTCCCTTACTGTAGGGTACTTTTGACCTACGTAACTCAGTTCAACAGACACAAACTTTGGTGTTCATCAACAAAATGCAAAATTCATGCCGTTCACGCTGTTTATTTTTAGTGTTTTCTCGCGCCTATCTTTTTTTTTTTATTACTATTGTCCTTGCTTTGACATCTGCGGTAACTAAACTACCAAACATAAATTTGATTTTCAGTGTGGAATGTTCGTCTCAGGTATATTATGGGATTTAATAACCTCTTTAATACCTGTCTTGTCAATACGAAGTAAGCATAAGCTGCCATCGCTGTCCCATATCCTACAAAATATGTCACAGGTTCCATGATATCCCATGAATACTCCCACCAGGTCAAACGAGCGAGTAGACCAAACTGAAATGCCATAAATCCCAGACCTCCCCACACCACAGCAGTGGTCCGCTGTGCAGATCTGTGATCAATTTCTGTTTTGAGGTCTTCTAATGGTTTGAGCTCCAGCTGTAGTTTTTCTAGCTCTTGCACAAGGTAACGCTCTTTTTCCAACTGCAACAAGAAAAAACATGATGGTTCTTGACTAATGCACATTTACTCAAGTTAAAGGTCAACCTTATGCTGCATATTACAATTTGAAGTGCTACAATAGATCAATATTAATTTATAAGAATTTATCACTTACAACAAGTAAAGTATGCTCTCTGATTGGCTAATTGACTACTCATTTACTATTTATCCATAAGTGAATGCGTGTTCAAAGCTGTGCGCATCACTTTCTTTGCGACTATATTTTGTTTCTACTTTGTACATGTAGTTTGCAGAGGTTTTGTCTTAATACCAAGAGGAAGTTGAAAACATTTTAAAAACATTAAAATGTTATAAACAGAGAACATTTCTTTTGAAAAAAAAAAACCTTTGCAAACAATGATTTGCACACATTGTAGCTCGCACAAACGACAACACTCAAGTCATTCGCCTGCTATCTGTGAGCAAAAACTTTAATTTGTTCTCTTTTGATTATTATAAAAGAAATAGTAAATGTTGTAGCTGTGCAACCAACCATCTAGTAATGGATGTTTTAAGGTTCAATCCTATCCTTGGTTTAAATTTCATTTCCCTTTCTTTTAAACTCATTCTGATACATTACCACACCAAAAAACAAAGGGAAATAAAATTTAAACCAACTGAAGGATAAAATTGAACCACAACAGATGCACTTGGTAGAACTTGGCTATGCCTTGAGGAGTACATGCAAACTCTTATGATTTGACTTTCATTTCTAGCAACATTTCATTTGTATCCACAACTCAATGGCGACATACTGGTACAGCTCACACACATGACCACGACAATGAGCACAGTCTGTTTTAATTCACAGCAGGTGTCCTGCCATTGTCTTCAATTATTAAATAAGATTTCAGCAATAAAAAAGTACAAGATCTTTCTGGGCAAACCTGATTGATATAAATGTTATATATGTAACACTTGAGTTGTATAAAGAGATCAAGTTGTAACAAGACATTGTTCAGTGAAGTCGTAATTACCCTAAAATAATGCTACAGGGGCATATTTTCAATTTACTAACATGGTGGGAAAGGTTGTCAGCTTGCGTTCACATTCTTAAAGATTAAATGAATAAGAAAACTACCTTGTTTTTAGAAAAAAGGTAGCTTTTCAGCCCAAGTTGCATCAGACTAGCCCAGATTACTTATAAACAGTAACTGATATATATACCTGGTGTTCTTCTATATTCATGGCACTGTATAACTGATGCACCAAGGTTTTGACATGTGCAACTGTCCTAAAGTCATCAATAGGAGGCTTGCCTAAAAAACAAAGTAGTTGTTTTAGTAAAGAAAGAAGCTCGATTAAAATGATTTATTAAAAAATTCCATTTCCAAGTTACCCTAGGGCTATTTTCAAAGTGAGAAAGTAGTGTGGGGTCCACACCTAGGCGAAAAAAATAATTTTTTTTATTCCCATGCAAATCAAAAGATTTCCACATGAAAAATAACAAACTTGGCCTTATTTTTAAGGTGAAAAAAGAGACTCTGGCTTTTCCTGTTAGTGAAAACACAACTATTACTGCAAATATCATTTTGTTTCCAGCACTTAATTCTGAAATCCAAATTCACAAAAATGACACATGTCAGTGATCTGCTACATTTCCCAGGGCTTGAAAGAATGGTCAATCAATGCACAATGTCTGGTCAAATACTTGTGGATGACTGGAGAGATTCTCAGGTTCTCAAATCAAGAACTTTTATAGGATAAATGATTCATAATCATGGTGGTTTATCAATTTCTGGCAGTTGACAAATTTACTTGTTTGATATTAAACTTCACATGGCTGGGGAAGGTCAGAAATAGGTTTGATCGAACGACTTGATTGGGGCAAGCCATTAAATTACTTCAAGCACTGCTTCCACAAAAATTTCATAATGCCCATTAAAAAGAAATAAAAACAAAAAAGATTATTTTATGACTACTTACTTTCATCTGGGACAGATACATAGTAAGACTCGTCATTCAGTACCAACTTAAAATTTGCCTGCAGTAAAACATCAACACCCGTGCTTCCAGAAATTCTAGAGCCATCTAAATTGTATGCAGCTGCTCTTTCTATTCCCTTATCTTCTGCTTGTAAGTCTTGAAGGAAATCTTTTACTGAGTGACTCAGTGGACGGAGAGTAAATTCACATATTTCCTTTCGAGATGGTAACGGGACAGAAATGACAGGGAAACCACACTTGAAGGTAACACCAACTTTATCTAGGATTCACAAGAAATAAAATGAATGCATTGACCTACTTTTCAGTATGACTTGGTATTAGTAAAAGGGAAAACACGCTCTATTCTGGATAAAGAGGTGTGAAAAAATTTAAAAATTCTCTGTTTTTAATGTAACATCATAGTGTCAACTGAGAACTGTGTAATGGTAATATTATAATAACTAGGAGTTTCAATTTGAAAGTAAGTGCTGTCGTCAGAGCTGGAGGACAAGACAGAGAATTCAGCTTGAAAATAAATGAAGTGAAGAAACTGAAAATGACTCCTGGGAATTAGGGTGGGTAAGCCTTTTTAAAAGAAAAATATGTTATTTCTGTGTATTTGTGATGTATAAAAGGGGAAAGCACTTTGAGTAAATTTTCCGAGTGCAAGCAGATGATAAACGAGGCCTGAGTTTCTAGTGATTGCTTGTTTGTATTTTTTAGATTTCTTCATTTGCCCATGGAAATAGTTTAATCGAGGTCACGAATGATTAATTGATGAATCTTGAGGAAGAAGAGAGAGGAGGTACAAAGAAATCAATGCAAGGGTATTAACAAGTTTAATGTGATGCTTGAGAAGAAATCGTTTGACTCAAAGGTTTAAAAACAATGGACCCGATGGTAGCCTGCATATAGCAGGCGCTTGCCAACACGACATTCAACTCAACAGTTGAATGGTTAGCTAGGGGTTTCAGCTTCACGAAGATTGATACTCATTTTGAATCCATATGGCTCCAAGCTCTTCTTTTGTCTCAACATACAAATGTGCCTTAAAGTCAAATAATTTTTATCAGCTGAATTATTTTCAACCAGCACAGATTTTGACACAACGATCAAATTCAACAACTCAACAGGCAAAGAATACTTTGATTAACTGCATGTGGTACTGAAGTCGCTTTAGATGCAAAGCTGGTTTGCTTCGCAACTTTCCTCTCTTTTCACCTGAGACTAGAGGGCTAGAGTCGGCAGTTTACTTTTAACAGAAGAATTTTTGCCTGGCACATCACTTCTGCTGAATGCACGAAGAAAAAACTACTTCCATGAAGGAGCATATGATCAATACCTTTGCACCTCCACTTATTCACAAATCAGCAAATAGAGCAGCCAAACATATGTAAATCTCTCGTCTTCCTTGAGATTCACCACTAAAATGTTCTGGATGGAGACCTTGCATGGTTAATATTTCCACAAGAAAATAAAGACATCTAGCAAATAAAAAAGGGATTACTAACGGTCACCTTGTTTATAATCTGCTTATACTCTGGAAATTTACTTGAAATCTCTCAATCCCATCCACGTGTGTTTACCGTGATGTCATCGCACAGGAGTGAATACCACAAATAAGAACAAAACAAATTGCCTGCGCATGCTTCTGATCTTACATCAGACAAATTTTGGCTATTTTCCGCTATTGTAGAGAATAGTGAACTGACTCACATAAGGCTCGCCAGCAATAATAATAACAATAATAATAATAATAATAAAATAATAATAAATACACTTGTAGTAAAATAATTTTATGAACTTATTGTTTGCAACTTAACATGAGAATGATCAGCTGCACATTACAACTGCATTACATTTCAAGAGACAAATAAGAGAAAATAAAAAAATAATATTAATATAAAAAATACATATGCACGAGAAGTAAATAAAAATAATAAAATCCATCACTAATACACAGATCTAAAAGGATAAGCCTTTAGATGCAACATAAAATTATTGAGATTTGTAACTGCACAAAGCTCTTTGGGAAAGAGAGTTGCAGAGCATGGGTGCTTCTACCTCAAAAGCTCTTCTAATTATGGTAAAAGATGCTTGATCCTTCTGACAAGTCCAAGTTGCTGATTTTTCTTGCTCATGATATTTTTAACATGCTCACCCCAGAACAGATCTTCAGTCAGTGTTACACCAAAATACTTAAAAGAACTTACTTCTTCAAGTGGACTAGGGTTTATACAGATCACAGAGCCAGTGCCTAACGACTTTACGCAGCGTTTACTCCCAAATAGAAAATTTTTTGATTCAAAACAGTTAAGGGTAAGGAGATTTGATTGTAGCCAAAGTGAAGCAGATTCAAGCCTTCTTAGACTGATTTGGCAGAATCATAAAATCATAAATTAATGCATACAAAATGATCTTGTAACACTTGAGAAACTCAGCTAGATCATGAACATTTTATAATGCCCAGCAGAAGTGGTCTAAGTATATTTCCATGGGGAACCCCGACTGTGACTGGCCTCTGAGAGAGAGACAGATTCCAATTAAGACCTGTCCACAATCAGATCAGAGAGAGGACTTAAACCAATCCACAGTATTATTATTTAGGCCTAAAAAATGCAGTTTCCTCGGTAACATCGATGGTTAACCATACTAAATGTCTGATGCCAAACTCAAGGCACACAGTTCCTGTACATGTACCAGTATATAATTATTGAAGCCACTGTCCCCTATTTTATATCCAGGATGTTCTCAGTCAGATGAGCAAGGGCCACTTCAGTTGAGAGGTTTGGGCAAAAACCAAACTTTTCACTGGCTAAGAAGCTTTTCTCCTTGAGGTAGGTATACAGCTGATGGTGAACAGCTTTCTTGATGATCTTGCTTAGAACTAGTAAGATGGTAATTGGTCTTTAATTATGAACACTGGTTTGGGCACCAGGTCTAAAAATGGAACCACCTTTCCCTTTTTCCATATACTCAAAAAAACAGCAGAAGTTGTTGTAAGTTGATATAATGTTAGGATTAGGATTTTTAGGATTTAGGATGTTAGTCATTGTATTGGAATTTATTGTACCTGATGAATTTTTTACCGTTTATAAATAATGATTAAAGATTAAAGATTAAAGATTTATTAAAAAGGTAAGACAGGGTGTGATGGCATCAGCGGAATTCTATAGTCTAAGGAGGCTAAGAATCCCAAAGCTAAGAGAGCAAGTGATAAGGTTAATCAAGCCCAGTTTGCCTTTCTAGAATTTAGAGAGCTTAGGTATTTCTGCACAAAGCTTTCTTTTACGGGGTGGAAAAGCTGAAGAGAGATTATGATGAAGTGATCCAGAAGGGAAACGTAAGAGCGGTGGCTCAATCTCTTAGAGCGTTTAATAGCTACAGATGTGTCCCAATAGATGTAACTTTTTTTAGCTAACATAATAATAACTTGGACTTGCATCGTGCTATTACACTGTACCTAACTGATCGACCCTTGCTTTGTCAGCCAGGTACAAGGCCGTTATCTCCTTGAACGGAATTTTTCTTTTTTCATAGAAATCTTACAATAGTACTTAATAACGGAAAGCTAAAACGGAGGATTGTAAAATTGATTCCGGTGATTACCAATACCAAGAAAACAATATCGCGGATACTAAAACGCATATTTATTCAGTTGGTTTCGAGAAACGTATCAGCCGTTAAACAGCTGTGGTGGAGCTAATAGTCATGACATTTTTTACGATTTGAAGGAGGTTCTACCGGTGACTCAATATCCTCCATTTTCAATCCTAAATAACTTTCAGAATGTTTAAAGTCTGACCGCTGGTGCTGTATACCGGTAAAAATAACAATCACTCCTCCTTACCGTTTCTGTGTCTTGACGAAAGACAAATCCAGTTTTGGGATATCTTATGGAAAATTCTATGATCTCGGCGGACACTCTAAAAAACAGGAGAATAAACTCTTTAAAATAGCATAAAAAATATTTAACTCTTAGCTTCCTCTCAAAAGCTTATACACCTTTATTTCCATACACAGCTGAAATTGACAGTTTCGTTAGTAAATAGTAATGGCTTTCATGAAGATGGATGTTTAAATATGTCAGCCACACAGTAATTCGAAACGTCACAAACATGAGAATGTTTAAGATTATAGATCTTACCTTATGGCCAAAAACAGCCACTGAAGATCGCCAAACCCTTGGAATGCCCGCCATCTGCACGACTTCAACAACAACCACAACAACAAACGGGTGGCTAAGGGTGGGGTGGAAGGGAATTTATTTTAAAATATTTTCCCAAGGGAAAAGGTAACAAAAGTACTTTCTTTTATTGTAGAATCACCATACTACCCGTTCTAAATGTTTTTATCCCTTTCGCCGGCCATTTTTTTAGTTTTATCTTATATGCTTAGTAAAACATTTGAAAGGTCTATTTTTTTATGTATTTTTTCGATTCCCTTACACCTCCCTCCCCCGTTGTGTTTAGTCAACATGTCGTGTTTTCCAAACAGCTGCTGCGGCGGTTCATATTGATCAGAAGCTCGTGAAAAAGGAAAAATTTATACCAGTCAACCAAATGTTAACCATTTTTACACTACTTTTAGCTTTTTCTATATGTGAAAACAACCTTCAACCGCATTCCGGCCAGCGGTTGAATTAAAAAGCCGCCGCCATTTTGATTTTGGTGGATGTTATTTGATGCTGATAGCTTCCAATGCAAGATGTGTTAAATCAAGAATACCAAACTAACATTCAGTGAGAGGTGTAAAAAGTGTCTAACAAACGGCGATGTCTATGTTTAAAGTTGTAAGAACTTTCACGAACAACCAGGTATTCAGACAAAATCTCAGTAGGCTGTTAAGTAATGTCCAATTCTGTGCTCGATTTGCAAGTGAAAGTGCAAGATTTCAGAGTGGCGAACAAGATTTCGACAAAGAGGCTTATAATCGTCGCCAGAAGCGGTTGGTGGCTGCTATCATTGGTTCTTCTGTAGGACTGATCGGTTCGAGTTATTGTTTGTATAGAAAACTTAGCAAGGCAAATGCAGAGAGTCCAAATGCTGCCCTTGACAGCAGAAACCTTGGTGGTGAAACGAACTCAGATGAAAATAAAGAAGAAGAAACCGACGGAAAAAGCAAAAAGGGTAAACATGGATTCAGGGAAAGAAGGGTGAGAAAGTTTGCTTTGCTACTGCGTCTTAGGCAGACTTGCTACCACCCCAATAAAGAAAAAATAATAGACTCATGAAAAAAGTAGTCAGATTCTCTGTTTTTCCCAATCAAGATTAAACGAACCCTTTTCTCAACTGAGGGGGGGGGGGGGGGGGGGGGCCTGGAGGGAGGAAATTAAGTTTTTATCTGAATATTACAATATTACCTTGCTTTATTTGTGGTCCCTGTTGTAACAAGGTGCCACTTTTTAATGACTAAAAAGTGGTCATCACTAGGCTGAACCTAATATAGCAAAAGGGTTGTTTCTTCCGTATAAGCCAACTAATTACAGCCAAAATGTTAGACAAAGTCCCAACAAGGCTTAAAAAGGCATTAGTATGCCCCATTGATTTTCCATTTTATCCTACAAGGTAACATTTCATGTTAAAATGATTTTCTCCAAAAACCGTGTGATTGGGAGCTGAGTATTGTCGTGAAGCGATATGAGAAAAGATAAATTGTGAGACTCTGTGAAGATTCAGGAGAGTTGGCAGGTCTTCCTTAGATGGATTAATAGTTAGATATAAAACTTTATTATATAAACACCAATGAAATACCAGGTGAGCTTTCGTGCAAAAACTTGATATCTTCATGTGTGAAAATAACATGTTATCTTCACATGTGAAAATATTGCCGTTGCTATGGCTACATGATAAATCGTGCCTTTCACACCAAAAAACTATTAAAGTGAAATGGTTTGGTATTTCATTGGTGTTTATAAAATAAATAGGACATTACATGGCTGCTTGGAGAAACAAAATTAATTCTCTTCTCGTGTTGAAAAAATATTTCACTTGTTTGCTGAGCTCACTCGTCAAATATTTTTCTACACTCAAAGAGAAATTTCGTATCTCCGTGCAGCCATGTAATATCCTCTATTTATTAATTTGTCAGAGCCATATAGTTTGGGAAACACCCCATACTAATTTGGGGACACAATTTATGATTGGAATTACATATACAATATAAAAGTAGAAATATTAAAACTATGCAGCACTCAGCTTGGCAAAAAAGTTGAACTCTCTTTCAGCTGATGAAATTAACTGGAAGGTGGCTTTTACATGTAGCTACATCCCTGCATGTTAATTTGCTACTGTGGCTGAAGGGGTCAGGTGCTTGGGTGCTTATTCGATACTTAACAATATTATTCCTCGAGCCCGAATGGGTTCTGAGTCAATAGCCCATGAGGTTGAAGGCCGAATGGACTATTGACTCAAAGGCCATGAGGGCGAGAGGAATAATATTATTGTTTTGGTAAAATCCAACTAGTTGGTCAAAAGTGTTGAGACAAAACAACTTTAGCTAGCAAAACACGATTCAACCGCCTTTGTTTTGGTTTTCAAAGCTGGCGTTTTTCGCTACTAGTAGGCTATAACATATATAGGCTATAACATCTAGCTTAGTAGTAGCTCAACCAATCAGAACACAGCATTGATGATAGACCACTAATTAGATTTTACTAGTAATTCTTAGCCTGCATTGCAAGCAGACTTGTTACTCAAGACCTAGTTAGTCAATAGAGAATAGTCTATATTGTGGATTTAGACTGTCTGTGGCACATGCTAGTAATGCAATGTATCTTTTCAATTACCTTGCTCTTTTGAGTGATTAAATTTTTCTTCTTTTTTAGATTATTGAATATGAAAATCGTATAAGGCAGTACAGCACACCTGACAAAGTTTTCAGGTACTTTGCATCACTCAAAGTTGTTCATGTTGGAGAAGATAATGAAGTGTTTATGACACCAGAAGATTTTGTGAGATCTTTAACACCTGGAAAAATACAACCAACTGGTAATAAATTCTAGGAATTATAGTCTAATCGTATTGATTTTATATAATTGACCCAACAGCTGAACATTATGTCTGAACATTAGCTGTTTGCCCATTCTTCATCCTAACAGTAAGACAGTTCTAAGTTTTAGCTAGATGCCATAACTGCATGAACCAAACAACATTCCAATTTTTATTAGTATAAGCAATCTTGTAGTCTTACAGTGTAGTTCCCCCTAGAAGACTCCTTCCCCAAAAGAAGTCTACAGAACAAGCAATATGGGGTATTTTTGGAAATGCAGTATTTCAAGAACTGCAGGGTAGGCTATGCTTTTTTATTTAGCCTGTGCCAGGCTCTTGATCAGTGTAGATAAGCCCTCTCTCTCTCCACCCCTCACATGGTTTTTCACAGTTTTTCTTTTTTTCGATCTGTTCTCCCCACTCTCTTCCAGCCTGGAACTGTCTAATTTTCATTGAGCTGACCCTAAAGCCCCATGCAAACAGGTGCAACATTGTTGGATGTTACATGTTACTTGTTGTGTCGATTTGTACACCCTGTTGTATGAAACCTGTCAAACTTTTAGCTACGTGCAAAAAATGAACACAACTCCCAACATTGTTGGACCAACAATTATGTTGGGAGTTGTTGCATCTGTCTGCACATAGCTTAAATTAAAGGTGTTATTTTATGAGAGTTTCTGTCAATTTACTCTAGGTTTAGGACTTGATGAACATGAAAGATTTAACCCAGAGGTAAATCAGTATAGAGTGTTTTTGTTAAATAATTAATTTACTGAAGTTATGTTCTACATGTAGAACGTCTTTCAAGGTTTGCTAACATACGTTGTAATAATAACATTTTTTGATTCATCAACTTTTCTCTTCATTGTACATGTGTTTCTTCTTTCTTTAATTTTTCATGTTGTTTAGGTTTAGACATAGATTTAAGGTGTTGATAGACAGGGCCTCATGTGTCGGCTCTCTTCCCTTAGGAGACTAGAAGGTCTTGCCCAGCCATTATTGTGTTGTGAACAAAGGCAGTACATACTCCTCTGTTACTTAAAGAACCCGAGCTTTGATCCTACTGGTAAACAATCCCAGGCCCATATTGCTCCAAAGTCAAGTGCTCAATGAACCCAATGATTTTGTTACCCCTGCATCCTGTGTCCCAGCACATTAAAATCCCCCAAGATGCAAGAATTCACAGCAGGCATCCTGTAACTGATGCAAAGATTGGTAATCAAGCTAAGCAGTGATTAATCAGTGACACCTGTCAACTAATTACTGAGGGTCGTGCATTTAAAGGAAAGAGGCCTTGATTGACTTTTTTGGTCTTTGGCTGACTTTTATTTCTCATTCCATTTTCACGGCTGTCACTCAATTTTAAGTAGGCAAGGAAATTTGAAGATTGCTCTAGCTGGAGAATTGTGATTTCCTTGTGTTGGCAGTAATGTTGTGTATTATTTTGCTAAAGTAGCAAGGGCTAAGTCATTTCTTAATCTAACAGCCAGTCCTTGAATGTCAAATTGAATGCCCTGTATTACGTCTTGCAGTTTGTTTGTTAATTACATGTACATGTAGTCCTCCTTTTACTAACATTGATTTTTGTGATTTTAATAAAATGCACTTTTATTAATTTTAAACAGAAACATAAATACAAAGGTCTTCTGTCAGACCAGCTGGGCTCTAATAGTGTGTTCTTGAAGATGGGAGAATACGGGCTGATTTCATTCTCGGATTACATATTCCTTCTAACAGTTTTGTCAAGTATGTTGTAAATTTTTTTCTAATGTATATTTACGGCCCTATTTCTTCATCATGGTAAATTTATTTCTGTTGTAGGATTTCATCTTCCGATATTAATATTATTTTAAGAACACTGAAGCTAACACTATAATCACTTATACAGCCATGATGTTTTATTATAGTAAGCAATCTTGAAGTTAGAGGAAGGCAAAAAACTCATTTACAGATTAAGTACTTGCTTTTAAGCTTTCAGGTTTCTCTCTTCTTCCACACTGATCCCCTATTTCCTTTGAAAGTATCCACATAGATCTACCTGATACTTGTCTATCATGGATTTACAGATTAAGTGATGAATATGTGAAAAAACTGACTGCCAATGAAAACTTTTTCTCATATTTTCTCGTGTCAAGTTCCTCCTAGAATGTTTAAAATTGCATTTCAAATGTTTGACTTCAATGGTGATGGCGAGGTGTCACCCGAAGAATTTGAAAAGGTAAGAATCTTGGTACTGAACTGCAAAAAGCTGGAGCACCCATAGTTAGGTCAAACTGGTGCTCTCTCAATTTTTTTTTAAGTAGTCCCTGGTAAAATAATCAGCTGCATCCCTGTGTTGTTAGCTAGCATATTATTATTTGTCGCATCAATGAAAAGAAATTGCAGCTAAAGGCTGTGCTGTTAAAAGTCAATTATGGCTTCTATTTATATAGATCTTCAGTGTATAATTGATCTCCTATCCACTGCCCACAAATTCATCTAAGAGGTTTTGTATATTCTTTACATAAAGAGTCCTGCAAGATTACCAGTCCAATTATGAACCAAATTAAAGGTATTTGACATGTACAGTTTGGTTTTCTAAAAGTGAAATCCTATCAAGTACTCTCTCAAACTTGTTCATACCCATCATGGAGAGAAAGAAGGAAAAAGGAGGTTTTGGTGTTGTGTACTATAATATGTTTCAATAAAATTTTGCAAACTAAGCTGTGAAGTAATTTCTTTAAAAAATATTATATCATTGTAAAGCTACAGTGCGGGGTTGTGGTAAGCTTTTTGACTTGTTGTAGCCTGTTCCCTAAAGGTATCTGCCTAAGGGGATACTCGGCACCGCAAATTTTCTTTTACTCAACCCTACTTTTAAACATGTACCGATTCTTTTTATTTCCTGTTAATTGTTTGCATGTCAGCTCGTCAAATAGAATGTATCTAAATCTTAAACTACCGATCCAAGTACCAACCATGAAAAGGGTCTGCTATTAATCATTTGAAGGATAATGTGTTTATTTCCTCATTACTCTTAGGTACAGAGTATCCTGTTTAGCCTGACACAGACTGGAATGCGACATCGTGATCATTCAGTGACAGGCAGTGTACTGTCTCCACATGTTAACAGTGGCCTTAAGGAATACTTCTTTGGGAAAAACATGGAAAAAAAGCTTACTGTGCAAAGATTTGCTGAATTTCAAAAGAATCTTCAACAGGAAGTCATGTTCCTTGAGGTACATTTTCTTTAAAATGATCATTTTGACAAATGTAACCCTCAACTAGCCTGTCATTATGCAAAGAAGAATCTACTCTAGGCTTGACAGGAGTAAAATCATGAAGCCAGATCAACCAGTGCTTCTAGGTGTTAGCAAATATTGTCACAAGTGACTGTTGGGAACACCTTATTTGCTTACATTTATTAAGTTGAAGGTCATTAGGTACCTTATCAGTGTTGTGTATACTGACTTAATTAATTTGTAATGTCAGTTGACTCACTGTGCATGTCCCTTGTAGAGTGTGTTTATTTGCTCTTTTGACTTGAATTGCCATGCAATCCTACTATTATTGGCTACTTCAATTTGTATTAAAACCCTTGATCAGAGCGTACTGTACTACACTGAGACAGGCTACTTGGCTCAATGCTGTTCATGGGCTTATTCTTTAAAATTAATTGCTTTTTTCTTTTTTCGTTAAGTTTAATTCTTATGAATTAGTTGATGGACGAATAACAGAATGGGATTTTGCTGACATGCTTCTAACCTACTCAAGTTTCCATGAAAAGAAAAAACAAAAAATTCTCAGGAAAGTAAAGAAGTGTTTTAAAGAAAATTCACAGGTAGGAACAAACAAGAACATAAATAAATTGAGAACTTGAACTTTGGTTTATCAAGAGTTGCTTATAGAGCGTATTCACTAACATGGACAGCATCTATGCTAATCAATATAAATGGAGAACTTGACCCTCTTAGTTTAAAAATTTGTTTTTGTTTATCTAGAGTTGCTAATAGAGCATATTCACTCACGTGGCCAGCATATATGCTAATTAATATGAGCAAAAGAAAGTTTTTACATGAGAAAAGAGTTCAATCCCCACTGGGTTGTCTCAAGGTACACCAACATGGCTGCCTTTTCATTGTTTTGGAACACCAATTGACATGGCTGCCGTGACGTCATGTGAATACACTCTAAATGATGTGAAAACATATTTTTTCTTTCTCTGTGACTAAAAGGGTTAGTAACGGAAGTTAAAATACTCAGTTCAGTTGTTTTCTGTTTGGATAAATAACAGTGTTAACTGTTTTCATAAAATGGTGATATTGGACAAATATTAATTAATAAATGTTTATTTAGACCGGCCAGAATTGTTGGTTAGTCTAAGCTATACCCTGGTCTAGCCAGTAAAGACATTAATGGTTAATTATTTATTTCAGTCACACCCACTAGAACAGTATTATTTTTATATTATTTTTTACAGGGAATAACTTTCAAAGATTATTTGGATTTCTTCTGTTTTATGAGGAACATTTCTGAGGCAGACATGGCTTTGAGCTTCCACAATGCTGCTGGTAAACCTATCGATCCAGGTATTCAATTTCTGATGGGGAACGAGTTATTAAACATTTCGTAATATTTTCTCTGATGTGTGTGATTTAGACATTAATTGTGTAGCTGTAAACTAAACTTTTGTTTATATTTTTGTTACAGACACATTTAAACAAGTTGCTAAAACAGTGATGGATGTAAATTTGAGTGATAATGTGGTGGATGTTGTTTACAAGATGTTTGATGAAAATGGTAATAAGTTTTTTATTAACAATATGACTATTGCTAGTGTAATGTTTTACTTGTGTGTTGTTCCTACCTTCAGGCTCTAAAACCGAGACAACAGCTATATGTCTTGTAAATTGTTACACTTATTCATATTGAATGGTCCTCATAGCCAAGGAGTAAACATTTATTAAAGTAAATTAGCCTGCGTAGCAGGCGCTAGGAAATAAATGGGGGAAATAAAAAAAAAACGCGCGCTAGGAAATAAATGGGTGAAATAAAAAAAAAACCGCGCGCGAGGGAGGCACGCGAGGGAGGCTACGCAGGCTAAAAGTAAATCTTCTCCCCTGTAGTTGTCAAAGGAGTCAGTCCTTTCTCTCCATTTTACGTTTTTCCTCAAATGACCCCCGGGCATTAGCATTTTTTTTGCTGTGGATGGCAAATTCCCAGGGGTAGAGACTCTTGAGCTGTCAACTCCCCTGGGGTGGGGGCGAAAAAAGAGGGCAAATGCCCCGTCCTCCGTCAACACTGCAACATTTTTCATTGATCACACAGTCGAATAATGCCGTTTTAAGCATTGTAATGTGCGATTTTTTGTTTCAATGAACGTGTTCCTTTGGGCTCAGCTGGATTTGACTGATGCATAATGAGACATTGTGTCCGCGTCTCTATACTCTCCATTCTCTGTCCACACCTCCCTTAAACTGACCCCTAAAGTTACAGGTCCGTGCAGCCCATCCTTCAGTCTTTTTCTTTGAATCTTTCTGTATAAGGTGGACACTTACAACCAGTGCCATTGTTGTCCATCATGTACAAACTTGGAAGGCTTGGGATAGGATATGTCAGATGATGGTTCAAGTCATTTTTTGTCAAGACCAACTTCTCAAAGTACTTTGTTTTTTCCATTTTAGATGATGGTGTTCTTAGCCACAAGGAGTTTGTTGTTGTCATGAAAAACCAACTTGTCAGAGGGCTAGAAAATGTAATTATCTTTGTTTATTAAGGAAAATATTTTAAGCTTTAAAAATTGAGAGTTTTTTAAACTCATTGAATTACTCACAGTTGTGTAACCATGCTTACAAAGATGAGTTTTAAAAACCTTCGTAGGCATTTTGCAGCTTCTTGAAGTTGCCCTTCTTCTCTTTTCATATTACCGGTATCTTCTCACTTTTTATTGGTTTAACTGTAGTTATAATGGATTTGCTCGGCTACGTTTCTGCAGCGTTTTGTTTGCCTTGGGCTTGGTTTGCCATTAAATTTTTCATCCCCTGGTCCCAGTTGTTGAAGAGGTGGATAGCACTATCCACCAGATAAAATCTCTATCCACTGGATTATGCAATTGGTTTTCCTAATACTTATCCACTGGATAGTAATCTATCCGGTGGATATCGCTATTCAGCTTTTGAACAACTGGGGCCTGGTCAATTGGACACTCATCGTTCAATTGTGACTTAGGTGCTAACTTTTTAAATTTGTTTTAATTTACAGCCCAAGGACACAGGATTCAGCAGACTGATGCAGGCTATTTGGCATTGTGCAAAACATGTTACATACACAACACTCCATCCAAAGAAATCAACAACAGCTGAAGACTGATAAGATGAGATGAACACAAATACAGCCAGTACAATAATAGCAGGAAATACCATCTTCAGGTCCCCAAAGATTTTTCGTGGTGAATTAATGAACTATGGAATATACATTGTAAGGGCTACAATTTGATAGATCAAAAGCTAGAGATGCAGGGGCTAGAAAGAATTCTCATATTATCTAATAAACTGCTAGACTTTCCTTCCAGTTTTCCTTATGTCAAGAGTCAAGAGTCACTTTAGGCCTTGTTTGTGGCACCCCTTAAAAACACATTATCTGGTGACCCACTGTTGCTGCCTCCAAGTTATAAGTATTATTGTAACATTCTAACTGAGGAAACAACAGCAGTTGTATAATAGCTGTTAATTTAAAAAAAATAATAATAAAAAGAGTTTTCACTATGTTGCAGTACAGTGAGATTTACTCTCCCAAATCCCTATTGCCCAAATTATCGTGATGATGTGGCTATTAGAAAGTTTAAGATTTGATGATTAGAAAAAAAATTTCAAAAAAATATATTTATGTTGTATGATATTTTGATTTGTCATCTAAAGAACCGTTGGATTTCCTCTCAGGTTAACAGCAGTACTACCAGTAATATTATTGTCTTTCGTAAACACTGTTCTTTTTTTACCAGACAGACAAACAGTGTAATTCTCTGTTGCACCTTTAAATGTAATGAAATGTAATCAAACATAAAATAGTATATTAAGCAATGAGCAATTTTATGTGGTATATTTTATTTATTAAGTAATAAACAAGATGTTTCAAAATACACTAGGTTCCTAACAGCAGTAAATCTTTGCAGGTTAAAATTGGGATATTTCTCACAAGTTACAAACGGTAAAATGACGTTTACTAACAGGCAAAGAAAGATATGGAGTAGTGGCCATTGTTCCTTTTCACTTTTCCCTTTACCTGTTAGTGCTCCAACACATTAAAGAAGCTCATTAAAAATTACACAGCATTTTTAATCGCCAGTTAATGACATTTCTGACAGTTAATTTCACATAACTTTTGTGATTTTTGAAACTTGTTCAAGGGCATGTATTAATGCACCTTTCCTTAAAGGGATTATGGTACATCTGGTTGTGTTTCAAAGATGAAACAAGGTGTTTTCATCCATTATCCAGATGCAAAGAAGTGGGTTCAACTTATGTACTGGTGAATTCCAAAACTGCCCATCTCCCCCCCCGAGCATTTAACTGGAGTTTTGCACAGTACAGTGGAGAATTTGACCCAAAATTAGGCCAGCCCAGTTTGTCATTTGACTTTCATGTCAGTATCACAAGCAAAGGGATTTCGTAATTCTTTCAACATTCAGCATGTGTACCACGTTCATGGGTCAATGCTTCTTTACTATTTTTTTTGGTGCATTTGCAAGGCTTTGAAAAAAACATGTCAGATGTGGGCTTTATGGAATGAAATGAAAAAACCTATGTAAGACAGCTTTCCGAGACTTTAGATATTTTGGTTGTGTCTTGTAGGCTATTTACATTTTGAAAAAAATGCTTGATGCATTAGAAAATTCTTGTACAGTCATTGGTGGGTGGGGGATTTGACACTCTTTGAAGTGCTAGCCAGTGGAGCATTTGACCATCTAAACTGCCAACATACCGGGAATTTGACCAAATTTTTTCAAAAAAGTCAAATGCCAGGGGTTTGCTTGAGGGGGTGGGGGAAGGGCAGTTTTTTGCAATTGACCAGTACATCATGAGATGCAGTTGCATTTTTCAGGTGTCTGCAGGGCTGTCACTAAAGGCTGAGAACCAGATATTTCCCTAGGCTACTATGAGCTAGACCCCCCCATCTTCTTTCGTAGAAAACAAAGGGAAAATAGAACTAAAAGTATTTCTTAGCTACCTAACATCCCCCCCCCTTGCCCACTAATTGCATATATACCCAGCAACTTGAAATCTCATTCACATCCCTGCGTATGGATATCAGATGTAACAATCTAGTTTAGCATCTGGCATAGCTTGTCTTTAGTGCAGTGATTTCCTATATTGAGCAACAAACATCAACCGGAAGTGAGGCCTTTCCCCCCCTTTTTAATGCCTTGATGCTAAGAAATGCAAAAAGTGCACTTACTCAGAAATAACTTTGCCTAAGCTACCTGTTGACGAGTTTGAGAATGACAGCAGTATGCCTGTTAGGTAGGTGGGCTATGAACCGCAATATCATAAGGTAGTACTGTATTACAGTTGTAGATATTCTTGATATTCTTCTTAAGTGTATTAACCAGGTAGGTAGATTTGAAATAATTCAGTTAATAATGATTGAGAGCTTAAGCAACTATGATGAACAACAGCAACAGGGGCATGAAAAGGCACCTTTAGAGATGTTATTAATAAAGTTAACTTTATGAACAGAATGGTATTGGTTTTAAATCTTGAGCACAGTTTATCTAGCTAAGAGCTAGCTGCAGCAGGAGCTGCTGGGGGAGGACCTCCTTCTGCACCCTTTCCTGCACCCAGTCTATGAGGATCCTGAGATGGATAGTGTATGGGTGGTGGACCAGGTGGTGGGCGAGGCATACCATGCCTTGGGGGTGGAGGCATGCGGGGAGGGGGAGGAACACCATAAAATGGCATTGGAGGAGGTCTGAAAGGTGGATGCCCAAATGGGGGAGGAGGTGGGAATCCCCCTGGTGGGGGAGGTGGCAAAGGGTGCCCTATGGGGGGAGGAGGGGGCATGCCTGGAACCTGCCCAGGGGGTGGTGGTAATGTGAGTGGAATGGGAGGTGGCCCTGACGGTGGTGCTGACGAAGATGTTCCAAGGTTGAAGAAGTTTGTTTGATTTTTGTCTTCTGTTGGGGGTGGAGGAAGAGCTGAAAAAAAAAAAACCATGAACAGGAGTTAGAAAACATATAACCTACCCTTGTAACTTACATTAGACAAGTTTTCAGTCATTTTTAAATTTGTCTGTTACTAAAGAAACAACACAGTTGATTAGTGTCCTTAAATCTCAAGAAATGAAGCTGCATTTTAAATTCCAATTTTCTGAGCCCCAAAATCTAAGATAATGTGAGGAACAATAAAAGACACCAGCTTGCACAGTCGTTTTTCTTTAGACTGTAAATATCTATATTCAGAAAGTTGCAATGCCCTCAGAATTCTAAAAATAGTACCACCAATAACTTTTATAAGTGTTCTAAGCATAAATTCTGGAATGATCATCCTAGCAAGTTGAATACTTCAAACTTCATTGCAAGATGAGCACAAGACAAAGACAAAATTTGAATCATCCCTGTCAAATAAAAATATTAATATCAAAACTAACCTCCAGGTAATCCTGGCACTGGAGCAAGGGGGGTGCCTCCCTGTTTTCCTGGGGTGGGTTGCTGTCCCTGAGATTTGCCCCACATAATTTTAAGCCTTCTTCCTTTGAGAATCAGTTTGTTAAAGGAGCGCTCTGCTGCTGTTTCAGCTGCAGGTCGAGATGTAAAGCAGACAAATGCACAGTTTTGTCTTGGTACCATTGTTATTGATCGCAGTTCACCAAATTGATAGAAATAGTCCCTGGAATACAGACGTCACAATGAGCACAAAATAATGGTTAAGGTTATTACCTTACTTAAACCCACCTAAGGACCACCAGAATATTATGACCACATTAATTTGAACCAAGCTTAAACAACAACAATCATTTTCATTTCTGAAAACTTTATCACAATTAATTATAGCCATCTCATTTTTATGAACAAAATTTCATTGTCCAACAGTTGTTGCATTAACAGGGTTCACTGTTATATTTAGGAAGAAAATATAAATGAAAGGATGTTTAATCAATGTTAGCTAGTAAATGTCACAATACATCGCTGAGTTTTTACTGAGCTCAATATTCAATAAACTTTGTGTCTTAATTACCATTTGACTGGGCCACTCATTTTGCCAAGATAGTACATAGTATCTCAAACAGTGAAAAAGGGACAAAAAGGAAGAATGTTAAAAAAACTTCTTGGATATACACTAAGGAGAAGCTTAGTACAAGCTCTGAAGCAACATCAGATCAAACAGACTAACAACTGGCAGAACCCATTATTCTAGTTATTAAGAGAGAGTTCAGGGTAATTTGAAAACAAAAAAAACAGGCTAGCCCCTCTTCTGCAACCCTCCCCAATTACAGCATTGGTCAAGTGAGCCAAACAAATTATTGGCAAACTTTCATGGAAGATTAATGGACAAGACTAGTTTATTATCTATGTTATCCAAGCAACTTAATACCTTTTGATTAACATTTTCTACAGGTATTAGTATATGGCCTATGTATTTAAAACCCACCTTAAATCCCCCTCTTCCACCTTTCCTTCCAGCCCTCCAACATAAAGTGTGGTGATTGACTTGTCAGAGGGAGGTTCTAATGACGGCATGCTAGAAGCCTGGCTTAGTAGTCGTGAAGCTACAGGATCACTGACTCCATAGTATCTGTCTTTTATGTTCTGATCTGCTAATGGGTCATTAGGATCTGTGGGCATGTCATGTCTGCAAGCAAATAACAGATGATAGCCTAGTGTTTGTAGAGTACCTGTTGGTCAACTCGAATTAAGGACCTTACTGTGTTTCAGATATTCAGAATAATTTATTTACAACAAACACATTAAAATTTCATTTAAATATAATGCAAAAAATCAATGATAATGACTTTAATGAATAAATATGACAAAAAGCTATTAAAAATGAATTAAACAATAAGTTAATAGAATAATTATAATACGTAAAGTAACTAACTCTAAAATTAATAGTAAAAGAGAGCAGAGCTAAATTCCTCTACCATCTCGTAAGCTGACAACAACTTCACTGGAGGTCAAAAGTGTTGGGAACTTCCCTGTGATATTAGTAAAACTGGCAACCTACCTGCCACCCCTAACAATGTCGAATTTTGGGGAAATGGGTGGAAATGAGTCTGTTTGGAGTTCCCAACATTGTCATGGGGAGTAGGGAGATAAAGGGATGAACCCAAAGACTATCCAAAAATTGTCATTAGAAGCAGAATCCTATGTAACAATTACTCGCAAGGTTTTTTCACTCTGTACCTATATTCTTTTGAACTCCACTGTTGCTGTAAAACATGGTTTGTACAACTTCAGAAAAACAAATTTCAAGGACTTTTCAAGGATTTTTCAAGGAAAAATTACAGTTTTTAAGGACTAAGATTTATTTAATAAATTGGCATTCTTTAACCCCCTTTGATTACCCTATTGGCTAAAACATGTCATGGAGTAATTTACAGTTTTTACTTCGGCCACTGTTGATCACATTATTTTATACTACTTTCCACAACAAGACTTTGCAAAATGACTGGGATGACTTGCAATTTATTGCATCTGAGGTAGCTTGAGGTACAGAAATAGCATTTGAAATAAAGAAACAAAAATAAAGTATTGTTCATGCACAAAAATGTTTTTACATTACCCAGTACTTATATCGAGGATGAGCCAAAATTTTTCTCAGTAAAATAATCTAACTTTAGAGAAAAGGGTGTCTGGCGTACACAAGGTTGTGAATTTCAAGGACTTTTCCAGACCTAATAAAGAAGTCAAGTACTTTTTAAGGACCTAAACCGAATTCAAGGACATTTCAAGATGATTAGTAAAATTCAAGACCTTTTCAAGATTGTATGAACCATGTGTAAATCTGAAAACATCCAAAAACACACTATACCATACCTGTAAGGGCATTCATCCCCTCGCTTGCACTCTCCCTTCACCCAGAAAGAGCAGATATGTGGTCTGTTCCTTTTGTAGTAGGGCGTGGTCCTGGCAAGTTTAAGTAACAAGTCACTTGGAGCATTGGCTTTTCCAAGTGTTCCACCAGGTGTTGTCCCATCTGAGTTGGCCAACTGTGGTACAAAATGCAAAGTTTAGTTCTAAAGCTGTACACAGTCAGTTAGCCTGAGAAAACAGCCGACATTGCAACACCATCAATGGTTTCCCGGTATATGGAACAAGCGCAGGAATTCCATACTAATGAGGTCTCACTAACCAGATCTGGAAAGTACAATGTACTTCAGAATGGTTGTGCAGAAGCACTACTTAAATCTTGCTAGTGAAACATCATCAGTATGTAATTTCAGCACTCATTCCTCAGACATCAGTTTGCAGGGAAACCTGTGGTGGCATCATGAAAATTAATGGTGGCTGTTTTTTCAGACTACTTCACAATGGACCCAACTTTTCACAAAGTGGACACATGTACATCACTGTTTATTGTATAAATCTCTATCAATTGGACAATTATCAGGGTTCACAACCCTAAACCAGCAACCAGACTTGTACCACAAAATCCTGGAGATTGACCACAAAATCAAAACAAAATGAAATTTACCAATGTCCATGACCTTAATAATTTCTTAAAAAAGAGGTCAGGAAAAGGTTAATACTCATAATTTTGCATTGGTCAAAAAGACAAAGATGCAGAATAGTGGCAACTTTGTAGGGTGATTAACTATGACCATAATTTATTTGGTAGACACTGAAGTGCAACTCTGAACATCATGGCTATAGAAAGCTGTTGCTTTACTCATTGATTTAGCATTGTCAAGCAATCACAGGAGCTCATAAGTGAAAGTATGTACCATAAATCCTCTATTAGTCTTTAATAAGCCCTCCTTTTCAGGAGAAGTTAAAAGCTCTTATTTTCCACAACCAATAAATAAATGACTGACTTCATAAACACAACATTCTAGTTCTGTATGGATAACAGCACTGATACCACCTTCTGGTCATTTGAAAGCAGAATGACGGCCAACTTTCAATCAATCCCCCTTCAAACCTGCTTGGGACAGATAAGCCCACCAGGGGGCTTAATAGTGGATTTACATGTATGCTACAAAAAGAAGAGCATTTTCTGAATAATAGCAAATTTCTGTATCATTTTTTGTTGATATGCTAACTAAGAGGATCACCTATGGTTATTCCTGGCAGCCAGTGCTTTATTTTCAATATTTTCACTGTTAAATTTTCTTATAAGGCAAGAAAGAGTACAAATAAAGATTAGTGTTGTCATTGTTGAAAACACAAACCTCTTTTTCCACATTCTGAGTATAGTATTCTTTGTTAACATCAGATTTTGGAACATCATCTTTCATGCCAAGGGCATGATCTCGCACTTGAACAGGCAAACCTTGAAATGAAAATAAATTCATATTAAGCTAAGAGGATATCAATCTTTTACAAAATCTTGAAGAAAGAGCATGCAAATTTCACATCAGACCCCACAACTCCCAGCCACAATAATTTATTCTGAAGTGCAAACAACAAACAACAAGGTATTTATCAACAAACAGCAAAATTTTACAGTCTACTGTATGTCCCCCAAATAGCCATCATGCTAATCCAGGTTGGACAAAACATTAGACAAAAGGCGAAATTAAATAAAATTACATGTTAAAAAAGAAAGAAATACAATAACATACAGAAATATACATATACATACAGACTGGATGTTTTCACTAGTTACATGGAAATTTCAAGCACAGGGATTTGTTATTTGAAAACAGACTAAAATGAAAACCTGAGTTAAATACAGTGGAACCATGATATAACAAAGGGGCTAGGGGACTGGCAAAATTTGAGCGCTATAACAAGGTTTTGTTATATCGAGCGTCTTTTCCATATATTTTACTATTACTGGGGTAAAGAAAATCATTGCTATACTGAGGACTTTGTTATATAGAGGTTTGTTAAATCGAGGTTGTACTGTACAACAAATTATAAATCTGGGCCCGGTTCCTCGAAAGATGGTTAAGTTTAACCCAGGAATAAGCCAAATTTCAAGCATGGTTTTCTCATCTAAGAACATGCAACTCAAGGTTACAATATACTGTTGAGCCTTTACTACGAGATACAGTAGTAATAACACAAAATGTTACCCTAAGCAATGCATAGGAATGCAAAATACAAAAAACAGAACAAAATTTTAATCCTGGATTTACGCTAATCAACATATCAGGAACCGTGCCCTGTAGTTTAAGCCGAGTCAACAGAAGAGATCCCATGGCAATTTTGACTGTACTTTTGTTTTCTTTAATTTTGTTTGCTAACGTTAAAGTGAAATTCGTTGTATCACACTGCACATATTGCAGTCTTTGGAGGATTTTGGGTTTACCTGTTCCATCAAGCATTTGGGTGAAGGCGAGGTTAATACAAATCACAATGTAATGTATGGCTGAGAATGACTCTAGTTGAAGGAAATCATGATGGTGAGTGGATTTTTTGTCAAAGGAAATAGGCAAATGTTGCTTTATTATTGCAAGTGACAAGAATACTAAAGATCAGAAAAATCTGCAAAGCAAACTTAACCAGTCGATTATTGCCCAAAACAGGACGATCACAAAGCAACGAACCTTGAAATATGAAGCAAACAAAACTGATCAAAATCCACCAATCACGAATTACAAACCATGTGTTTCCTAAGAGGTCAGCTAAGATGACTGACAAAACAGAAAAACTCAAAATCCCTTCAACTTTAGGAAAACACACAGTGCGATACAATGAATTTTGCTGCAAAAAAGTAATTCTGAATTTTCTTTATAATATTGACCTAAGACACCCTTAAAACATAGTTGTAGATTGAAAACCTCAGGTAACACACAGCAAAAATGTGGCTTGTTTTCACAAACTGTGTAGGTTCCATTCTCGCCATTCAAACTTACCATATTCAAGGTCCAGCAGACAGGTTTGGCAAACATTCTTTAATTTTGAACAAGTCTGGCAGATTTCTGTTTTCTTAAATCTCATACGTGCACCAGGACACCAACGAAACACTGTAAATGGTCGTACACAGATCTAAATGAAAGTTAAAAAAAAATTATAATAGTAGGTTTGTAGTTTCATCATTACATTTATTGATGACAAAAAAACTGCACCATAACCAAATAACTGGCAGTAAAAATTGACAGTCCAGATTTTGACCGGAAATTTAATCTTCTAACAAATACTTTTTGTATTCCTTTTGCTTCAAGAACCTTGACAACAGAAAAACAGCTTTTCAGTGAGAATTTTTTATGCTGCCTCTTGGGATTTGGCATTTTTCCTTGTTGTGTCATAAAGTAATGCTGATCAATTTTCTAAAAAGCACCATCATTATTTACATCATTGCCAAACTGGAAAAAAAAGAAACCATCAAAACCTGAACTCCGTTGGGAATATTCATTGTTCCCTGAATGTGTGAATCACATTGGAGACCAGAACACACAAACAAACTACAAGACTACAATTATTAACTACCATTGCTGCTTAGTTATCTCATGTGTTACTGGGTAATTCCTCTTGACAAAATAATATTTTCAATGCTCATAGTTTTCTTAGTTCGAGAGTCCTGGTAGTTCTTGTTTGTTTGTTTGTTTGTTTTTTTCAAATATAATTATTAGCTAAATATCAGTGCTTAAATATCAAATCGGGCAAAAATCTAACCGTCTAACCATCTATATCATATAACCCTTTAGTATTTACCAAATCAGTGAATAGCAATTTAAACACGTTTTGATTGGCTCACGTAACTCAGAATATCCTTGGCTATTCACTGTTTTGCGACTGGAGCCAAGATGGAATCTCATTTCGAGACATTTTCGGAAGACAAAATTTGTGCTATAAATGAAGAAGTTGTACAAACAAATACTAAGAAAGTGACAAACTTTGGCTTGTCGGTGTTCAATGTCAGGTAGAAAATTATTTTTATGCTGAATTTGCAACCATTTGCACTTGACAAAATCCCCCAAATGTTTGTAAATTGTAAACAAAGTTCCCACTTAGTGATGGTTTTAATTTACAAAATGTTGCTTTTTTTTCAGTTTTATCAAACTGATTTGGTAAATACTAAAACAACTATCCCCCACAGGGTCGATGAAAATGCTAGATATATACCTCGACATTTCACGTATCAGTATATATCCACCACTATTCACCTCCCCTCACGGAATAATAATTAACATATTGCTTCAGAACCTTACCTTACATTCTCTTCCATATGTCTCCTTTGTCTGTTGAGGAGATAATGCAAACAGAATAACCAGTAAGTCTTTTACTAACTGAATTTTAAAGGCTTCTGTTTTTAATGATTTTTTGATACAATTTTGCTGAAATTTAGATTTTAAATTTGGTTAAATGTAATTTAACTAAGTTAACCACCACGAGCTTAGCGGTCAAGCGGTTCACAAGCGTAGCGGTCAAGCAATTCACAAGCATAGCGGTCAAGCGGTTCACAAGCTTAGCAGTTGAGCGGTCCACAAGTTAAGCGGTCAAGCGGTCCACAAGCTTAGCGGTCAAGCGGTCTACAAGCTTAGCGGTCAAGCGGCCCACGAGCGTAGCGGGCATCCAGCGGTCAATCCCATAAGTGCAGGCTCACATGGTGTGTGGTAGCTTTGTACATGGCTAGGATCTGCGAGTTGTTCATCGAGCGTTTGTGCAGTGGTCTGTGGAGCGGTTCATTTAGCGTCTTCCCCCCCTCCCATCCCTATTTTTCTTCCTTCCACTGTTTGATCAGTGTGACGGGTGCCTGGAATGGGGGCTCATGGCTGGGTTGCGGGGATTTGCCAGCCATGGGGGCAGTTTTTCTATCTAGGGGCTGGCTGGCCACAGTGGAAGCCCCTGGGTATCCCAGGCACCCACCTTCCACTTAAGCGAGGCAGTTGGTTAACCTGTGATATTGTGCTTTCACAAGATTAAGCAATTGCCAGTTTAATAAAGCTTGTGCAAATTCCAATGTCTAACCCTAACCCTACTGTATTTGCCACGCCCACCCACAGCCAGCCCTCATGCATGACCCATGTATCAAACATTTGAAAACTTACCCCTAGATATCTACTTAACAATAGCATGATGATTGTCACCATATTATTATTACAATAATCATACTGGTAAATAGTGATGACACATTAAACATTGAAAACTTATGAGACTAATAAATCCATAATATTTGAACTTTATTGAGTATACTAGTAACCCCATTACCAATCCAAATAATGACCCACTCCTAACTGACCTAACAGCTCAGTTTCTTAGAGCACTGCACTGATACTGCAGGGTCATGTGTTCAAAACTTGTTAAAGTTTGATATTTTTTTCAGGCTTCATCATTACTTTAGTTGTGTATATATCTGCGATATTTTATTATATTGTACATATATACATACACACTGAGCACTCTAGAAAAATAAATTCTCACCAGTTCAGAAAATACATACATGCATTATGTAGATACATACATTAGAGGTAAACTTTATTTACTCTTGAATTTTAGAGTAGCTTAGAGAAGCTAAAAAAGATAAAGATTACCATTCTGACGTAAGGGTTGTCTCCAAGGCATGTTTGACAAAGAATGGGAAATTCCTGGAATGAGAACAATAGAAAAAAACATTTAGTTTTAATTAGTAGTAAGATAAAAAGGAAAATGAACAATCAAAAAGGAATGTTAGTGTAATGCTCACTGTTATGATCTTTTACAGATTATCCCAATAATTATGCAGCTCTGCTTCCATGAGTTTAAGTTCCAGTTTAGATTTCATGTTGATGTGTATGTTAGAGTTAATTTTTGTCTCAGGTAATTATTGTTTTTCTTTTGTTTTTGTAGAATATGATACCTTTTGCGTCAAATGGAAACTGGGAAAAAATCCGAGCCCCCGATGGGATTAGAACCGACGGCCCTCCATGATCTAGTCGGATGTTCTAACTACTGCGCTACTGGACACTCCATGGAGAGCAAGGGTGAAATGTGGGTCTTTGACTAGAGCAACATCACACAGTCACATAGTCAAACCAGGACAACCATGTATGACTCATAACTGCATCACACAGTCACATTATGGTATATCGTAGATCCAACCATCCAAGCACCAAGTGAGTCTTTTGTAGAAGTACAACAAGATAAGTTTTTTGCATCAAATTTTTGGGTATGGTAATGTATGCTGATGAAGTTGAAACAAAGGAAAAATAACAATTACCTGAGATAAAAAATTAACTACAACATGTATGTGATTTACAGTTCTGATAACACAGTGGAATCCTGATTTTCTAAAAACTCAATTTTTCTTAACTCCTGATTTTTCAAAAATCAAGAGACTTTTCACTTGATTTTGCTTCAATCAGGAACAATAATATTAACAACGATTTTTTGTCTGGTAGATGACAAAGGAAATTGAAAATCAACCAAGGTTAAGAAATTTTAAACTGGATATAATTTGACATGTAACACATAATGTTGACATGCAAGAGCACTTTACCGCTGTTGTCTGTAACCTCATAAAATAATGCCATGGTAATCAAAATCCTCCTTTTTCTAACCAATTTCCATCGCTCAAAGAGGTTCAAAATTGGGTCAGATTCTACTGTAACTAAGACCAGATGTGGTAAAAGTGAGTGGAGTTATGCATGCTTCTCCAGTAGTGATTTGTTAAAGCAAGTATTAGAGTTTATCTGTTCTAACGTCAATACTATATTAAAAAACTTTCACTCTCAAAAAGACCACATTTTTTTTACTCTTCAGAACCAAACAAGACTGGGAGATGATCTGTCAGTCTAACTTTTTAATCTGTGGAAAAATAGTCTGGCATCACCACTGAAATGAAACTTAAGTTGCAGAACTTTTACATAGCACTAGTTATTGAGTATTTATTTCTTTGATCTGAAACAAGGGCAGCCCCTTCCCCTTCGTCATTTTTAAAAACCTGACTGTTAATCAGGTAGGGAATGTAGCCATTAATCTAACCAGTCAACAATATTTAGAAAAATAATGCAGCATTCCTAATAGACCACCAGCCCTACCACAAGCATAAGGTTTAAGAGACAGGCTGCACAAAATAACCTGTAATATAAAGTGGGCTAAATGAACAGTACATATTTATACTTAAAAGACACATGTAACCAGTAAAGTCACTCAAAGGTCATCTTTCTCAGAGCCATATCACCCAAATTAATGCCAAAAACAAACAAAGCTGTAAAGAAAACACTTGAAAATGGAATGCAGAAGTGCAGTGACTAAGAAGCCTTGCATGGCTCCAAATAAACTGTGGGAGACTTAAATCTCGGGCGGCTTGACTGCCACTTTGTTTGGCATAGCTGTTTGGAGACAGCGTGGTTGAGCGGTTATAGTGTTCCAAGTTCAAGTCCCACCTTGACCTCTAGCTGGATTTGTTCTCGGTTACCAAGTCCCGAGTTCAAATCCTCAACCACCTTTGCAAAAAACCAACTGGTTTACCCTCAGCCAGTTGGTATTCTTGACCCTATTCGAAAGGTTGATTTACATGCTAACAAAGCCAACCGCTCAAGTACAACTGCACTAACTCAGCTAGCAGACACTCTATAATGTAAGAACTCAAGTAAACCGAATAAATGCAAATAATTATTGTAAGAATCTGTGCATAAAATTTTACACCCAAATTTTCCTAATTTGCGTGTATTTTTCTACACGAGTGTTTCGCACGTGTTTTTCTCGTGGAATTTGCATGCAATATGGCAGATTTCCATGCATGAAATACATGTGTAAGGTTGCAATGCCTGTGGCCTGTACTGTAAGTTTCATTTGAAATATTTGTCTCAGGGATTTGCTCTGCCCCACTAGCATCAGTGCTATAAATACTGCCAAGGGTAAACAAAGGATATCATTATTATTATCATTCGCCAAACTAGACAGAAACATTACAAGTGTTTCTTTAGAAACACAACTTAAAATGTACGTTACTTAGGTAAACTGATGCAGCAATTTACTTAATCTTACTAATGCAGCAAAGTTTGACATCGAGAATAGACGTGATTCGTCAAAAGCTAAGCCTTCTTTGTGTTCCAGGCGTTCAGATAGTGAGCGTGGGTAAATAAATGCGAGCGAAAGGGCTTGTCCTGGAACTGGCTATAGAAATTTTAAGTGCCCTTTATGAAAAAGATGAGCAATCTAATCTGTTTGCCGTTAGTACAGTCCCGTCTCGTCACTCTTAAAATAGCAGCTCTATTACTCAGAATATGAGCAAGTTCATAACGGGGTCAACGGTTTGCAAGAAAAGTTTACCGTAGATGTAGATGTATATGTAGATAGTATCCTCTCATGTGAAAGCTTTAAGCTTTCTGTGCACGCGAACAGTATGTCCATACGAAAATTGATCCACACCAAAAGGAATCATTTTGATTCAACATGACACATATAAAGAGTGATGGCAAAGTATATGTATCATCAGACTGAGAGGAACAAACAATGCATTTTCTTACCGCATTTTCCCAGTTTTGTCGATTGTAAGTGTTCGCGCTCTTCGAAGTCGCCATGTTGAAATCATCTCAGCCTCGCTATCAAAATCGTCCTGCAGCATTGTGGGCTCAAGGTGTCGCATTCTCGCAGGCCGGAAAGATGGATAGCGCTACCCACTGGTAACGGGGGCACCCAACGAGACTAATAGTTCAAACCCACTTAAACATAGCATTGTTAAACATATTTTAGTATTTAAACGGTAGATATTGGCATATTTTTATCCCCTAGAAATTTTTCGTCTGTTCGGATTTCCCAGCTGAAAGTCTAGTGATCCGAAAATTATAGGGATCAAAACTTACCTTTCGAAAGTTTCAGCCACGTAAAAGGCTCCCAAAAATTCTAGGTGATGTTTTAGGGTAAGAATCCGTTAAAAATGGACAATTATACCATTTTTTGGATGTTTGAAAATCCTGGGAGAGGCAGGCAAGCAAAAAATTTTACAACAAATGTTCCGAAAATTCTAGGTCTCAAATCGTCTTTTTTATTTTCCGAAAATTGATGTTGCCAATGGGTGTCCCTGTGGATAAACTGCAGTATCCAACGGGTAAGTGTTAGGGAAACCAACTGCGCTATCCAGCGGATAGTGATTTATCCGGTGGATACACCTTTTGAACAACTGGGGCCTGGTGTTCTTTTGTATGGACTGGCCTCTTCACATTAGCCCTGTTAGCTTGTTCCCGTTCAGATGTAGCGCGGCGGTAACTGGGGAGCGAGTTAAGTTGTACACCGGAGAGAGAGAGAGAGCGTGAGAACTCTCTTCCCCTTTCCCCCTCTAGTCTCCCCTCGTTCTTTTTTTCTTCGTGAATTTTTCTCCCGCGCTCTGCTACGACTACTATCGGAACGCCTAGAACAGGCTAGAGCCCGGTTGACCGGACTAGCCCGGTTTCCGAGATCTCGCCTTACCTCTAAATCCTTTGTCAAATTTTTGATGAGTTTATGTGAGAGGGCAGGCTGGCTCGGTTCCCGAGATCGTGGTTAGAGAAACCGAGATCTCGGTAAGCGGGATGCTGCGAATGGCATCGCCTTGCATTCGTTATCTAGACTTCTCAAAAATACCTTGTAACACCACAAATAAACTTTTTCAATTCACTTTTTCTTATATTTAATTCTATTGGCCTTAGAACGTCTGAGAATCGGACCAGGCTAGGTGGAATCTTCAAGGACGTACGCGTAGACTGCGAAACAGCCACAATTTTTGCAAAACCGATTTTGAGAAAAAAAACCCGACTGTTTTGCAGTCTGCAAGGACGAGAAGAGATAAAATTGTGAAAGCAAGAACAGTGAACAGTAAGGGTCAAAACTGAAGCTGAACCACTAGGAGGTTATGGACTCCAACTCCGATCTTGGAAGCACCAGACTCCAGAGAGACCCTGGTAGTAAGGTGAGGATTCCACTTGCAGAAGAACTATAGTGACAAAACATGTTTCGAAATCTAAAAAACAAGACAAAAACAAGGTTTTACTGAACAGCTTGTCTAGCCGGTTTATTAGCAACCAGAAACCTCTTGAGGTTTCGACAAAATTAACGCAACTTTCCAAACTACTAAATTCCGGATTTTCTGGTGTCCTGGTCAAGTGTTTTTCTTTCTTTTTTTTTTTGCAGTTGTTCGTCGGAACAAAAATTTGGTTCGTCGCCCGGGTCAAAACGCTGCGAAAACTTTTCACACTGAAACGTACAGACATGCCCTCTGTTTGTCAAAGCATGTGTTAGAAACCTAACGCCTTTCCAAGTAAATGATACTATTCATATTTTTAGATCAAAACTCGCTGATATCAATATTTGTCCAGAGACTTCAACCCCCGCCCCAGCCCCACTCTGCAAGTTGGCTGTTTCCCTTGATGCCTGATCTACTATAGTTTTTGGCACGGAGGTACTTCGACTGGGCTTGGGGCTGTTCAAAGCATTCTAGGGGTAGCTGAAAAAAGTTTTGTTGCAGGCTGTCCAAAACTAAGTTCGGCATTTTTAACAGCAACGATTTATTTTTTCTTTTGCTTACACTTTGCATAACCCTAGCTATTCTGAACACAATAGCATTTGTTTCCCGTAAAGTGAGGTGAATTTATATCATGTGAACCTAAACCGTATCTTTCATAATCCCAGAAAATTTTTCTTTTCCGTTTTAGACCTCTCTGGGCTCATATAGCGAAAAATCGCGCAATACCAACATGAAGTTAGAAAAAAGGTAGAGATTTGGGGGCACGAGGCGATTGGGAAATTACGCAAGTGAAGTTACTTTTTATTCAGTAAATTTACTAGAAGGGTAACGCAATCGTTCGGTGCAATGTTGATTTCGCAATTAAAATTTTCTAGATAAATCGTTCAACCCCACTTCAAAGGCTTATCAAACCAAATTATTCAATAATTTTTTGTTTGTTTATGGAAGAAATTAAGTAAAAAGTAAAAAGGACTCTTTAAAACACAGGTAAAGAGTTTTTAATCTTGGGACAGTGTTCCCAGGTGTAAATTTTTTATTGTCATGCTGCGTCGATTGCACGTGCACGAGTGACCAAAGGTGGAAAGGATCTTTCATCAGAGTAAATTTGTCCAATGAAACAGCTAGGTCCAGTGTTATCCGAGCTGAGTGGCTACTAAGGGCATCGCTACAAGAGAGCGCTCGGATCGGATATGAGTTACAGTTTTTACGACGTAGACTTTAGCGAAGAACTTAGTGGTCCTTCAGCCAAAAGATTCAAAATGAACAACCCTGACACACAAAATAATACTTTCCTTTTCACTTCCGAGTCCGTTGGTGAGGGACATCCAGGTAAATTTCATTGTGCTGCTTGAATTTTTAATTGATTTATCGCGCCATGTTGGGAATTGTACAGAATTGCACTGTTTGGTGATTTCCGTCCGACTCAAATGCCTTACTAACTGTTGTTGTCTGTTATTCACAGATAAAATTTGCGATCAGGTCTCTGACGCTATTCTGGACGCCCATCTTAAGCAAGATCCCGATGCTAAAGTTGCGTGCGGTAAGGGCTTTAACTGGAGGGTTCGCTCGATGCATGCTTATGAAGTAAAGGCGTTGTTGTGACTCGTCTAAGTTGAAAACTCAGTTTAAGTGTTCCATAACTGTTTAACGAGCCACAGAAAAAGAAAAAATAAAGTTGAGGGTGTCCTTTTGCCGATAGAAAACTTGTTACTCCAGCAACATTAAAATGCGCTACCGAATCCCGTATCGCTGTACTTCAAGAGTGCGTGGCTAGTTTGTTGTCGACGTCGAGTTTTCTGCCGTGACAAAAGGCTTTAAATTGGGGGCCAAAAATTTTTTCTCTGTATTTTTAAAGTTTTATGATCCTATTTTCTGACAGGTTTGGGACAAATTTTTATTGTTGGTGTACGTCATTTTTGAGAGTTCTTGGTATTGCTCTGCTCCGCGGGCGTTGAGGACAGACCATGAGCGTAATTTCCCGGGATCGTGTGAAATTGCGTAATGCCATGTTTAAATATTCAAATGACAATAGGGCAATAGGGTGTTCGATTTTCTCGTTTTAACTGTTCTGTGCCGTTTTTTGTGTGTTTCCTGAGCCTAGCAAAAACTTGTGGCATGAACGAGCAATCTATGTTTCCTCTTAAATCGGTATTCTTGTTTTGCCCCGAAGTGGTTGTGTTTTAATGCCGCCAAACCGGTTATACGCATCAATAGTAAACAAGGCCCACGTTTCATACATCACGTTTTGATCATTGTTGTTTCTACGTTAAAATACTTTCCGCTTGCCTTAAAACATTCTTTTATCGTATTTCGCAGTCTGCAAATTAAACTTTTTTGGACAATATAACTTGGTTCCAACAGTTACAAACTAAATGGAACACAAATACCCTAAGCTTGTTCCCACAAATTTCTCTATTTTGTAAGACCAGTTTCGATCAACTGGAAAAGGAATCCTGTCAGTCTAGTCGACAGAAATAAATAGAAAAAACATCATGTGATAGAAACTGATTTTTTCGTTAAGTATATCAAAGCGTGGCTTTAAAGTCTACCGTTGCAGCACGTAAGATGTTGTTTCATGCATTTAACAAACGAATTTGAAGAGAAACTCCAGCACCACCTTTTCAATAATATTGTTACATGTAACTTCTCAGAAAAAGGAGATCTTGATTTAATATGCGAGGTTTCGAGAGATCAACAAGAACAAACTAGCCATTCAAGTTTGATGTAATTTCGTATACTAATTTGACAACATTTCTTTTTGTAGAAACCGTTTCCAAGACAGGCATGATTCTTGTTTGTGGTGAAATCACATCCAAAGCCGTTGTTGACTACCAGACTGTTATCCGTGATACCATAAAGAAGATTGGTTATGACGACTCTAACAAAGGTAGGCATGCCATTGATTTTATGGAGAAGCAACACAAGTAGGTCCTGCTTTTTTGACCCCCTTGACCTTCAGAATTATATGTGATGTAATTTCTGAAATGCATTTTGCATAATTTTTGTTAACCTTGATTATTAACAACAAATGCTGAGAACTGTGGCTATCCTTCTCTTACAAAATATTCTCATTTACTTTGAAAGATATTTAAAGGATATCATAATGGTTGTAGTGAATTAAATTGTCCAACAATAGTTCAGCAATAACAAACATATATTTCAAATGTATGTGACATCTCATAAAAGGTTATTTTCTTAAGGTGAATTTCTGTCTTTATTTTAGAAGTAGAAACATTGATAGTGTTGTGTTTATTCAGGGTTTGACTACAAGACCTGCAATGTGTTAGTTGCCCTTGAACAGCAGAGCCCTGACATTGCCATGGGGGTTCACACTGGAAGAAATGAAGAAGACATAGGGGCTGGTGACCAGGGACTTATGTTTGGTTATGCCACTGATGAAACGGAAGAGCTTATGCCTCTTACGGTTGTGTTAGCTCATAATCTCAACAAGAAACTTGCAGAGAATAGGCGCAATGGAACAATGTCGTGGGTGCGACCTGACTCAAAGACCCAAGTTACGGTGGAGTATAAGTCTGAGAATGGAGCTGCTGTTCCCATCAGAGTTCACACCATTGTTATTTCTGTGCAGCATGAGCCCAATATCACCTTGGATCAAATGAGAAAACAACTGTATGAGAAAGTCATCAAGGTAATAATATTTTTCACCTCTTCTTAAGTCATTGCAGCAATGCTTTTTTGCATCAGTAACCGTCAAGTTTCGTTACTTCCGGCTTTAGCACCCTTCTGCTATCATTTTTTGGGGGATCATTACTTTTGGATGGCTGTGTACTCCACATGGGCACTTCAGGAAATATAATCGCAAAAAAAATGTGAAAGGAATAGTATTTGGAGAAAGGTTTTGTATACCGTGTACTTTAAGAGTTGTGAATAGGAATTTTGAATAATCATTATTAATAAACCTCAGATCAGTGTGGTAGTTGTTCAGGGTATCTATCACATCTGTTTTTTTTTGTGTAAGGGGAAATAAGTTTTGAGGCCTCTACTTTCAGGGGTTTGTTATTTTCAGGGGTCGCTACTTTCAGGATCTACCAACACCTGTGACATTTTGTCACTTCTTTCAAGGGGTCATTACTTTCAGAACTTAAACAAAGTAAAAACAAATAAACTTAAACAAAGTCTATGAAGGAACTGGACAAGGTTCACATTTTTTTAACAATGACAAAAAACTTTATATAAAAATTGAATAAGAGTTGAGCAAATGTTTAAGTAGTAGCAATGCTAGATGACCTGAGTAATTATTTGTTTCATATGTCTTGCAAATTTTACAGACTGTTGTCCCTGCCAAGTACCTTGATGATGATACAATCTACCATCTTCAACCTTCCGGTGCCTTTGTGATCGGTGGTCCCCAAGGAGATGCTGGTCTGACTGGAAGGAAGATCATTGTTGATACCTATGGTGGATGGGGTGCTCATGGTGGAGGCGCCTTCTCTGGAAAGGATTTCTCAAAGGTTGGTTTTAGCCACTGATGGTTGCGGTGATCATACTGGTCTGCTACTGCCATAGGATAACTGTAAATGGTGTATCACCCCTTACGGTCAAGGTTCAATTAATACTGATGATCAACAAAATTAAAAAACTAGCGGTTGCATAACTTGCAAAGAAATGGCATATAGGATAGGATCATGGTGTTACAAAAGTTAAAAGTATGTTGTTTAAATTAAATCTTCCAACTGTAAGTAAATATTGAAGGGCTTCAGATTCTAAGACGAATGCCACCCGTCAACCACTGTCTGTTTATTTTTGTTGTTGCTTTGCTTTTTAAGGTCAGCGTTGAGTTTCTTTCATTTTTTTTTGCAGGTCGACCGATCTGGTGCATATGCTGCTCGGTGGATTGCCAAGTCTCTTGTAGCAGCAGGTTTGTGCCGTCGTGCTCTTGTCCAAGTCTCCTACGCTATTGGAATTGCTGAACCCTTGTCAATCACAGTGTTCTCTTATGGAACTAGCAAGAAGAGTGAAGATGAGCTCTTGAAGATTGTTAAAGATAACTTTGATCTTCGCCCTGGCATGATTGTTAAGTAAGTATTCATTTTTCTAGTTATCTCATAATTACTAAATAGTAACGATTTATTTAAGCCCATGAATGGCATCTTCATTTCAGTTTATATGCACTGGGAGGTTAAATAATAAGCAAGGTTAGCAGCTGAGGGAGTGAGATTTAAAGTTTATCAATTTTGTTGATGGCTGTAATACCTTGCACAACAATAATAATGATAATAATAATAATGATTAATATTATTGTTTGAGGCAGTGATAATCCCACCCCACTTCTTGCAGACAACTCTCTTCTTCAGACTCTCTAGCCTCTGTTGGTGTCAACGTCTCCCTCAATAATACAAACGCCTAGGAGACTGAGTGGCATAGGGCGTGGATGACATTAAGGTTGGCCACTTAAATAGCATTTCTGGACTTTAAATTCATTGGTATCTCTTTTCATTTTTTTAGGGAACTGGACTTGAAAAAACCAGTCTACCAAGATACATGCGTTTATGGTCATTTCAAGCCTGGCTTCACATGGGAAGTCCCCAAGAAGCTTGTTTATTAAATAAGCTCTCCCATTGAAACACTTGTATTTCTGACCCTTGGATCTCGGAACCACCTGGAGTAGACAAGAATGATTCATACATAAAAATGATTCCTTCACAACGAACATTTGAAAGAAATACGGACTTGAAAAAATATAACTGAATTTTTGAATAATATAGTTTCAACACATTTATGAACTCTATTTTTGTTTTCTCAATCTGTAAAGAGGATTGAATGTATTTGCAAGAGTCGTTCACACTGCTGTAAAAATGCAAGCTCATCTAGCAAGCTATCAAAAGAATGGAAGGAATTTTAGAAGTGAAAAAGCAGTAAAACATCAATCTGTATTGCAGAATATTAAATTATATTGTTATTTATTCCTTAGGCCTCCTGAGCCTATGAATGTAGTTGAAGAAACGTTGCCGTGTTTTAAAGCATTGCAATATTTCTTTCACATTCTTTTACTAAGGTGTTGGTTGTGTCATTTCCTTAGGCCTCCTGAGCCTATGAGTGTAGTTAAGAAACGTTGCCGTGTTTTGAAGCATTGCAATATTTCTTTCACATTCTTTTTCTAAGGTATTGGTCGTGTCATTTCCTTAGGCCTCCTGAGCCTATGAGTGTAGTTAAGAAACGTTGCCGTGTTTTGAAGCATTGCAATATTTCTTTCGCATTCTTTTTCTAAGGTGTTGGTCGTGTCATTTCCTTAGGCCTCCTGAGCCTATGAGTGTAGTTAAGAAACGTTGCCGTGTTCTGAAGCATTGCAATATTTCTTTCACACTCTTTTATCTAGGTAGTAATCATGGAATTCCTTAGGCCTCCTGAGCCTATGAATGCAGGTAAAGAAACGTTGCTGTGTTTAAATGCATTGCAATATTTCTTTTGCATTCTCTTGTTTCTCTATACTTTTGCTTTGGTTTTTGTTGTTTGCTTTACTTTTTGTTTTGTTTGGTCCTAAAAATCATCTGAATGTTTTTTAAAAAAATATTTTACCCAGTAATGAAGCATTAAAGAACAGTCATGGAGTTGTTTGGAACTCGAGTCTTGTCTTGTTATTTTAGATATTGTAAGAACCTGCATTTATGTTTTTTAAAGTCTGGTAAAAAAAGGTTCTTGTATTTTGGGGTAATTATTGGCAAAGGCTCTGGATCAGGTTGTTAATTTCTATGAAGGAGATACAGATGTTGACTTACAGAAAAATAAAGAATCTCAAACTTGGCCCTTAAATATACAGTATTTATTCACGACTAGCATTATGTAATATCGGGTGATAACCAGATTTGACACACAACGTATTACTCTCTTAACGCAACAATACTGGAACAGAACGCCATTAACCTTGTAGAACTGCTGAGAAAAAAACCCAAACTGCAGAGTGCCAATTATGGAGAGAACATACTGGAGAGGGCACTGAAACGAAATATTGTATTGGGATTCAGCATGTAAACACAGAGTTATTAAACAAGGAATCGATAACTAAAGAAGTTTGAGATCAAATCAGTTGGAACTTAAAAAGACTTTATTATTACTGAATATTTAGCCAGTCCAATTTTTTGTAAAATGATTACGTTTCTCTACAGTCATTTTCTTTCACAAAAATATCTATATCCTTCTTGGGTAGATCCCTAGCGCTTATGTGCATATAAATTCTCATGGGTGGATGTTCGCTTGTTGTATGTATGCTGGAGGTTTTTCGCTTGTTGTATGTATGCTGGAGGTTTTTTTAAAAAATAATTTCAAGATATTTAGAGGAGCGTTACTAATATTGATATTGTTTATTAAGTTGGAAAAAAAATTGCATCGGCAAAAAAAAGATTAATTGGTATAAAGTGGCGTTTTACTAATTCTTAGTTTTTGTCTTGTTTATAAATGCAGTCACATTCACAATTAAAAAAAAAATTGCACAAGAATTAATGAACTTTTTTTCTACTAGCTGAAAATAGTGAACATTAAGCGCCCACCCGCAATTGGCACCAACTCTCAAGGTATTTTTTCCCTAATTATTTATACACAAAAATAGTGGTCAGAGTTTCCTCATAATAACATCGCCCATCCCCAAAATAATATTTTACTCTCACTAGCTATTTTTTAGTGCTTTAGGGTGCCAACTTTTGTTCTGTATTGCAAAGCCTAAATCGTTCAGTTATGGTCATTGCACGTCAAATGCAGCTGACTATCAATAGTTTCTTCAACAAACATGATTACACTTGTTAAAATTCATGTTTTATTTCTGAGAGCTTTTGAGAATTAAAATACTACACAAAATAACGTGTTAATTGATTTTAACTTATCTGTTCGTTAAAAACTATGCAGTATTATTTGTTAGAATTGTTTGCCCTGTATATCAAAACTTTAGGACACTCAAACTGTAAAACTATTTAACAGTGGAAAGGTCAGTGGAAATCAAATAATTTTCTGACCCAAACTTTAACCATTTTACATAAATTACTTTTGGTTATTAATATTAATTTTATTATTAATATTTTAGTGTCAAAAACTAGAGTTATTTTATAGTAAAAAATTCAGTAAGAGTACCGCATAAGACAGCTTAGTATACGTACACACAAACATTAGTATTACCCATTTAATAATATCATAGTCATCAGCAATGTAGTCCCCTACACACTTGAGTGAATGTGAAGGACAGTGTCCCTAAAGTTATAATCAGTGACTGCTGTTAAAAAGACGCCAGTTGGCCAACTGTTGGTAACCTATCATTGACCTCTTGGCTGTTTTTCCCTTTTTAGGGAGGGTGGGGGGAAGAATGGGGGGTTGGGTGGGTATGTAAGGAGGTTTTCTTCAAGATCACCAAAACTTAAACATAGAAAGGTATTAATTACCATAACTTTGCAGTGACATTTTCTTTTGCTTTTGGCTCCTCTTTTGCAAAGCTTAAGATGTATTGATTGTAAGAGCGAAAACATGCATTACACACAACTGAGAAGCGATTCAAACAGTGCTCGATAAGATAATGATGAATGAGGCAGACGCAAGTCTGAGATCTATTACTTACATTCCAGCAAAGATAATGCCTGAGGGAAACAACATTTTAATTAACGCTTAATGTACATGTTTATAGCAATGGAAATGAGGAAAACGAAAATAAAAATGCAAAACCAAGCAAAGTTCTTATAAAAACAATTGAAGTTAAAAAGTGAAATAGCTGCTCTTGTTTTATTAGTCTGATGAAATGCAATTATAATGTGAGGAAGTGTGTAGGAACATGAACACAAAGCTACATATGAAACACTATTTACAAAATAGATCAAATATTATTTCTATGAACAGCAAATAAACAATGGAAATAGGAACTGTTTCATATTATTAACAGTAGCACTCTATAATAAAATTTCTATTCTTTTGTAGCTATTACATGTAAATTGGAGAAGTGGTCAAAAAAAGTAACCTCAATGAGGACCCACCTGGACTAGGGGAGAAAGTCTACACAAGACACTTATGAGCTTGATGGATAAAAAATTTATTTATTATAGCCCGAAAATTAAGCCTGGTTCACACACAAATGCAAGATCAAGAAAATACATGCGTGAACAACATCAACACATTCAAATGCAAATGCAAACGCAAGTGTGAACACACTGTCATGGCTTGCATTTTGCACTTGCATTTGCTGTGTGAGCCAAGGCAATGCAAATGCAAGGATAAAAAAACAGGTTCCATTGGTTTCATGACACCATGGCCCAGTGAAGTTGAAAGCAAGATCGCATATTCCATTTTAGATGAGAAACTGACAAAGAGTGTGTACAAAAACATTCGGTGCTTTATGATAAACATTGTGCAGATAAATTGAAGAAAATTCTTGCCTGAAAAGATGTGGCAAAAAAAAATAACACCAAAAAACCACGTTTTACGATAGAAAATATAAACAGCAAATACACACAGATTTAATACAGAAATGGATTTCAAACTGTTACAGTATAAGTGTACATGTTCTGTTACATTAAATACTAAGTAATTTTTTTTGTCCCTTTTGCATTCTCTTATGCATTCTATACGAAAGCCACGAAAGATAGACTTAACTGCAGCCAAAGCTTCACTCTCATCTGCCATCTTGGAAAAAGTTTGACTGTCCTTGTCTGGGCCTGCATATCTTGCCTTCCTTGCATTTGTGTTGCACATGTGAACGACTTTTACTTTTGCATTTGTGTTGCACATGTGAACCAGGCTTTAGAGATAAGAATTAATCTTCTGTGTAAATGAAACCTGCATTTTCAGGCAAACTGCACAAAGACATTTTAATCTTACACTTTTGATCCGTCAATGATAAACAGGGTGTGTGTTGTGGGGGGGGGGGGGGGGGGGGGGCTATCGAAATGAGATAGCATCTTTTTGCGATAAAAGGGAGGTACAAAAAGAAACCAAGCTGCAGAGTCCTATCTACATTGTAGGTGCAATATTAATTTTGACCACTTCCCTAGATAAAAAAGACCCCTAATTTTTACTTCTTTTTCTTTTTTGTTACTTCTGCAAAATAACACTGTTGATGGATCAATGAATTAATAAATGTTACACTATATTGTTTCATGTCAACTATTTTTTAGTAGCAATTTGGATCTTCTTTTCTCAGTTATGTGTTATGTTTGGTTTGCCTAACAATTTTGTGAATAACTTTCTTTATTTTTTAAAATAAAATACATGGAAAATAAAGATAAAACTGATGGTCTAGGAGTTAACTTGGACATTCACATTGCACCAAAGAAAAGTGGTATATTTTAGGTGCGGAGAAAACTTCCATTTATAGGGATAACAAATAATTAATTAAATAAACATGCATGAGAGATCTAAGAGGTTGCAAAAAGTCTATGAATCAAAAATACCAACATTCAACCAGATCCCAGCATTAAGAAAATAATTGAATTGTCGTTAAGAATAAAGCAATACTAACATTAATATTAATCACACTATTTTGTTGCCCTTAATAACTGCTGGTGTTGAAGGCAAGTAACTAGAAGGGAAGAATTATTTAAGGGTTTGTTGTTTGATGCATCAAGCCCCTTTCTTAAACAGTGAAAGCATTTTTTCCCAAATTGCAGCATGAACACCTTGTCAATATTAATTTTTGCTAAGTCAAAAATTTACCAAGCAATTAGTAGGGCTGGCAAACGGAATCTAGAATATTTGGGGTCTCAGAAACCTTTCATCTGATCTCAAATGAGTGTCTCAAAATCCTGTAATTATGTGTGTACAAGGTTTTGCAGGATCTTGGATTTTACCATTCACCAGCCCTAACTATTCAAATGCACAAAATGATTCAAGGATTTCTTTTGCAGCAAAAATATTATACACGAATCTGTGAATTTGGCTTCTGCTAATAAAACATGGGCAGATTATACATACCCCTATCTAGAAAACACTTCATCACCCTCCCCCCCCCCCCCAAGCCTCCCCAATAATAAGTACTCTACATAAAAATAGCCTGCTCTTAGTAAATATGACTTGGTTACTTGACGCTTTATCAGTGTAACGCCGAGCTTCTTTGCAAAAGACCTCAAGAACTAAACCATTTTTAGCAGTGTGCATACCATCCCTGTAAATAGATGCATGCTGACACCAGACTGTGTGGATAATAGTAGCCACCTTTCGATTGAACTACGAGTGTGAGATTGAGGATGACCACGAGTTTTCAAAGCAAGTTCGTGTGCCTTAGCACTTTTCACCCTTATCCCCAAGTCCCTTTGTCATGGTCAATGGGAAAAAGGGGGCTAAAATAATCTCTTGTACTTGTAGTCAAATCTAACATTGCTTACTGTTCCACAAGGAAGGCAGAGTTATACTTTATCCTTGTTTGTGAGCTTTTCTATAAGTTCCTGAAGAGGAGCAAGCTCCCTTTTGTCAACTAAGCTGAACTCTTGAACAAAAAACATAAAGTGTTTGAAAGATGTGTTGAGGTGTGCTTCCTCTCCAAGGCCAACTATATGCAGGAAATGTTGATGGTATATGTGGGCATACACTCTAAACAGTCGTTTGAGGATTGTCTTGGCAATAGACAGGAAATTCTTTGGAAATGGAACACCTGAAATATTCAAAAGGGAAAGACATGTACACCTTAATAATTTTAGAGTTTTAACATTATTGATAATGCAAGGTGTCCCGGCGTAGTCAATCAATAAAAATTGGTAGCAATCAAGTGATTTTTATCGATTGATAACGGAAATCGGTGAAAATCGATAAACTAAATTGCTGTGTCAAATAATATAAAGATTTCCCTGGATAGATTTTCATTGTTTTCCATTAACAATATAAAAATCACTTGATTACTGAAGATTTTTTAATCGATTTCGATTTTTATATGCACTTGGCCACATTGCTGCCATAAAAACCATCAAATTATCCTAACAGAAAATTATTTTCACCCTGTGATGGGATGAAGCCAAACTCTAGGTATACCTTTTTTTTCTCTTATTTACTGCAAAAACTACCCAGAAATACATCAGCAAAGCTCACCTATTTTTGATGGGAAAAGAGTCTCATCATCCAGTTGATCTTGGACCCATGTCATTAGATAATCAATGTATTTTGGTGCAGAGCATTTTATAGGCTTTTTGATTGTTGTCCCATCTGCCCAATGGTATTCATACCTAACAGAAAAAAAATATATGAATTTCAGCTGACTCTTAATAACATAAAACTAAAATTAAAGACACTTTTTAACAGACCACTTCCATTAGGGTGATTTTACTTAAACTGTGAAAAAGATACTAACAAAGATTGCAAAATAGTGAGAAGTAAACAAAAGAAGATGATGGAATTAGTGCATAATAGTGCATAGTATCCTACTACCTATTTTATCGGTTGAGTAAAACCACTCCAAGATTACACTGTAAGGTGACATTACTGAATATCACAATATGAAGTGGGAGATAAAGTCTAATGTAAGGCAAAAGAGGCAAGTATAGGTGCGAAAAGAAAAATCAACACCTGTAAGCAACTTTCATTTTCATTTTTCTACAATTGTTTTTAGTGAGCTTACACTAGCACTACAGGGCAGCAAAAAAAGGACGGCAAAAAGTTTGTGTGTCACTTGCATGTTTTGTCACAATATTCACTTAACATTGCCGTGTTCTGTTCTTTTACAGAAAAAATCTGTTGAAATTTTTGACAAACATAAATATAGTCAGACTTGTCACCCAAGGCTTTGCCATTTTCTATCCTCTACCATTCCATTTTGTAAGGAGGGGGACATTGGGGTTTACAGTATTGTGGTATTGAGCTTTTCTTCAAGTGATATTTTGGTAAATTCAATTTTTATGTGCAGTATTGAGGTAACACCTAGCCCTGTGGTAGACAGTTTTTCATCCTTTTGGCTAACAAATTTAATTTGCACTCACTTGTCTAAAACAGGTCAATGCAATGTGCAACACAATTTCACAGTAAGCTATATCAGTCAATAAAGGTTTATATTTTCAAATCTTTAGTTAACACAGTGAATGATCACACAATTTCTGACAGTTTATGGGATTGTTGATGCATCCAACGATCGGACTTTCCAACCTGTATACCAATAAATTTGAGGTCTTCTCACGTTTTCTCACATTAGCTGGGGTTGATTTCTGGTGCACATGCTTTTTAAGTTACCAATCATAAATGAGTTAACCCAATTTTGTTGATTTTCTACACAGTATTTCAGTATTTGACAGTTTTTCTTACAGTATTGGGTACCCCCTAATGTTCCCCTCTGTAAGTTTACTATAGCCAGCAACATGCCAATGAGATCTGAGCTTCACTTCATGGTGTTACATTTTCATGGTAATGTAATGGTAATGTCATGAATAGCTGAAGAGCTCTACTAAAAGCCAACCACTTAGGGACGGTGCCCACAACAGGGAAGTATTTTTTCCCAGATAATGACTATGTGAGACAAGTAGATCATATCAGGGGCTATTGAAATCCAAAAAGAAAACTGGGGGTAACCACGCATTTTTCAGAGATAACTGCACTTCAATATTGAGAAAAACGCTGAATAGGCATTTTTCAGAAAAATGATAAAAAAGTTATTTTTTCCCCACATTTCAGAGTGTACATGTGAACTGGCACAAATGCAATGATGAATGTAACAAGGTTTCAAATTCAGCAACAAATGATAACATAACAACTGCTCTTTATACGTCTTTTTTTGAAATATCAGCACAACTGGGAAGTCATCAGCAGTTACCCCTCTCCACGCGTTTGCCTTATAAAAAATAGCGTAAACGACATTTTCCCCGAACCAAAAATCAGGGTTTGAGCCAGGCTGCGCCATTGCGCCAATCCCGCACTGCAATTGAAATTGTCCCTTAAAAAAACGGCCAAGCGGACAATTTGTCCCCTTCAAAATTTAGGGAAAAAAACTTGAAAGGAAGCACACATGAAGAGATTTATTTCAGTACAGAAATTTCAAGCTAAAACAGAACATGGAAAGTATATTTTATCGCACGTTTAAAGGGGCTGTGTCACGGCAATTCTGTTCATTTTGTTTAATTTTGCCAATTACTCGCCCTCAATCGCTGTGGAACTCAAAGTAAGCAGAGAAATTACATGTAAATGACAAAATCATAGATCCGAAACAAACAAATATGTCTCCTGAGCATTATTTTTGAAGCAGCAGGGATCAACTTTGAAAAACTGTTAGGCTGCACGGTTTTCAGCGGTTATTTTATGTTTCTCTTAATTTAACAGGCATTTATTTTGTAATTTCCTAATTTGGCTGAATTTCGTGACACAGCTCCTTTAAAGTTCATTCTTAAGTCGCGTTTCAGTCACGCTCTACTGGACACGTACGTCTCATGCTCAACCAAGCATGGTGAATGCGCCTGGCAATCGTTAACATGTCACATCGAAAACGTGTTCGAACATTAGGAAGCTTTTTCGCTCCAAATCAAAGCCAGAGTGAATCAGAGAAAAATGATACAGAAGAAGAACAGTGTATTAATCAGGAAGAAACGGATGAGAATCGAAGGAAACCGAAAAAAATCACGAGATCACACGTGGTTGCGCTATGAAAAGGAGGCCATGTTCTGCTATTTTTGTCGGAAATCTAAGAAGACAAACCCCTTTGTATCAGCAGAAGGGTGTACAAATTTCTGTCCCCCTAAAACTGAAAATGTCCCCCAAAATTTTAGCCAAGGGGACAAATTGTCCCCCAGTGATCAAATCCTAGCTCAAACCCTGAAAAATTGATCGTTTGCTGAGTAGGCTTATTTATTTACTTTCATTTGGTAAGATAAAAAGTAGGGGTTACCACGCGTTTTTAGAAGTTAAATTGGTTGGTTTTCACCTTAACTTAATCGCTTTGGAGGTTATTTACAATTTCTCCCATCCCCTCCCCAGTCAGTTTTCTTAGAATGAAAATACTTTATTTCACCTTCCATCTTTAGTTTGTAAACAGCCAAATGGCAGCTATGTCTAAATGTTCAGATTATGTGTGGAGTGAAATTGAACCTTAAGAAATCACTATCTACACAACAAACTGCCCAATGAGTCAATAATTTCAATGCTTAGTAATGCCAAAATGCTTAAATAACAATGATAATAGTAAACAGCATAACAATTTTTTACGATTTTTTCCACGATGAAAGTGTTTCCTTTGCGGTCCGCAACTATTTGTGAGGCTGCGATTTCAGCAATCCAAGCAATCTTGTGATAGTTTTTTTCTTGTTTGTTCAACAAATAAAAGCGTCGGACTCTCAATAAAAAAGACATCTGTATGTACTCGAACGCTTTAAATCTATCTTCCCGTGAATAATTTCATGAAATCTTACAAAATTAAAGAAATATTCAGGAAAGTGTTTATAGCCGATTAGCCGATAAAACACGAAGGACGCAAGTGAAAGGTAAGCTTGCAGTTTCTCAATTTAGCAGAGGACTTAGAGCTATTTTCCTTCTGATTTACTGATCCTTGCCCGTTAAGGGATTTTTTAAAACCCAAGCTCCAAGCGTAACATCTCGAAGCAATAACTTTTGATGTTTTAGAATTGGCTTTTGCTTGACTATAAAATGTTCGGTCAGATCGATCATACAGCAGAAATAGCAACATGCGCATACTTCTTCAGTTTTCAAAGAACTGACAAGGTAAATATAAATTATTTTTCATCTTTCAAAAAACGACGCATCTCATTTCCACAAGAAATAACTAGAACCTCCCAGAGTTACAGCAGACAAAACCAGTCCGTGTGTCCTGCGTGTTGCGCATTTCTTTCGCGTCGCGCGTGACTACCTTGGCATGCACAGAAAATGTGCGCAGTAACAATAGTGGGCACCATCCTTAAGTACAAAAAGGGAAAGAACTTACAAGATCCAGCAAAAAAATTCAACAAGGGACAGAGACACCAGAGCCAGCTGCAAACGGACATATGTCCAACTGGAGTACCACTCTAGCTGGACAAACCAGAAATGTCTTCAGACTTACTTTAAGGGGACCAGTGCATTCTTAAAATACTATTAATGCAACTCTTCAGCTTCAAAATGATAGTCTTTCAATGCAATCTGTCTAGTCACTGGTCAAGTCTGAGAATCAAGTCTCAAGTTTGGAGGCGAGAAATATAATGAACTTATTTGGAGAGCACACAATTTAAATGCACAAACTGCTATTGAACTGAGAGGAGACAAAAAATTTTATTTTCTGTTTTTCCCTGGATTTTGGAAGTGAATGCCTCCAAAAAAGAAAAAAAAAGCTCTTCAATGTCTGTTTTTGTCCTCGACTCCAAGACAAAAGACAACAAAATCGTTTTGCAAAGAGAGGGCTTCGAAATTAGCGGAGAGCAACAAGGGCTCCCACTACAATCAAGAAAAAAGGTGAAAAGATGACAAAGCTTCTGAAAAACCCATTGAAACTACCACAGAATCAAGTTTCATGAGTTTCTTAGCAAGTACAGCAAGCTTTCTAGGCTGCAAAGCCGCCAAGTGAGTGAAGAAGTCGCAATCAGAGGTCCCACGTCATATAAAAATTATTGGATGAAGGACTTTTTCGGAAGTCTACTGTAGCGGGAGAGAAGCTTCAAGAAAAACTCCAGTAAGCAGTATGTTGTCAATTTTGCAAGGGAAGTGTCGAACTTTTAGAAAATATATCGAGCAAAAGTGGGCTTGGCTCAACTTGCCTTGTCCTTTGCGAAAATAAAAACTGCCTGTCGCAAATAAATAACGATACTTTCTGGACAACAGAAAGGATTGAACAGAGCAGAGCCTTTGAAATAACTTATTTGTTTCTCTGTTGTTGAGTTTTGTTTGCAACCTTTTCCTGCTGTATCACTATTGTTGTCCCTTTTCTGGTATGCAACTACATTGACAGCTTTCGTGTTATAATCTGTCATAATCTCGTCACATGTAATATGCCACCAACTCGTTTGCAAGTTAGAGTATTTTTTCACAGGTAGCGCTAATGATTTGCTATCCCTAACTTCAACTGCTCATAAAAAAAAAAAACAAACGCACTTGACAAAACCTGAGACATGGTTTTGTAGCCAAACGTGTTAAGAAGCGAATGTGACCTGCAGTGAAAGAAATTCACCCACATATGAAAGCAGTTTCGCCCGCACTTCCTAGCCAACGGCTACTGCTAGGTAAAAACTTATTCAAACTATGTCAAATGTAATAAGCTTTACTCGCAGCACTTCACTTTCCAATGGAAACTGCTAGTTTTGGAAGGGATCACTAATTAAAAGGTATATTTGTGAGGAACCAGAGTACTTTGAAGCCATAAAATTATTCCTACAATATTTAATTAGGGCACAATACAACTCAGAACAGCACTGTAGAACCCATTTACTCTAACCTTATAGAAGGTTTACTTACTTTGGGCCGGCAGACATGACAGGACATGACTCTGCTGAGCAGAACTCTGTTATTGTACCGTACAACATGTTGATTTGATTAAAGAAGTCCACAGCTGAAAAGAAGAACAAAGACTGAATATTTAAACTTAATTCTCTTTTTATAAACAGTGTCAAGGTCAACTCCATTATGTTCTGTCTAAAGTTGATAGAACGTTCGTGAAAAAATAAATAAATGAAATAAAAATTAGTCAATGCAGACCTCGATACCCTCACAAAGTCAGACTTAATGAAGGATAATTGCTCGAGTTCTACGTAATGACCTGTAAAATGAAAGTATACTATCATCCTCTCTCATTTAAACTTAAAGAAGTTTAAAGTAAGCTTAAGTGACCATATCAACAAATTCTGTTGAACGAGTACTCCAGTGGTATTGGTCGTTCACAAAATTTCCCAGTTGTAACTTATGTCCTTATAAAAACTGGAACAACAAGAAGATTTGCTTTATAGAGGAATGACGGCGTTCAAACGTACTATTTACAGCGACCCATTCGTTCAAATCTTCTCCCTCGGGGAGCATGACCGCCAATCGTAAGTTACCGCTACCAAGAGTGGCTGCCGCTTGTTTCATCAAATCATACTGATGTGTTCCTTCTGGAATGTTCTTCTTGGGTTTGAAAGTCTTCGTAGAACGGCCGCCGCTGAAAGAGAAAGAAAAAATAAAGGAAAATTACACTTTGACTTGAGCATACTACTTTCCGTCAACTCGGTAGTCGGTGGTCGAACCGCCGCTGCTATGAAATAAATTGAGTAGTATCTGTTAAAATGTAGCTTAATCCTTTATAAATGATCAAAGGAAGGGCACAACTTACAATAGGAAGCTCATCTTGGCTTCGGAACACTCTAAAATCTGTAATGTTGTGTTTGCGCAATGAATCTTTCAGATCATCAATATGGCGGCCTGAATTCACGGGTACCTCGTTCTGGCGCTTCCTTGATGAGCATAATCATTACGTCATTGGTGATGAATACACCATGTGTAACAAAAACAATATTTTTTTCTCCTGATCCTGCCTCAAACAAAGGCTTTTGTGAAATACTTTCGTTTGGAGAGGCTTTTGTCGTTGTCTCGTTTTGGGCGTACCTACATGATGTGACGCTATCCGGATGTTATTATTATTGCTATTTTTGGCTTTTATTTTTTGAGCTTTTGCCTAAAGGACGACCACCCTGACGCCTGGGTGTGTTTGGTAGTGTCCCTGCCCAGTCCTTCCCTTATCAAGTTCACAAAAAGTTTGAAAAAAACCCTAGGTTAAAATGATGTATAATTCAATTCCAAGGGTCCACTTGTAAGGTTATAGCGAAATAATAAGGTATTGGAAGTACACGAAACCAGTACAAACTCCAGGTTTTTGTCAAAAACCGACTCCAAGTGTAGAAAATCAAAGTATACGTACTGACTATTAAAGTTGCTCATTGAAGACCTTTTTGAATCGATCAGCGGACTTAATGTTAACAATTTCGCTTGGCAACGTGTTTCAGTCATTGACAGTTTTACAAAAATAACTATTCCTCTTTGTGACGTTTTGTATGGAAATGTATGAGAAGTTGGCTCGCCCAGGGTAGCTCGAGTCGGGCGATCCTTATTCTCAAGAAAGCTTTTGTCCGTATAAAAGGGGGCATAAAGACCACCCTCCATTTTGTACAGAAAGGTGGAGAAGGAAACTCCTCGTCAAGGCTCACATGGAATGTTTAAAATTTACGTGGGGAAACTGGAAATTCCTATTGGAAAAAGTAATGGTCCACGCTACACGGACTGTCATCTAAAGCGATGCATTTTTCTACTCTTCGTCTTTATAGACTGGTTTGCTTTCTTTGATTATACAAGATGTAGCAGGTCCTTAAATTCTTAAATTCGGGAGCGCATTCCTTTCGTATTCTTGTCTTGAACATTAAACAGGGGCATTCTGGTTGTTTATTAGAGTAGCCGAACAAAACGTATCGTCGCGACTAGAGCGTTGTTTTTCTTTTCTGAGTAAGGTTTCACGTAAGAAGCACAACACATGAACAGAGAGAATGGAAGGGCTAGCCTCCACCCTCCATTGCATGAGAGGCATTTGAAAAAAAAGGACAACGGCGGAATTAAGGCGCGCGCACCAATGTTGTACGAGTTCAGCTTCCTCGCGCCTTTATTTCCCTCCCAAAAGACAGGTTTTAATTAAGGCAATGACAGGGAAGAAATCAGGGAAACAAAACTTGTACATAAAAAAATTAATTGCCCCTGTTTATAAGACATTTTAACTTGATAAATATCACATTTGATTTTATTCCGTTATTAGAGTCAAAAGAAACATCTCATCCAAAACTAGGCATTAAAATTACAGTTTAGAGCTAAATCACTACACAACTAACACGACAACTGTACATTTTAAAAGTCAAACTCGCTCTAAGATTAAAAACTAACTTGTTCCTTGCATTCACTTTGACAACATAAAACTCCAAAGCAAAGCACTATTATTCAAATAGCACAGTACGCAAGGTAGTGGTACTCAATACTGTGAGTGAAATTAACGTCAAACTCTCTTGAAAAATATTTAAGGCTACTAGTTAATAACTTCAAGTTGTAGTCAACATGAAATAGGCTTATGTATCATACTATTTGTTTGCACAGTAGCTGCCATTTGTACTAACCCCTCCTGCATGAAGAGGAAGTTTGCACAAATCATGATAAAATATCGACCCTGCAAATGCCCATAATTTGGGGTTTGTTATGGCTGAAGTGAAGGTAGCCTGCGTGCAGACGATAACTAAACTCTGATTAGTACCGTCTGCGAAGCAGCGCAGAGATCCTTGTTCTGAACCCCCAACGGACTCAACAAATTACCGGAAGTGCGTTTCGAATTTCCCTTCAACCTGATTGGCGATCACGACAAACAAAACAAAGGCCTTTTTTAACTGAGCAATCGTGGCGCGTACTCAAATCTGGGTACACAGCTGGAAGTCCAGAACAAGGATTTCGGCGCTGTTTCGCAGACGGAGTTAACCAGAGTTTAATTTCGTCTGCGCGCAGGCTAAAGTGAAGGTGTCATACAGAAACTGACAATTTGTGCTAAATCAATACGTAGTACAAAGAGGTAGTTCCTGGCTAAAAAGCTTACAGCACCATGAAAACTATAAAAATTATCAACTTGGAATAACCAGTTGGACTATTGACCACCCTTTAACAAACAAACTTTAACAAACTCAAAAAGTGCTGTAAAAGGATGCCAGCTAATTGCATGAAAGTACAAAATAATACAAAGCAAGCTACGTAGTTGTGTTACAAAGTTCATTGATATCCAGGATATGAGACCATCCCTGGCGTCCCTGTGCTCTGTGCTTCCTGCTTGATTGGTGTTTGCACACCACCAAAGAATGACCCACCAGCTGCACCATAGGCTGAGGCATCACCATATGACGCTTGCTGCTGCTGTTGCTGCTGTTGCTGTTGTTGATTAAATGGTGTGCTCTGCTGGGCTGGAGTGCTGTATGCTTGACCACCATAACTGCCTGTGTTCATGCCGCTGTTCATTCCGGTGCTCATCCCTGTGGACATCTGTCCACCATAACTTGCACCACCAAAGTTAGCAGTTTGCCCATAAGAAGACTGTGAGCTGAAGTTTGCACCACTGGGTGGAGATCCAAATCCTCCAGCAGTAGCACTGCCAAAGTTGTTGGTTTGATTTCCAAAGTTCCCTCCACTAGCACTTCCCATCTGATTTCCAAAGTTTCCTTGTTGTTGCTGCTGCTGCTGCTGCTGCTGCTGTTGGTTGAACGGCTGATTCCCTTGGCCTCCAAAACCTCCCATGTTGCCTTGGTTACCAAAGTTTCCTCCACTGCTAAAGTTGTTAAAATTGTTGCCATCATTGAAGTTTCCAAAGCTGCCACCACCAAAGTTATTGTTGCTAAAGTTTCCACCTAATGAGAAATCAGCGAGTCTGTGAGACATCTCGTTAATTTTTCCAAACATTTTGTCAAACAAACAGAGTAAGGGAAGGCACACACATGCCTCTCTGACCAAAATACCACTGGCTAGCTGGTCCAGTTCTCACAGTTCTAAGACTACTGTCAATAACGCAGAACAGCAACCAAGCCTATTGTTAATCAAACTGCTTGTCTCTAACAATCACCTTTTCATGCTGCCACTGGTTGCAAAAATGTTGAGACACTCAGACAAAAAAATGGGGCTGCACCGGTATTGCACAGGTCAAGGGATCAAATCCCATACAAGCCTCAATTTTTTCAGGCTTTCTTTTCGCAACTGCAAAAGTTGCGTCTGCAACTGCGATGTTCATTTTCCATTTAATAATATTATTCTTCACCCCACAGTTCTCATATATGATTTTTTATATATTCATAACTGACATGAATATTATTCGGTTGCAAAAATGTTGAGACACTCAGACAAAAAAATGGTCTTTTTAACTTAAAAATCACTGCTGGTCACACATCTGTTGAGGGAACAATCATCCTATCCCTCCCCTCCATTCAAAGTTGATTCTCCCAAGGCTGAGCAGTTGAGCATGGACTTGTAACTTTGACAAGGGGAAGATGGGTCCGCATTCACAAGTACAAGTTCAGAGATAGGCTTTTAAGCCCAAAGAAGGGACAGTGTCTCAAGTACCATCAGCTGACACTAACACCCCCCTTATATAGTAAGCCCGCAAGCTAAATACTGAAATGAATATTAAATGAAAAATGATCATCGCAGTTATAGACGCAACTTTTGCAGTTGCGAAAAAAAAAACCTGAAAAAAATTCAGGCTTATACAGGATTCAAATCCTTGACCTCTGCGATATGGGTGTAGCAAAAGTTGCGTCTCTGACTAAGATGGTCATTAATTCATTTCATTCTTCACCCCGCAGTTCTCATATATGATTTTTCATTATATTCATGACAACATCATCATCCTTTCACCGGTTTATAACGAACCAACTCAATGACCTGCTCCCAGTTGGCTTGTTAGCTTAATTGGTAGGGGGCTGCACCGGTATTGCACAGGTCAAGGGATCAAATCCCATACAAGCCTCAATTTTTTCAGGCTTTCTTTTCGCAACTGCAAAAGTTGCATCTGCAACTGCGATGTTCATTTTCCATTTAATAATATTATTCTTCACCCCACAGTTCTCATATATGATTTTTTATATATTCATAACTGACATGAATATTATTCGATTTATTACAACGTTTTGAAGCTTATTGTAAAACAATGAATGCAAAACGTATTTTGATCAACACTGCTGAAGCTTGTTTTGAAATGCTTTTTCTGGTGATGAGCCCCTCCATTTATAAGCTCTCCTAAAATCGCTCATGAAGATGTATAATCCCAGGGCTTGTACGCGGCATTATACAGGATATTTGCATCTGGTTATAGCTCTAAAGTTTTGCTCAAAGGTTAGTGAAGCCCCTCGGGCATTATTGACAGGAGACACTGCTACTCACCCCCACTGTTACCGCCAAAGTTCTGCTGTCCTCCTCCTCCTGAGCCACCCCACCCTCTGCTTGGACCTTCATCAGGCTGCGATCGCAAAAACAATTCAATATAACGATGACCTACAAAAAAAAGGAATTACATTTATAAAAAATAATTCTTGAAAGAAAAGGTTTGAAAATGCTATGTCACCAGGTCAAGGCAGTCATTGATGTTTCATTTTTTCTTCTTTTTACAGTCATGCATTTAGCATTCAGGGCTCGACCTTAACGGGTGCCCGCTTTCCTGGGGCAATTGTTCTATTAGGCTGACTCTGAGCTGTGGAGTCCCTCAAGGTTCTATATTAGGACCATTATTGTTTGTTTTGTATATCAATGACCTCCCTTGTGCTACTCGTCTTGCTGAAACTATGCTTTTTGCAGATGATACTAGTGTGTTTTATTCTAATCCCGATTTAAATTGTGCTATTTCTGCCGTAAATAATGATTTATCTCAAATTGATCTTTTTATGAAAGCAAATAAGCTCTCTGTTAACATAACGAAAACTAATTATATCATTTTTGCAGCAAGGCAAAAACCAGTCGGCTTCCCAATAAATCCTGTCTTGTACGATGAGGTTTTATTAAAACAAGTAAAGGTAGTTAAATTTTTAGGGGTTTTTATCGACGAGCATCTAACGTGGAAGCCGATATTACTTATATATGTAAGAAAATTTCAAAATCTATTGGCGTCATGTTTAGGTCTCGTTTTTTCTTTCTGAAACAACAAAAAGTCTCTTTATTATACCTTAATTTATCCTTATTTAACATATTGTACCACAGTTTGGTCCTCCACTTACGTAACAAACCTTAATAGAATTTTTCTTCTACAAAAGCGAGCAGTTTAATTATTACAAATGCAGATTTTTCAAGCACTCTGAACCATTATTTTTCCGTTTAAAGATTTTGGACATATACAACATTAATTCATTCTATACTGCACAATTTATGTTTTCATATTATCATCAATTACTGCCACCGCTTTTTTTCGAACCTTTTGTTACTAGTAGCAATATTCATAATTATAATACTAGAAGTTCCTCGCATTTCCGTTCTCATGCCTGCCGAACTAACACCAAACAATTTTCTATTTTGTTCCAAGGCCCTAAAATTTGGAATTCTTTACCAAACTCAGTCACTTCGATTTTTACATTGCAATCGTTTAAAACGAAAGTTTTTGATTTTCTACTATATCGATAATGCGTCTTGTACTGTCCGTTGTTGTGTGTTGTTATAGTTCTATTGCTTAATATTATTGTAACGAGGGGGCCTCCTCGTACAAGCCTTGTGGTTTTCTGAGGTCCCCTCGCCACATCTTTGTATAATGTAATGCTTGTGTAATCTTTATTGTGGGAAAATAATAAATAAATAAATAATAATAAATAAATAAATTGAAAAATTTATCAGGGCAACTAAGTTTGGTATCCTAGTTGCCCAAATTTCTGTGAAAGTTGTACATTAACATAAATATCAAGTAAGTTTCTATTATGATCCAGCCAAGGTACCTTATGGGGAGAAAAACTCAAGGTCAGACAGCTTCAATATACTGAGAATAACACTTATTCTCAGAGGGATATGAGCAGAGTGAATTTGGTTTCCAATTCAAAAAACAATGAAAAGCTTAGTTCTACTTTTTGCAACAACTTTTCACAGCCTGTAACAACTGGATTTGTTTGAAGACAGGTTTGATACATGGGTGGTAAAACGCCCATCGCCTTTCAATAGGCCTCTGAACATTATGCTCGCATTTTTTGGAGCATTTTATTCAAGCAAAGGCATTGAGCATTATTCGAGCATTTTAGTGGCATTTTTCCCAGAAAAATTAATTTTTGTCAGAGAAAATAAAAGTAATTGTTCCCAGAATTTTTTTTTTTAGCCTTATTGAATGTAAGTGTCAAAATAAATGCTTGTCAGCAAGGGTTTTTCATGACGATATACAGCAAATATTAGCAGTAAAACGTCCAAATAAAGTTTTGAAAGTGCTTCGGTCATTATCAAGTTCAAGTATGAGAATTAAAACTAACATCTTTTGACAGAGGGAAACAACGGAATTAAAAACCTGTGTGAAAAGGTTTTGAAAAGGGGGTGTTAAAAACAATAAAAGCATGCAGCAACTTCATAGACCTTTTTAGCTTGTATGTTCTGTTTTCTCCAATTCAGGCCATGTGATGTTCTCCAGGGACGAGCGCTTTTCGGGACATTTTCTCTTAAAGTTTTCTTAGAATAAGATTGTAATGGTAAAAAGATCCCTGTGCTGTGTTTGGATGTAATAGAGAGATAAAGATTCACTTTTACGCCAAACAGCAGACGTGAATTTGTACCATGTGACCAAGTTTTCCCCTTGTTTTACGTTTACTCTTTAATGCTTCTACACAAAAATATATAGTTTTATTCCAGTTTTAACCATAGTAGTCGTTCGGGACTGTTTTTGTCTGCTTATTTTCTATTCTGAGAAATTCTCAACTTGAGTCTGACGTTTGCCGTTTGCAGTAAACGTGAATCTTAATCTCTCTAATAATGATCGCCTTTTTCCCGAGAAATATACAGTGAAAGACCATATTTCTAATACTCAACTAGAAAAAGGCGATCATTATTACATCCAAACACGGCACAGGGATATTTTTTCCCATTACAATCTTATGCTAAGAAAACTTCAAGAAAAAATGTCCCGAAAAGCACTCAAAAATACAAACGAAATGTGCTCATGCCCTCTGGCATCCTATAATACTCCTTAAATCGAATTAATTCAATATGGCTGCCGTATCGGTAAAAAGGTCTATTACAGTCCTACAGAGGTGACTTTTTGATTGCAAGTAATGGTCTATCTCCACAGTAATTATGTAAAGTTAATGTATGACTGACCCATTGTTGACTTGTGCTTTAACATGGCTGCTTGTGCATCATCATGAGTTGCAAAGTCCACATCCACTTGCCCGTTAAAGGAGCCATTTGAATACTCCATAAAGATATTCACAGGGTTAAGAGGCATAAAGAACTGTTTTACATCACTTTCTTTGGCAGAAAACGGCAAGCCACGCATGTGAACAGTGTGACCTGTAGTGGACATCATTCCAAAATTTCCTCCTCCACCGCCACCTCCTCCACGGCCCTGGTTACGAAATCCGCCTCGACCACCCATACCTCTTCCACCACGTCCACCACGCCCCGGTCCACCACGACCACCACCAAATCCACCAAAATCCCCACCATATCCACCTCCAAAAACTGGACCTCCTCTTCCTCTGAATCTGTTAAATGATGGTTGAAATGTTCATAATAAAAGTTACTTCATATTTTTCGCTATTAGAACAGAGAGTGGCTAAAGATTTGTCATGTTATGAGGTTTGAGGTTCTAACATGTATGACTGTAACTCCCTCAACACAGGGATTTCTCGGACTAACAGGATTAATCTCAAATTTGTCCTAAAGCAAAGCCAGTTGCAGGTAAGTTTTAAGTTAAGCCACGTGGGTGAGAGAGACAATGATGTTTGTTTCACTCTGCAAGCTCCAGGTCGTACGATCCAGTAGATCCTATTAGCATGGTCTTTAAACAACAGTTGTTGAGTAGTACTTCCAACTACAGTTGTGCCATTGACCTATTTGAGGATAACTAAATACTATCTAAATGAAGTGGGAACCAAGAGAGAATACAATACTCTAAATTTGCATAATATTTTTCACACAACGATAAACCAGGTCATAGTAAGACCCTGTAACTTAGTCCTTGCCTAAGAAAAGCAAGCAATGGCCCCACGCAAAAAAAAATTGAATACTGCTTGTTTAAAGGACAAGATGAAAATTTTTAAGAGCTCTGGGACAAAAGGATCTAGCATGTTATGAGTAAGTATAAAACAGGATTCTAAGGCAATCTAGCACTTAAATAGCATGCTTTCACCTTCTTCCATCTCCTCCACCACCAAAGCGTCCTCGTCCTCCCCCAAATCCTCCAGCAGATCTGTCGTAGGGACCTGGTCTGGTTGACATCAAAGGCTTAAGCTTTGGCTTGGACACATATTTAATCTCATGTTTCCCACACTTGAATATCTCGATGTACCTAAAAGAAAAGCAAAACCCAGGTAAGAAATCCAGATATCTGCCACACTTCATTGACAACTATAATATCACCAGATACTAAGAGAAGCTAAAGTTAAGAGGGATTTTCAGACTGAAGGCAATAATGATGATGATTGAACTTGAGCCAATCAATCACTGAGGAAGAGCTTCCTCAAATAAACATTACATGACTATAGTTTGGGAATTTTAGAGTGTACACTTGGGGTTGAATTTCTTTTGGCTGAATTGTTTTTCCCTTTTTTCAATCTCAATATCACACATTATCCAATAAACAAAGGAAAACACACTTTGAACCATGGAAAGGAAATTGATCCACTAAATATACATTGAAAATGATAAAAAAAGATGTTGTCCACTAGTTGCGGGAAATTCCACAAAATACAACAAACCCAAAATGTCTGACAACATTCCAAATGATGCGATAGAATTTCAATAGCAAGACATGTATAACACTTAAAATAGTCACTTATTGGTAGAAACCTTACAAACACAAATGTAATACCCTGGAGCAGAGTTTTCTCTCCTGCATGGCTTTTAGTGATTACAAAGTCATTTGTGTGGCTTGTCTCTCGCATAGTTGGTTTGTTAACAGCCTGTGAAAAACCACAGCAGCAATCTGCTCGAGGTTTCTGTTGAGCATGCTCTTTAGACACCTCCAAAATTTTGGAGGTAGACTCATGATTAACAGGTTTTAAAACCAGTTCTAACCAGTTGAACAACTTCAGTGCATCAATTCTTGACCGATTTGCTGTGCAAAACCAGAGCCCGTGTGAGACTTTCCCCCATGACTAGCATTACAACAAAGCATTCAGAATTTCAAAGCATCAGTCCATGGTGTTGTATTATTTTGTAAATGGAGAAGATGCCTAAGTATGTTTAGTAACAGGTCACTGAAAATCCATATTTATCGCTTCGCGCTGCTCCATCAGTTTCAAAACAAATTGGAACTCAACATCCTGCAAAATCCAGGTCTGTCAATCCTCAATAACTAAGCACCTTTATATTTTTTGTAAACTTGAAACCTTTAATTGTGTTGTTTTATAGTCGACAAAAATCACTGGAAAAGAATCTGTTTGTACAACCGTGGTCTTTTTTGTCATTTAACAGTAAAAATGTAAGCTTATTGGAGTTACTGTTTGCTTTGTCTGTAGCGATATATCTCTTAAATAGGTTTCTCCTGGGGCACACAAAACAATTAACCAACTAGGCAACTGACGAGCCACACAAATGGCTTTGTTAACGCTAAGAGCCATGCAACAGAGAAACCTCTGCTGGCAGGGTACAAAATAATGTAACAGCCTGGAAGTATTTAATCAAGCAAATCCAAAAAAAGAGGCTTTTTTTCACAGGACTTCAAGTAGTTTAGAATAATTCTAAACTGCTTGAAGTCCGGAAAATCCTTTACTTTTAAGCACCCTTACAACTCTTAAGTATTCAGTTTTTGTATGCATTTTTCAGGATTCACGTAATTGAGTATTAAAAGCAAACCAAGATAAAGCAATAGATTTATCATAACTTTTAAGTAGACACACAAAAAACACATACAACACATGCACAACAATACTCACCCAAAAGCTGTTTCACAGTGCAATTTTAGAATAAGGCATTTGATGAATGCATGTGCACATTAAAAAATCAACCTTAATAAACAATTTAAACAAAATGCTAAGTGTAAAACCCCAAACCCGGAATGAAAATACCTAATAAAACCTATTTTGTTTGGATACACCAGTTTTTGGCTGGAAAACTGTTGAAAAACACACCTACAGCGTAATATATAAAAGAACACAAAAAGAAATATATGCTGAAAAATGCAAGTCTAAAGTAGTGCAAATAAAAAAATTAAATAACTTCTTTCTACATTCCCATAAGACTACTGAAGAATGAATGAAATAACTTCCTAAATAGTAACCAAAGACAAGACCAATGTGGTTCAAACTATCTTGTATATGAAAGAGTAGTAACAATTTAAAACTTACACTTACGCCTAACATAAAACGTTATGAATGGTGAAAGCCTTGGAAGACAGAACTAATACCATTTAAAATTTCTAATGCAGACTACATCTATATATGTAGAAAAACAAACATGTAATGTACAGAAAAAAGCAAGAAAAGAATGAAAACGATGTAAGGATAAAATTACACACCCCAAAACATTCCCAGATAAAAACTAACACAATGCAACAAACTAATGTGGAAGCCGTTTTTTAATGGAATTGTGTATGCCTCTGCACTACATTTCAGGTTAAAAAATCTAACACAGTGGAATTTTGTGGTCCACCATAAATAACACTCTTTCTTAGTTTGAACATTATTTCAAGCCCTCTACACAGTCATTGTATATGGTAATGTTGTACACAATGTAGTTGTTGCCACTTTGCTCCAATGCTGTGTTCTATAACAAATTCTGAGGAGTCCCAGGAACTATAACGTTTGAAATTAAAGGTGCAGATCATTGTTTTGTACAAAACTAAAAATCCCTTGTTACACAAAGGCAAAGTAAGAGCAGAGCCCTGCCTTGACACTAAATTTGCACTGTGAAAACAGATACATACAACAATACTACAAATATAACCAACCAGATCAACCAGAAATCATTTAACACAACTGTGCTGCCCAAGGTCCCGTTCAGACCCGCACCATGGCTTTCCCACCTGTGCCCTATGGTCTCTTTGTTTTTTTTCAAAGCTTGTGATGCTATATCAGGAGAAGCAAATTCCACAAAAGCATCCCCCGTGGTCCTCCCGTCCTCGTCAAGAGTGATTGTTATCCCATTAGGAACTATCTCCAGCCCTTTGAAATAATTCCAGTAAAGAGCAAAGCATGTAAACCAACAACTGTTAGGAAAACCCAATTAATTGTTCTACAGTGTCAACTGTTACAAATGAGGGAACTGGGAAATTAGAAAGAAATAATAACTTGGGATAAAAATGGACTTTTCAGTGAATAAAGAGTTGTTAATAGAGTACATACAATGTACAGGTAATGGATTGAAGAGGGGGGGAGACTGTTTTTAAGGGGAAGTGACACAGGGTCTATTAAAATTAATCTTTTTGGTTAAAATTTGCATTGAAACATAAACAAAGATAACAGTCTCTGTATGGCCTTCAAAGAACATTCCTTCCCATGTACAAAATTACACTCATTTTCCAGGCCTGGAAAACAGGTTTGCAAATCACAAGATTATTTTCAACAATTCAAGACTCTGTGCAAATCCTGCTTATTCAGGGTTAGATTACAAGCTTAAAAGTTTGTATAATGTGAATGCTTTCAAATGATTACTGAAATTTCACTGTTGTTCAGACGACCTTAATCTACAAACAAAGTCCTATTACCAATTTATTGTGTCAATAGCAAAGTGCAAGAATCTTGGGATTGAAATATTTATTAAAGTACAAAGTTATTATTGCATCAGCCCACAGCCTCCAGAGCAAAAACATGGACTCTACTTTTGGCAAAAGTAATGGAATATGGAGCTCCAACTGCTTGAACTCTTAAATGCAATTTTCAAAAATTAAATTTGTCGAACTGAAGCTGGAAAACTTGCTCATTTCTTTCTTGGTTTTGATTTGCCAGCATGGACCAATTTGTTAAACCTTATTGGCCAGCAACATTTTCTGCTTGATTTTCACTGGCAGTTTAACTGTCTGATTTGACCAGAAAAGTCAAAGCTCTCACTTTCAAAACGAGGCAAAGTGCAAAAACCTCTGTTGTGAAAATGAGTTTTATTTGCCTGAGAATAATAAGTCATTTTCATATCAATAGCTTTGCACCTAGCCTAGCTTTGAAATGGAGACTTGCACCAACTTGGAAATGGCCTGTTTAGTGTAGATAAGTTCATCTCAGGAGAAGAAATGTTTGTTTTCGTTGAATGTACAAATGAGCAAAAGATTTGGGTCATCATATACACTGTCGAAACATTTTTTTCAAGACACTCCAAATTTAGGGCATTTTTTAAGACTACTCTTGGCCTTTTTAACTCCACATCTGATTTAAATAGGTGCCATTTTGAATTATGGAAAATAAAGAACTTGATTTTACCTGTAAAGAACTGCACAATCTCCTCTTTAGAAATTTCATACGGTAAGCCTCTCAGCCGTACAACCGACTCATCGCCTTTGTCCTGTGGCTGCCCCATTCTTTTACAGACCCATTCCATTTCTCCAGCCTTGGACTCAAAAACTTCAATGTATCTTTTGCCAATATGGTGGTTGTTTTTGCTAAGAGCTCTGGAAAAAAATGAATTACCCCAATTAAGTTATCATCCAGGGTAAAAAAATCATAATTTTTCGAAATTTGCAATTTTTAGATGATTAAATAGAGCTAATCAAGAGCTTTCTTTTAAAAAAAATTCCAGGAAAAAATGTTTTTTCTGTGCAGACTTATGGAGCGCAAAAGTTTTTTCTAGGCTAATTATTTTAATTGATCATTGACAAGTCCTGTCATACTTGATACGCATGTCGCTGTTGAACCAAGCTAATCAAGCAATTTGACAGAAATCGGGGTCTACAAGTATAGTACTCACTGTTTTTCCCTGGATTTTGGAAGTGAATGCCTCCAAAGAAGACAAAAAAGCTTGTTCGTTTTCGTGCACGACTCCAAGACGAAAGAAGACGACAAAATCGTTTTGCAAAGAGTGGGCTTCGAAATTAGCAGAGAGCGACAAGGGCTACTACTACAATCAAGAAAAATGGCTAAAAGATGACAAAGCTTCTGAGAAACAATTGAAACCACCGCGGAATCGAGTTTAACGAGTTTCTTAGCGAGTGGGGCAAGCTTTTTTGGCCGCGAAGCAGTCAGGCGGGCGACGAAGTCGCGAGAGCTACTGCGTCATATCGGACGAAGGACTGTTTTGTAAGTCTATTGTAGCAGGAGAGAAGCTTCAAGAAAAACTCCAGGAAGCGGTTTGTTGACAATTTTTCTAGGGGAGTGTCGAACTTTTTAGAAAATGTATCGAGTAAAAGTGAGCTTGGCTCAACTTGGCTTGCCCGCTGCAAAAATGAAAACTGCCCGTCGCAAATAAGTAATGATGCTTTCTACACAACAGAAAGGATCAAACAGAGCAGAACTTTGAAATAAATTGTTGTTGTTTTTTCGCTTTTAACCTTTTCCTGCTATGTCACCATTGTTGTCCCTTCTCTGGTATGCATCAACATTAACAGCTTTGGTGTTATAATCTGTTATAATCTCGTCGCGGGTAATATGCCGCCAAAACTCCTTTTCCACTGTTTTCTCGAAATGAAAATCAGGGCAAGTTGAGGGTACGTTTTAAACTCCAAGTCGGCAACCCGTGAACCAATTTGGTTGAAATTTGGCCAACCTACTGTCGGATAGTTTTTCTAAAAAACTGTGTCTGCGAATTTTGATTTCTTTTTTCGTTTTCGAGTTAGAGTAGTTTTTTCACAGGTAGTGCTAATGATTTGCTATCCCTAACTTCAACTGCTTATAACAAAAGAACAAACGCACTTGACAAGAATCTGAGACACGGTTTTTTAGTCAAACGTGTTAAGAAAGGAATAAGGAATAATCTGGAACTATTAAGCTTTCAGAAAATGTACGGTTTATGGGGGTATTTATTAAAAGCAAAAGCGTTAGCGCCGATCAACGCCAGGAGGGTACTTGAGGGTGGATGATACCTTAACTCTTGAACAAGGACCCATTTGGTGGGGATGCAAAAATTCAAAATCCTCAAAGTCAAAAATAGTCAAAAAAATAATACTAAAATGCATTTACCTGTTCAAATCCTCTAAAGACACCAGCTCAACAAAACATTCACCACTAGCACGTCCATCAACACCAAATGTGAAGTGAATGCCATTTTTTGCACCACCTCGAATGTTGCAGCCTTGAAGAGAAATGTACACAGGAAAGGTTAGAAAGGTTTCAACTAATGCTTAATAACCATTTAACTCCCAGAAGTGATTCATGGCATGTAACATCTCTGCCTTAGGATATCAAATTCAATGTTCAACAGATAGGTGGTGAGAAAATGCAATTTACCAGCCAGAGAATGTTATATATTGATATACACTACAGTAACATTAAAAAGTAAGTTCGCACTCAGTTCTTGATCCTTGTGACAATTGTGTCGTGCTTCCATTCTGGATTTCCACAAGACTCTTCAAACTGGACCGGCTTTTGTCAAGTTTCAAGTAATTGGCTCTCTTCCCTTGATATTAGGGGAGCAAGGGTGGCGCAGTGGTGAGAGCACTCGCCTCCCACCAATGTGGCCAGGTTCAAATCCCTGTTCAAGTTAAGATTAATCATCTTACTTCTCTCACAACAATGATATTACCTGAAAGGAATTCCGCAACTTCTTCTGTAGTTGCAGACCAAGGTAATCCGCGGGCACGAACAACATACTCCCCTTGTGATTCTTGATTCATGTCGTCTGTGTTAGCCTGCCAATGAATGTAATATATACATACAGATTAAGCTGGGATGACACTTGCCATGCCTAGCAACGGAAAGAATGGGTTTAATTGGGGTGGGGTACAGCGTGAAAAGAAGGTAATGTCCGATAGCCTGGGGCTATTGGCAGAATTTTGTTCTAAACTCGCCCGACAGGAAAGTGAAGTTTTTGGAGGAATTCCAATAACAGAAGAACTGTGAAATCAATTCTGCTCATCAAAAAGTGTTTGGGGCTAGTTGAAATGACATTTGGGCGAGTAAATGCAAGCTTCAGCTTACCCAAATGGCAAGCAGTAAAACTGATTGTCTTTACACCCTGGTGTATTTTGTCTTCATGACAACCTTGTCATAACAGAATAGCCTACAAGTAAGCTCTCCGGGGCACTCTAGTCGCTGGGCAAAAATGGAGTGAGAGCAGAAATTATGTCATCATTAATTAGATTAGAGCGCAAACAATGCATATCGAATTTGCATATTTCTATTTCACTCTTTTCATTGGAATTGAAATGATAACTACGTTCATACACTCCCGTAGTTCCCTCGAAAACCATACCCAATTCCAGACCAAAATGGGCAAAGTTTACACCCGTGTTCAGACCAAAACAGCGAAAAAAACCCTACCTGATGGGGAGGTACATACCCATATAGCTTATATAAGGGAGTACCCCCCCCCCCCCCCCTTCCCAGGAGTAAGAGCTTACAGTAATTTCTCAGAAATTTGAATTCCACCTCCAGTGCCCCTGTGACTCCCCATCATCTGCGCTGTCAGATTTTGGCCAATCATTGCAGCGTGGAATTAAGCATGGAATGTACACAAACAGAAAAGGAAAGTGAAAGATAAATTTCCCACCAATGAAGGAAGCTCTAGTAAGGCTGGACAGAAAAGATAAAACCCTAGAAAATCATCAACTTCTTCTTTTCAAAGTCAGGTCACTGAGGGTGCCAAATCAAGAGAGGGGCATTGACTAATGCCTGCTGAAACCCATGGCATTAATACATGATGTTTTTATATCTGAGAGATTTGGTTATCGCACACAAATGTGTAAACAACCTCGCTCCTGCCTATTTATGTCATAAATTCTGCAAACGATCCTCTATCCACAGCCTAGCTACCCGCAAGCGTGATACTCTAGAAATACCACTGTTAAAAACAGCTACTGGTCAGTGAACTATTTATTTACAGAGCCGTTAACATCTGGGACAACTTAGATGACAATTTCAAAGCCTGCTCCTCGTTGAAAGGTTTTAAAAACTTAATAAAGAACCATTTAATTTCTGAACAATAATTTTAATGTACTGTATTTATTCGGCTATAAGCCGAGCGAGTTTTACACAAATTAAGGTGGCTCCGTAATTAATACTAGAGCATTTTGCTGTGACAAATTTTCCGTCATAACTTTTTGGTTCTTAACGCGATGACTGCGAAACTTTGCTAAGAACAACATATATCATTCGGCAACAATACGAAATATTCCGATTTCATTGATGGTAAATATTTCTTGAGAAATTAGCGCTTAAAAGGACCCTACTGTTCGAAGAAAATCGCGTCTAGTAAAAAAATTTGCTGATATTTTTTACTGAAATTTCTGGTATCGGCTTTAATTGATATAATAAATATGCCAGAGGAATTTCAGAAAAATCGTTGGAGCAGAAGTCCATAACTAAAAGTCGATCAAAATTCAGCTGTGAAATTGTTTTGGAATTTCAAAAATAAATTACTATCAGGTAGAAGGAGCCACCAGTTTGAATTTTCGGGACAAGTAAATTCAACGTTTGCTAATTCTTAAAACAAAAGCCAATTGCCTATCATGCTATTCTTTAAAAGGTACTTTTTAGTTTTAGAAGCACCATAAATTGCTCCAAACCTTGCTCTGAAGTAGAATGACTTGTTCTTCGACATTTTTAAAATATCCCTTTGCAGTTTTGGCTCAAACTCCTGCTGCATACATTTTGATGTATTGCCATTCATTTTCAACGACTTTTACTGCTGTTCATTGCTTCCAACTCAGGAAAAAAGTATTGAGATTGGACGCTACCTCGTATCAGAGCTCAGATAGGACTGTCCAGCACCTTTGTTTATGACTACAAAATGAGCACGAGCGGCAGTTCTGCGAGGAATTCGCACCTCACCCAGGGTGGACGAACGACAATGACGACCATGCCTGTGAGCCGAATAACATCACAGTGCAAAATAAAATTATCGCAAAAATACTGCCCGTGAATAAATTTACAACTCTGAAATTCTTGTCACTCCTTCCTTCAATGAATGGGTATTTTTTTCTTGATTATTATGTTTTGCTCTGCAATACATGTTTATACAGATCGGTTCACAGACATGGGTATCATTATCATTCGTCCCCCCTGGCTGAGGTGCGAATTCCTCGCAGGGCTGCCGCTCGTGCTCATTTTGTAGTCATAAACAAAGGTGCTGGACAGTTCTATCTGAGCTTCGATACAAGGTAGCTTACAATCCCAATACCTTTTTCCTGAATTGGAAACAATGTACAGCAGGAAAAGCCGTTGAGGATGCATTGCAATACATCAAAATGTATGCAGCAGGAGTTTGAACCAAAACTGCCAAGGGATATTTTAAAAATGTCGAGGAACAAGTCATTCAACGTCAAAGCAAGGTTTGGAGTGATTTATAGTGCTTCTAAAACTGAAAAGTACCTTTTAAAGAATAGCACGATAGGCAATTGGCTTTTGATTTCAGAATTAGCAAACATTGAATTTACTTGTCCCGAAAATTCAAACTGGTGTCTCCTTCTTCCTGATAGTAATTTATTTTTGAAATTCAAAAACAATTTCACAGCTGAATTTTGAGCGACTTTTAGTTACGGACTTCTGCTCCAACGATTTTTCTGAAATTCCTCTGGCATATTTATTATATCAATTAAAGCCGATACCAGAAATTTCAGTAAAAAATATCAGCAAAATTTTTTACTAGACGCGATTTTCTTTGAACATTAGGGTCCTTTTAAGCACTAATTTCTCAAGAAATATTTACCATCAATGAAATCGGAATATTTCGTATTATTGCCAAATGATATCTGTTGTTCTTTGCAAAGTTTCGCAGCCATCACGTTAAAACCGAAAAAGTTATGACGGAAAATTTGCCACAGCTAAATGCTCTTGTATTAATATTATTACGGAGCCACCTTAAAGTAAAAGTTCAGTGAAATTTGAGCCCAAGAGGGGTTCTCGGCTTATAGCAAGAGTTTTTGACAAAAAAACTTTTCAGTGCATTGAAACTCTACTAGAAGGGGTTATATTCACTTATAAGCTGAGCAAATAGCACTGGCAAAAGATGGAATTGATCACTTAACCATGAATCTGAATGTTAAGTTAGCTAAGCACAGAAATTCAGTCCCAAATTGTCAAAATATCTGACAAAAACAGGTCTCACATCTTAAGTCTCACATTGGTAAGCCTTTTACAAAGAGGTCCGAAGGTGTAAGACATATGAAAGATGTCAAGGAACCTTGGGCTGAAAATAACGGCCAGTCAACGGACAATGTCCAGCCTGATCGCGGAATTGACCGGTCAAACTCTCAACTTGCCAGTCATTTTGACCGGTCATTTTTGGATACGAACATTTTATTTTCCATATAGTTGTCGCTTAATGCTCTATAACACTGTAATGATTTCTTTTTCTTTGGCGTTTTTTGCTACTTTGCACTAAAACCTTCTAAGAAAAAGAACGCCACAATAAATTAATTTCATGTCGTAATGAAACACAACAAAGCGAACAATAACAAACTGAGTTATGGAGTAACGCAACGTTGCAGGTCGTACCGTACACCTGTACTCAGTAATGTGACCTGCTTTGGGAATTCGACGGAATTCTGGCAAATCAATCGCAATTCTCTAGGGGTCGTCCTCTGTTTCTCCAGGAATAAAATAAATGTTAGCACATCGATTAATAGTAATTTCTTTATGTCGAACATGAATCTCGTTTGAGGACTCGATTCCAGAATAGTCTGATAAAAATTTAAGCTAATCGAGAAGGAACGTCGTCTACCTGGCACTTAATTCTCCTTCTTGTAAACAACTTTATGCAAATTTCTGTTGACATTTGAGCCCTTCGTGATAAAGTGTTGCGCAATGACCCGAATGAAAGCTCTGCTGTATATTTATTGACTTCTGATAATAAACACGCTGTTTGTGGAACAGACTTTTCGCCAATGCAAATCAACTCTTTGCTGAAAATATTAGCAAAGATTCTTCTTTGTGGAGGAGACTTTCGATCACGTGCAAGGCAAGGAAAATGATAAGTTTCACCGATGTTCATTTCGCAACATCAAAGTAAAACAAATTGGGCAGATTTTGTTCTTTAATAACCCAATTTTTTTTCGTAATTCCTAAAGTTTGTTGAACTGTATGTGTATTCCACTTCCTGAACCTTGAGTGTTTGAAAACGATTTACGCTTCACTTTTTACCTTTAGAGACTTAAGACACCACTGCGCGATGATGCTCAAGACACACAAAACTGCGGAAAGGAACTCTACAACGTGAATGCAATTTTCACCAAGTTGCTGTCAAAAATGTGAACGTCAATGTAGTAAAAAAGATCTATTGCCAGCGTAATTCGATATTCCTTAGGAAAAAAAATTATAGTATTCATTATTTGACCGGCCAGAATCGGGGTTTGTCCGGGCTAAAAAATATTTGGCCAGTCATCATGACCGGCAACCTGCTGTCCATTATTTTCAGCCCCGAACCTGCAAACCATCTGCCATGTTTGGTCAAACTTGTGCTTTGAAACTTTTCCCTGGTTACTAAGCAAGGACGAACTCAACGCGAACTGATGTGGTTTGTTTTGATTGAAAGACGATTTATGTGATCATTTCAAGCATACTGCGATGAAGATTGATAGCAGCAAAAAACCCAAACAGGGGTTGTACATTCTTTTTAGAGGTCACATTCTTATCAAAATTATTAGGTTTTACAGTACAACTGTAGCTAGAAGCCTTCTAATGAATGGGTCTCGCGTTATAGCCAAGTGTTTTGGATGTATCTTTCATTCTTGGTTATGCTGATTCTACGAGTTTAAAGTTTAGGGTCTCGGCTTATAGCCAAGATCGGCTTATAGCCAAATAAATACGGTAATATATTTCTTCCATTCTTTAATTTGCATCTTGTAAATAGTGACTGAAAAGTCCCAAGGGGAGTTACTATTAAACAGTGTATGTGTGTGTGTGTGTGTGTGTATGTTTTGCAAGCAGCTTTGTAGCATACCTTGAACTCAGAGTATCGTTCCTCCAGGGGGCAAAGAAGGTCATTTTTACAGCTTGCCATTCGGGCAAGCTGAAGAAAGCATTACTAGCCCAAACGTCGTTTCAACTAGCCCCAAAGGCTCTCTGACGAGCAGAATTGATTTCACAGCTCTTCTTCAGTTTAAATTCCTCAAAACACATTACTTGCCCATTGGGCAAGTTAAGAACAGAATTCACTAGCCCGATAGCAAAATCCACTAGTCCCGGACAATCAATTTCTTTGCAGGGTGTTCCTCTGAAAGCGTTTTGAAACGAAGAAGTCCAGAACAACTTACTATATAGTGCGTCTCTCTCCTTCATTTCAAATGAACCACAAATTGAACAGAAATATACCGAACTAAATTTGTCTCTTGTATAAGATGCTAAAATAACAGGTGTTTCTCAGACGAAGAGCTAAGGACTTAAGACCAACGGACTAAAACAAAGACCCATGGACTAAGATGAATACCCTCTGGACCTAACCAACCCTCCCCCCCACACACACACACCTCAGCCCTCGCGGGTATCATCAGTTTATTTCCCTGTTTCAAGCAGTAAAGATGGTTTTGTTTAGGCCACGAAATAGATCAGCATATGCAAAGTTCGATCGTCTGAATCAAAAGTCTAATTTAATAGTTTGGTACGACCAAAACAGGTATTAGGTTAGCCACATCTAATATAAGGTTCGACGGTTGACCGAACTGGGCCTAAAAGAACGAGAAATACTGTAAGTCTTACATGTGCACGCTATTTGTAAAGTCTAACCTTCGGTCTTGTATAGTGGTTAGGCAATGCGAGCCTGCAATCTGGCGGCGGTGGCTCGATCATTTGGCTCAGCAGTGAATTTAAACTTTTGGTACGTTGTAATTCTCTTTAAACGTTCCCTGTTTTTCCAATACGCTACAGAGAAAGCAGGGCTTATCGTATTAAAATCGAGACTGATCGTGTGGTATCGCTGCTCTGTTAGGTGGTTCATGGCAAATTAAAACTTTCTTCGTCGAAACATGGAACTGCTTCAGAAACCTTCGTAGTTGTCTTCACAAGATTGAAAAATACGTTATCAAATCAAACTGTGGTTGCTCATACCGAAAAATCTGGCCATCTGCTGTTTCGTGATGGATGCTACTCGTGTTTTTCTCGTTTGCATCAACGGCTACGCCTTGGATAAACAAAGAAGCGAAAGGAATATGTCTGGACTTACCTCAGAGCTCTGAATGTCAAGACTTGTCATAATATTTGTTAAATGAGTCGAGAAATATTTCCAACTGGTCAGCGAAGAATCTTTCGCGAACCAGAAGAAAGTCTTCAAAGAAAATAGCGCGACGACGCTGTCAGAAAACCACGTGGTACGAACAAAGGTGAGCAGTGCTTGTCGGGACTGCATCGTCACTGTTTTAAAATTCCTTTTAGCAGGAGCCCATCGATGGGCTCCTGCTTTTAGCAATTTATTTTTTATTATTTTCTTTTTTTTCAAATCGGATTCAAAAGCGTTTTCTGCATTTTCTCGTCAAACGTTATTTGACTACTACAGGTGTTTCTACTGACAGGCTGGCCCAGGAGGGTTACGTACTAGTTGGATACATTTTTGTTGGGTATTCTGTTCTGCGGCCATATCAGTAGACCCTCACCCGATCTTCGTCACTTCGAGAAAAAAGTAATTTTCGCAATCCCAACTTAGTCACTTTCTGTTTATGCATCTACCTTATAAAGCCTTTTAACTTGGTCATTCTGAAATGAACTGACACATTTGTTAAATCTTCTATTTTTAAATCCCTACATACCCAGGCTCCTGACATAACTGAATTTTCTGACCCCAGTTGTGAAAATGCGACCCCATCCAGCGGCACATACCCATTAGCCTACTACTAGGAATTTTTCCCCTCCCCCTAGCCTGCATAGCAGGCGTCGAAACGGGTAGTGGATAGGGAGGAAAAGAAAAAGAGAGGGACTGAGGAGAGCGCCTGCCACGGGCAGGCAGAGCTCCGGATTGGGCTCCGGGTTCAGGGCGTAAAAACGTAATGAGCATGCGTGAACTTTTTTGCCCAGATCCCCTGGCCGGGTTTGAAAAAATGGCGGGATTTCAAATATTTTATTGCCTAAAAATAAGATGTTTCCACTCATAACCTGGAAAGAACAGGCAATTTGTCTTCAAAAGTTGCAAGCTGTGGTTATAACCTTGTCGTTACTTAATTTTCTCGAAGAATACCTCATAGTAAAACGGACTTTAACGACATCAATTTCCTTGCGTTGTACTGGAAATGTGCATGCGTAGGTCCGATTTTTTTTCAAGATGCATTCACAAAATGGGTTCATATAAGGAAGTTCCTGGATATATAAGGTCCGGAGCTCCACTGTGGACACAAAAACAACATATCTTTGGACAGTGATTTGCCCAAAAAAATTAACGCTTGCCCACAATGTGTTTGAAGGCACTGAACTTGTCGCACTCGAGCTGATATTTTAAAACCCTCGCTCGATCGGACACTCATAGTTTCGCAGATAACTAAAATGTAAACAAAATGCTCAATGTAGATGTTATTGCGTTGATATGCGGGCAGAAAAAAGGTCAATCTTTATCTAGTAAAATCTTCCGAAAAATCGGTTTTAAAGCAACTATAGTTTATTTTTAAACTTGATCGTTTCGCGTACTAAGATATAAATATAAATTATGCTTTGTGTGTCAAGTTGAAAATACATAACATCTGTCAAAAACCTACACGTAAGTAGGATTTCCTTCAAACAAAGTTAAAATTACATTACTGCAAAAACTTCTTGCTGACAATGAAGAAATGAATTTTTTGTACGAAAACAACCTACCTAAAGATCTTAAAAGCAAAAGATCAGTTGCAGTGAGCTTCGCAGCTAAACCATGATTCACAATGTAGCTCTTCTCCTCGCTTTAAAAACTCAGTGAATAACTGGTTCAAAAATTCAGAAAACTGCACATAAGGGTATTTGTTTTGCTCGCTTCAGACAAATCCAGCTCCAGCAATTCAGTGTTACGGGCAGAGTCAATTGTTTTGAAGTGACTGCCGGCAGTTGTCCTCTACTTCACAGCGAGTGAAATGGAAAATTTGCGTACAGAAAGTTATTTCTCATAAAGAACAGAAACTTTCACAGTGCAGTGGAAAACAAAACTATGTAATTAAAAGTGAAGAAAACTCTGACTGCTTATAGTATTTGAGAAACAGAAAAATGATTCTTTTCTTCTAGAGTAAGTTTACTGGCCTTCTACCGGTATTTGCCGAGAAAGTTTTACGGCGCACAAAATGGTTCTTTGACTGAAGAGAAGGATAAAGCTGGTTCTACAAAGGGAATAAATCTGGGCATGTGAAAAAGTATTTACTAATTTAAAAAAAGAGTGGGTTTTAATTCAGCCCGGCGAAAGAAGGCGAAATCAACTCACAAATAAATCGAATGAACAATCAAAAAATACTCACCTCTTTGGAAATGTTCAAAACTCTTTATTCCACCTCAGACTGACGGAATGATCCGTTTTTCCTTTAACATTGGTTGTTCCGAGTCGAAAGTAATTTTCAAGCAACAAAAAACAAAAACCACACAAAAGTAAAAAGGCTTTTCGAGGAGCAAACGTTCACACCTTGTGCATTTCATTCAGTCTTAGTCAGAACTCTCTCAGTGACAAACAAACAAACTGTACAGTCAACACACTTCAACACACAGAAAAGCCCGCCTTGAGCCTGCGATAAAGGATGCGCAGAAGCTTGCGCAGAACGTTTTTCCGCCCTGAAGGCTCCGGGTCTTGTCAGAGACCTGGGCTGGCTCAGTAAAAATCTCGAATACCAGGTAGAAAAACATTGAAGTGAAAAAACTGTTTGAATGCAGAGGTCCACGCAACAAGTAAATATAACTGACTGATTCCTCTTGAGATGCTGTAGCTAGACGTCACTTAAAGTGTAAAATAAAACAAAGCTGAATGCAGGGCTGGCACTACGGCAAAGGGCTGATTTATTATAGGCCAATATTTCGGCTAACAAAATCAGCCTTCCTCAGGGCCAGAGCTATACCCATCAGGAAGGCTAATTTTGCTAACCTAAATACCGGCCTATAATCAGCCCCGTTGCCGTAGTGCCAGCCCTGCATTCAGTTTTGTTTTATTTTACACTTTAAGTGACGTCTAGCTACAGCATCTCAAGAGGAACTGAACCTTTCGGCAAGAAGATTGAAAGAAAAAATATTAAGAGAAAGTTAAGGGCACGCGACGCTTACTGAAACAAAACTACTGTAAGCCCCCCAAACTAGTAACGCAAAAAACCCTCCGATAAATCGCCCCTCCAAATAAAAGCCCCGGCTTGGAGTCGGAAATCCCTCAAATTCAAAATAAAACAAAGCAAGAACTGTACAGTAACACATAAATTTTTGCATTTGCCAAAGAACTATTACGCGTGCCAAACGATTGCAGTCAAAAAGTGTCACGGTATATTCAGTGCGGTTTGTGTAGTTCACTCTTCAGTCTTGCCATAGATTTCCTCTATCCACGTAAACAAAGTACTTGCATGGCTGACTGTGAGGTTTAGAAAGATCTACGTCCTCAAGGCGAGTTTCAGTAAAAACTTGCGGCAAATTACTGACACAAATTTCCCTCCAACTATAAGCTAGCCTAATGGTTTTTGAAACGCAAATTTCCCTCCGTGTATAAGCCCCTCAAAAAGGGCCTTTTAAAAATATAAGCCCGGGCGCTTATTTTTGGAATTTTACGGTATGACACTGGAGGCTCGTGGAATATATATGTTAGCCTGTTAACAGACCCTCTATTCAGTCTGACTATTTTCCCTCGCCTTTAGCGATCGTCGAGTACGTGTATGTAAAAAACAGTGGGGGACTTATCAGGTGAACGCAAGCGCGCTCACCAAATTGTGAAAGAAAAAAAAGGAAACGTCTGTGCACAGGCTAGGAATAAATAGCCGTGATGAACTTTTAAAATTTTATCCTCATTTTCTGTTGGCTTTAGTTTTGAATCTCGAAAATATAACTTTCATCTTGTATACCGTTCAATTTTTTTTCTTCCCCGTTTAAGCCGGTGTCGCAATTAACCAAAGTATCGGGCAAATACATGTTACCATTTGATCTTTCTTTAAATATTTTTTTTCTCATAACTTCTTGACGTAAGAACGGAGTAACAATGATCACTATTTCATAAAAAGGGCGCCAGGGCCAATCTCGTTCCGTGGGCTTTATCCCTCTTTTTTTCTAAGGTACGAGATAAACACGACACTTGGGGAACTCTAACATGAAACAGATGGTAAAGCTGACGTCGCCTAGCTAAGGGTGTAAATTACAGATGTTGGTCTCACTGATGGTCTCGGGACGCAAATCTAACATCACAAAGGTATTGCTTAGTTTCCTCCTCCTCTAATAATGTCAGCAATGCTTTGGATCAAAAGCCACCAACCATGAAAGGTCCGGATTCGAACCTAGGTTGCGAAATTTTCTGTGTCTTTAAAATGGAAGGGACCGTTTACGTAAGGGAAATTTCATCCACCTCAATGTCGTGGAAAAATTTTTACAGATAATACAGCTCAAGGATTTTTACTCCATTGAATTTTTTCAACGTCATATTATGTACATCTCAATATGGACCACGCTAAAAGGTAACTGCATGAGGTTACCGGTCGTTTTGATATAAGTTGATTCAATCTAGATGTGTCAAGTTTCACGTACTAGGCTGAAAGAACGAGGAATATTCACCTCAAATGTTTTTCTTGTTCATGCGCAAACTATACTTTAAGAAATCGAAGAACGTCTTCTGCAGTTTTATTGCCTGAGCTCGTATCGAAACGACTTTTATTGAAATGACTTCGTGAAAGAAACGACCGGTTTTCCTGCATGGTCAGCAAGGAATCTAGTTTTTCTCGTCCTGTTCAGATATGCTTGTTACACTGAATCGTCAAAACACCATAGATGTAGTACATTCACAGGTTCAGTTGTGTTTCATACAAATTTAATGAAAAGTGATTATACACTGAAGCTATTAATTAGAAAAATCAAGAAGAACTAGCCGTTCAGTCCTTTAACTTTATGCAAAATACTTCTGTATTCAAGCCGTTCTGTTCTCTATTATGATTATACTGTCGTATAATAAACCAAAAGGCTGCAAATGTATATCAGGAATTACTCTGCATATTTTGAAAGCATTAAAGGAGCTATGTCACCGTGATATTTGGAAACCCTGAAAACACATCGGAATCAAAGAAAACTCTGAAATAATGGGTCTAATTCAGTACTCTAACTGAAAGTCTTCGCCTTTCGATGGCCAGAATGGCAGCTTGAAAAGACTGAGCCAGCTTTTTCAAGTTTAACTCCTCTGTTGTCGAAAAATCTCAAAAAAATGACCATGCTTTCTTTCCCTTTATTTGAATCATTTGATAAATTTCAGTTAGAGTTCCAAGAATGAGAAAATAGAGCCGAGAACATCTCGTTATATTTTTGGCTCGTACATTTGATCGAAAACTGTGGAAGACACCATGATTGGACATAACCTCTTTAACTGCATCGACTTTTTACATCGCACGCCGACATGATGATTAATGTTAAGAGAGGATAAAAAGTACATGCATCGGTCCCTGAGCCCTGTTCATAAAATTTCAACTTTTACTTAATGCGACGTGAGGGACAGTACTTACAGCAATTCAAACTTAAACGCTTTAAGTCTGCGATAATTATTTTTCAAAGCTATAGAGAACCTTTGATATTTTTAACCGCAATCTGGCCAATGACAGGAGAATGCCTGAGCATACTGAACAATTATAATCAACCTTTTTATGGCTGTCCTATGTTGCTTCACAGCATTTTTGGTCCAACAACCATCACAACGACAAATCAACGCATGCGGACTCCTAGGGAAACCGACTTCCCCATAGTGCGGGTCCCAGCCAGCGCTCTTGGACTAACTCTATGTTCTCCAGTTTATCCTCTCCTGTTGATGTTCTGAACTTTTAGAACAATTAATATCCTACCTAACAACACAGACATTCTTTTCGGCGGAGCAATATACCTAGCAAAATGGTCACCGACTCTACGAGTGCTTTCCATTTTGCCAAACCAAACAGTCAGAAACTGGTGGAATTATCGAGAGAAAATGCAACGACACCGTTCGATTGAAACAAAGTTCGAATCGAATCAAGGCGATCCATTTGCGTTTTGACCAGAATTTTGATTACTGCTAGGCAGTAGGGCTGGAAACGAGAATTTTTGGAAAAGGAACAGCAAGTTTCGGTCAGACCAGAAAGACCCGTCAAAGAAGACCACCTCTGGAGATACCGAACGGTTCCATTTATTTCGCCACCGAAATTTTCGATAATTTTGGCATAATGGAAAGCAACCTGAGCTGGGGTAATTGCCAACTTCACAGTGTGCTGTTAAATCAACTCTCTGTAGTATTAAATTCCTCTAGCTAAGCTATTATACACCTGTGTATTTCACTAGACCAGACAACCTTGAATAGACCTTATTCACGATACCCGCCGCCATCTTTGCCCGCGCTTTAGGAATGTTGGGATAAAAGCAGTGTCACGTGCTATCCAAGAGGGCAAACAACTGATAAAATTTGCCAATACGAGCAAGCACGGTTGAGTTTGTATATTCTCTCAAAACGAGACGACGATTTTAGCCTTGCCAATGTACAGTTCGAGTTCCGACAAGTTATACGTCATTACCGCTGTAGGGACATCTATTCTCGTTCCTGCATCCATAAAAGTGGCAGTGACCACTTCCATCCATAATTTTCTATTATCGTCTTTAGATAGCAATCTCTTCATTTTCGGTTGTCTAGAATAACCAAACTCGACTGCGATTTCTTGTATTGGCAGAATATATCATTTGTTTGCACCCTGAGAAACCACGTGATATTACTTTTACCCCATCAGTCCTTAAGCGCGTTCAAAGATCGAATATCGTGAATAAGGTCTATTGTACTGAAGATAATCCGACTATGAAAACCCTTGTGCCCAGTTCCCCACACATAGAACAAAGAAAAGCAGAGTAGAGCAGAGCAGAGTATAAGAACTATAAAACGCTCACCTTTGCGTAACCTGGGCTGCGTAACAAGCGTTGCTGCGCGAGTTCGCGCCAAAAAATGCTTGCTACCCAGGCTATACAAAAGGCAGATGGTTAACTTTATACAAGACTCTTGTACACGGAAATGCTGTTTTATGAACATCGAAATACTGGTGGTAAATAGAAAACCTCTTCCCACTCTTCTACCCAATGAAGAGCTTATTAAAGGGCCTAAGATCAAAGAAGGGTTAGGAAAAAACATTCTGAGTATCAAGTCAGATAAAAGCTTTTCTTTTTCCTGCTTTTCAGTGTTGTCTGAGCCTAAAAAGAAAACGAGAAAAAGCTAGAGCACTTGCAAGTCGCCTTAACATTCTTTTTCTATTCTCAGTAAAATCAAACTCGTTTTCATATGAAAGGTTTTGCACTTGCCCTCGTTTTCATAGCGAGTAGTTTTGGAACTCCAAAATGGACTGAGCGATACAAGCTTTTCAAAACGACATAATATTCGATATTCTCATTCAGTACGGCTAAAAATTTTCCCAATAACACAACTTTTTCAACCTAGAGTCACACACTGCCTGCCTTTGATTCTTAACTCTGATTAGTTACATTCTCTGGAAAGAAATAGAGTTCCTTACGCAGCATTGACACAACACTAGACACCTGTCGCTTGCTGTCAGAGTAATAATCACCGGTTCGCGACTTGTACGTTGACACCATAGCGTTGACTCTGGTCAGCATTCTTAAGATATCCATGCTTCCAGCATTCTCCTCAAATACCTTTGTCAGTGACTGAATGAACCATGAGCCATTCACGGAATTTCTCCAAGAGTAGTAGCCTGGAACTGTGGAATATGCATAGACAAAGTCGGCTTCCGCTGGCACGGACACTTTGCTTCCCTGTTGAGGGGCATCTGTTACATCCATTCCATCCATGTACTCATGCCCTTGAAATGGTAAGGAAAACAGTTTTTGTTAACCCTACTGCGGGGACCAAAGAAGACTGTAGCACTACCAAAATTTCTACGTGGTGAAGAATCGTACGTAATCAGATTTCTCAAGTATAATACACTTGGATGACAAAGATTGAGAACTATAATGATTATATTTGTTATTTTCTTCAAAATTGTTCTTCTTCAATATGACCAGTCGCACTCTTGCCTGGCAAGAACAAGCAAAGTACTCAATCTGGCATACAAAAAAACTTTTACATGAAAACCGTTAATTTGGGAAAATCAGCATTCAAGCGATATGCGTGTGATAGATTGATAGTCAAAATTTGTCTTTGCCATCACCTTATTCAGAAAGAATTAGTAACATTATAAATGACTGCCACAGCCACAAAGAGATTTCGGAAATTCCCTGACTTCTCCCTGACAAATATAAAATTTCCCTGACCAACTGAATTAACAATTTCGCATATTAGACCTGATGCCCTCCCCTCACAGCCATTCTTCAATTTCATGACCAATATTCTACCAATACAACACGATTCATGTCTGTAAAATGTACAAAAGAATTTTAAATGTTAGAAAACAGCAAAAGTGGAGGGAAAAGAATAAAAATGTACTCTTAAAATTTCACTTTTTCCTGAGTTCTTTCAAACATTTAGCTTTTCCCTGACTCGAAGTGAAACTTCACTGACTTTTCCCTGACCGTGAAGAAATTTTTTTCCCTGACCTGTGGCAACCATATTATAACATAATATTAATTGAAAATACACCGTTAAGACGACAATTTTGTCTCAACTGCAGCTCTAACCCACCAAACAAGGAAATCAAATTATATGTTTCTTACCCTGGCATGCTTGGAAGAAAAACATCTTTGGCTTGCCAACCAAAGTAGTGCAATCTTTAAAGATTGCAGTAAGATCTTTGATGGCCATGGTACCATCGGTGCCATAAATCACACCTTCTTCACCATGTGTCAAGATGGAGAAAATGAATGCATCATAAGAGCTGTGATTAGTTGTTGCCATATCTTTTGTGATTCTTCTGATCTCAGCCCTGGTCTGGTTGTTGTAAATTCTAACATCAAACTTCAGAGCCCTGAACAATTTTGCCAAGGCATCACGGTCAACATCGGTGCCATTACGTGGGTAGCGGTCCATTCCCGAAGATCTAAGGAAGTCTTTGTTGTTGATAATGACAGCAAATCCTCTGGTTGACTTGTTCATTTTGTAAATTGTGTCGTTGTCAATGGTATTCGCTGACGACTTGGTAGCTGAACCCCCTCCACCAAAGCTAAAAAAAGCCTTGGCATCAGCTTGATCATTATTTTCTGAGAAAAAAAAACATAAATATAAATATATAAATAAAAAACGAGAGGATGACGCTTTTCCAGTCTACACAGGCGACGCCACGGACCTGGAAAATTCTGAGATCTCTTGACAGGAGTCGAACCTATGACCCTCTGGTTACTAGTCCAGATGCTCTACCAACTGAGCTACGGGAAACTCGTAGAGCTATTAACTGCCATTAAACTAGGTTTACACGAAAAAAATTCTTGCATGTCTCTAGGGCTGGAATGTCTATAGATGACACATACCCAACGAGAAAAATGTGATGGTAAATTTAAAGTCTAGTGAGAATACGATAATAATGTTTTTCCGGCGATGTCATTTTTCTTTATTATTATTTTTCAGTCAGTTTCAGTAACAGTGACAAAGCTAGCCTACGTTGAGGCCAGGTAAAGGGGAAGGGAAACTCACGAGCTTCAATTGTTTCCTCGCTTCAAATGCTTGCCACGCAAGCTGTGACTAGATAAATCAGTTACATTTTAAACTTTTAAAATAAAAAAACAAATGAAGGAAGGCCTCATAAGTGGAATAATATTTTTTCTTAAGTCTTCTCAAATATCTGCTTACGCGGCTACAAGGCACGGTAACAGAAAACAATAACAGAAAACTTGTCCCCGGTTAAGATAATTTACGTCCTTAATTTTGCTGTCCTAAATTTTGTGCCCAGGACAAAATTTATTAGAGTCGAACATCCAATAACGGCCATTTTTTTGGCAGACAGTCCATACACTGACTCTTGTTCAAACCAATCGTACAACGGCAACTTTCTTCTGTCCTCAAGGTAGCCGTTATGGAGAGGTTCAACTGTAATTAGTATTAATCGACCAAAAAAGACAATTGAACATTATTTTCAAATATTATCATTTTAATAAATAGAGACATTACAAATATTACAACTTCAAAAATAAACTGTTTAAACACTCTAAATTGGCTTGACTCATTTTACTCAAAATGGCAGAGGTCGACTCCTTGCTCATTAAACAATGTCTTTTAAAAATCATTAAATGTTATTGGTCTTTGACATTGCAGGTTTCCTGTAAACAGGAATCTGTTACTGTAAATCGGGGTCCACCCAGGATTTTTTTCCAGAGGGGGGAGAGGGGGGTGTCTGAATAACTTTTTCTCTTCTTTGCCAACACACAATATTTTGTAGCAATTTCATTATTGACAGGTGTAGTGCAAAGCAACCACAAGTAAAGAGAAAGTAGTAGGTGTCCCTTGGTGGTACCAAATTTCTGTTCAAAAGTACTTTGTTTCTTAGAATGGAAAAACACTCTGTGCCTAGAGGACTAAGATCCCCCACCAATGTCCCCTGGATCTGCCGATGCTATAAATCAAAACTGATCCATCTCAAAATCATTTTATGGTATTTGAGCAGCCTATCCTACATTATTAATATTTTATCAGACTGTTTCATAACTAAGTCCTCTGATTAACTCCATTATGTTTCCCCACCTTACTCTTTTATACCCATAAATAAATAATTGCACATTAAGGTATTTTCAACATTAATTATTTTTTTTATCAAAATTTGCAAAACAAAAACACCTGAAATATTTCGAGAATTTCTATTGTGTTGTGACCAATCACAACAAAGAAAAGAACATGCACACAGCCACAAAACCATAAACTAATTACCACTGTGGCTTACAGTTTTGCTTTCTCAGGCCTAATTGGCTTTTTCTTTGCAACACAATAGTATTCCAGAAATGTTTCACGGTATTCACGGTTTTCTGAGTTTCAAAGTACACGTACATTAAAAATGATAAAACGACAACATAAAAAAATATAAAATTATAAAAAAAAGGATGATATTCATGAAGAATGCCACTTTTATGAAATGAATTTCTCAAATAAGGAATTCTTGAATATAGCAATGCAAGATTTTTCTAATTCCAAAACTATTCAGTAACAAAAAAAAATTTCTTCACATGAAGTGAGATGAAGTGCATAAAATTAATCACAAAAACTTTTAATGAAACGCTTAATGTTTTGTAGTAATGGTTTTTCCTAATAGCTGAAAGTGTAAAAAAGTAGCCTCAATAGGTAAAACATTACCACAAGATTCTACAATGTAGCTATAATATTATTAATACTTTTAGTGACGTAAGCACTACTTTGCTCTTATATACAAAATACAATAACAGTGTAATATTATTTCCTTAGCAAAGAAAACTTAGCACCAATTTTCATTGTACAGGTGACACCCACCCACAATGCAATAACAGTAGTTACAATGTGATTTTAAGGGATTAAACAATAAATTCCAGAAAATGTTGTTTACGCCAATGAGAATTAAAAAAAGACCTGAGGATTTTAGACTGAAATGACTGTACTTCAGCGAATAAATCAGTGCTTTCCCAAAGGCATAACCTAGCGCACAACCTAATTTCACACAATCCCTAAACTGGTCTACTGTTTGGCCATGAATGAATTTTATAGTAATGTTTCTGACTAACCTTGATAATACATCTACAAGTGAAAACATGAAATAACGTGATATTCTTTTTAATCATGAGGTACTGAAATCTGAACTTTGAACTTTCAGCACCTAATTGTTTTCCACTGCCTGCTGATTGGCTGAAATGACTCTTGCTGGAATTTATTGTTTGCTTCCACTAACCTAATATCAGTGGACTCTTGATACAATGAAGCGTAATAAATGTTTGCTATAATGAGGTTTTATTACATATCAGGGTTTTTCCCCTATGTTTTACTATTACTGGCTGGGGGTGAAAAAGATTGTTTGTTATATACTAAAGTCTAAGGTGCCATTGTGGTTAGTTTTGTTTAATTTGGCAGAAAAAACACAAAAACCTCCTAGGTACTGTAATTTGATCCTTTCAATCCAAGAGACAACAAACAGACCTGACATGTTTTTCCACCTTTCATTAGCAGGGCTGTCACTAAGTGCCTGGGGCAGGGGATAACCCCCCTGGCTTCTATCAGCACCATCCTGGCTACCTTTATAGGAAACATACATAAAATAAACCAGTTCAAAAAATTTCTAGCTGTTAAATTCTGTGTCAAATAATTGCATATACCCAGTAACTTGAAATCTAAGTGACAGCTCTGACCTTGATGTCTCACAGATTTTTGGATTTTTAAGGAAATTCTACATTTGGTGCTCTTGGGAGTAAAAAGTTTAAGCCACTCTACATTCTGAGGTGTCATCAACATTATTGCTAGACTCAGTAACCTTTTCAGGGAAGAAATACAAGTCTTTTCTCAGCATTGACACTGTAGAAGACACCTGCCTCTTGTTAGGTGCAAAATTGTTTCGTGACTTGTAATTGGATACCAATGCACTCACTTTAGTGAGCATTTGCAGGATATCCATATGATAGCAATACTTATTAAACACCTCAACTACTGACTGAATGAACCAAGATCCTTCAGTACTATTTCTCCAAGAGTAATAGCCAGGCACAGTGGAGTAAGCAAAGATGAAGTCAGCCTCTACAGGTACAGAAACTTGTGGATCAGGCTGCAGGGGGGCATCAAACACATCCATTCCATCCATAAATTCCTGACCTACAATTTCAAAATATATGCCGAGTATATTTAATAGGCCATTTCCGAGTTCCAAAAACTCTCACTTGGGAAAATGACTTTTATTTGCATGAGAATAAAAAATGCTTATCATCCTCTACAGTAAGTATAAGGAGGTTTCAACAAGACGAGTTTTGAAAATCACAAGAAGCCTATGGCAGAACCTAGCTATATGACCATGGACCCCATAAGTATGACCAACAACCACAGTTTGGACTACCCATTGCCAGAATTATTTTTTAATCTCTGTTAAAATGTCCGGGTATAATAATGTAAGCTTGACAAAATCAGTTGGCTGACAATCTGACAATCTGACAATCTGAGAGTAACATTATCTATTAAAAGTCATTAAAAAAGAACAACTATGTGTGTGTTTGAATACTGTGTATGATATCCTATTAAATGATACTCACAACTGAATTCTGTTTGTCTATTTGTCACCACAAAAATGTAGTTAAATTAAAGGAGAGGGGACTCATGATAGAGATAACAAATTGAATGCAGAAAGGCAATAGTATACTTCTCCTCACCTTGACAAGCTTGGAAAAAGAAGATCTTTGGTTTGCCAGCCAGGGTTTTGTTATTCTTGAACTTGGAGGTAATTTCTCTTATCCTTAAAGTACCATCTATACCATACACCAAACCCTCCTCTCCATGTGTCAAGATAGCAAAAATAAAAGCATCATAAAGTGAATGGTCGGAAGTTGCTTTTTCTCTTACAATCCGCAAAATCTCAGCTTTGGTCTGATTGTTGTGAACTTCCACCTTAAACTGAAGTTTCTTGAAAAGCTTGTTCAGAGCATCACGATCAATATCTGTGCCTCCGCGTTGAGCCATATGTTGCCCTGATGATTCAAGGAACTTCTTGTTGTTTATGATGACAGCTATTCCTCTGGGTGAGCGACTCATCTTGTACCTTAAGATATCATCATGCTCGCCTGATGAATGATCAAGCTCATGGCTCCCAGGTCCAGGTGGACTGTCAACTTCATCAAATTCTTCTGCAATTCAAAATACCACTCAACATGAGTCTATGTGATGTAAAGGTGCTCTGAACTATTTTTTAGGAATGCTTTATTCTATTTTTCAGTCTAATTAAATTAGGCAGCCACACTCCCTAGTAAACTATGTGTGTTTACAACAAATTTATGGAACAGGGTTGCAGTATAGATTTGCTTAGTTTTTATTACTGTTTTCAACAGAAAATAATGTATTTTATCAAGCTCCAAGATAACAGCTTCATTGCATTTGTAGATCCTTTTATGATTAAAACCACAAGAGGTTAACTTGATCCACAAACAGATAACTTAATTATGCTTTAATTTACTGCAGAAACATTGCATTGCTTCTCACATTTTACACTACATTGGTAATAAGAAAATGTTGTTTTAATTTGGATGACTTGTCTTCTCAGGATAAGTACGATTAGTTCCTGCATTGTTAACTAAATTTCCTCCTGTGATGACTGATTGTTTGAAAGGTGATTAACTGCCCACATTGAATCTGAAATGTACTCTGTTACCTCTAATACTGTACAAAGGCACAAATTAAGCACATTAACAACCTTGAAACAGACAGAAGAATGATCTATTTATTCAGAGATGAATATCTTTACTACCTTGTGTACATACATTCTAAGGAACTTTATCCTAATTATATACTACACTTTCAATTTTGACCAACTTCATAATCATGACCAACAATTTCAAAATAGAGAAACCAAAGCTTGGTGAATTTTTAATCCCAGATTAGCATTCATTGCCTTTCAAACAACAAGGCCCTCAGGAGGAGTCTGCAGGTTGCGGCAAGCTCCAATGCAGTTACTAAACAAATCCATGTTACTGTCCAGAGTGCTACTCTGTACCTAGGGGTGCACAGACAAAAGAAGTTACAGTATAAGAGGTTTTGCATCTTCTTTGTCTCCTTTTTCCCCACATTCATTAAGACCTCATCAACACGAATTTGGATATCTTTGAAACTACATTTTTTTTGCACAAATTGGCCTTTCACCCACACAAAACCATTTAAACTGCTCACTGAAACCACATATTTTGACACTGATCTCCAGAATGGTTTAATCCACACAATTTTCGGTGAAAAAATATGCAGCTTCAAAAATGTCTGGATTGGTGTGGACAGGGCCTAATTCATCATAACAAGCAGGCACGCAGTTATCATATTAAGTAACAAAAGTAAAGTCAACCCTGTACACAGATATAATGGCCCTGTAGTTAGTGGTCACCCTGTATATTATGGTCACCGGACAACTTCCCAAAATTTTCAGTTGTCTCTTACTTTTTGTGCAAAGTTGCCCTTTGTATAGCGGCCACCCTGCATATAACGGTCACCTTGCCATTTCCTAAGGGTGACCATTGTAAACAGGTTTGACTGTGTTGTTTTCAACTCTGTCACATTATGTCTCAAAAAACTAAAGAAATGATTGTTTATTAATATTACAGATAGAAACAAACTGTTAATATTAAATAATAATAATAATAAAACACAAAATTGCATTTAACAAGAAAAAAGGACGGACTTACCTAATACGAGGAAACAAATAAACATAGGTAACACAGAGTACCATCACATTCCAAAAGTAGTAAGGTCTCCTTGAAGGAAGTCAGCTGGATTAAAGTCTGACAAGACCAACAGGCAGGTTTTCCAAAAATGCAAAGAATGCATAAGCTGTTTTGTTAGGACAGCTTTCAAGTCCAGATGGAAATGTACAAAAAAATGCGCATGTCTGTTGCTTTTTCCCCCACTATCACAGCGGTCTGAGAAGCCAGTCCAAAATTGAGTTAGACCTTGCTAAATCTTTGAATTCATACAGTTCCTGATACTTTTAGCACTTGAGACATGTCACCCTTTCTATTGTGGGTTGCCGCAAACTTACGAATTATGCACGAGCTCCTTCGAACAGGAAAACTGTCAGCACCCACTACCGCCATCACTGATTACTGGCTTACACAATAAAAATTGCTGAACTCCTCGAGTCCCATACACTCACAACTTTTTCAGTGCCACTTCGAGAACGCATTTCTGCCCTATGCTCAGCCCCAATTTCTCTAAATCCATCGGAGTGAGGAGTTGTAGGGCTTCCTCGGTATCGAGATCCTCTTTCTTGAGGATATCCACACTCGTTTCTGTAACTTTAGTAGCCTTACACTACGTGTCAAAGTTAAAGCTCGCCATAATTATTCCCACAGACAAGAAAAGCTTACAATCGTGTTCAACGCATCAGCTGGCTAGAATCGCTTAATGACTGACACGTGGCAGCAGCTTGCATATATACATGGGCTTGGCGCTGAACTTCCGTCACATGTATTTAATCCTGATAAACAGGTTTATCACTCACCATAGTCGTAGATAACTTTGACCCCTTCTTCATTCATGGTTATGATTCGGTCAAACAGGCCAGAGAAAACACAAAAACCATGTAAAATTGACTAAAAAATTCCAATAAAAATCTTGTTCCAGGACACACCCATACTTCATATCAAATAATTTCATGATCTTTGGGCATTTTAAGGAAACTTTTGCACTGAAATGAAGCCTAGTACATAGACAAGAGAACAAAACTAAGCAAAAGAAGTGAGGAAAAGATGGGTGCTTGTTTTCACCCTGTGTGTCTGTAATTCTTTGGGTTTTTCCTACATGCAGCTGTGTGCAAAATGTTTGAAACTTGAACAACGGTCTAAAATTCCTGTTATTTTGCAAAAACTGTGAATCTTCCTAAATTCTTAAGCCCATTTGTTTGTCTAGACTATAAGTTTTCAGTAAAGTGACTTCATATTAGCCGATCTTGCAAAAAATGTAAGAAAAATGAACAGTTTTTAACATGACCTCATACTCCTCTGTGGCTCCAAATTAACAGGGAGTTTCATGTGATTCACATCTACAAATGTAATTTATTAATGCAACTTCTACTATCCAGATTTTTTACTCGTTAAAATATATTTTTCTTGTACAGCTAGCCACAGCCACTAAGAACACCAATAAAATAGGGGCTCACCATTCTTGTTTTACGGCAAAAGACGACAAGGCAAGGATCATGTTGAACTTTGTCTTTGGGGGGTGACTTATAAAATTTTACAGCCTGATATCTTTCATAATCTTCTCACATGATGAGCTCAGTGTCATCAGAAAGTTTTGTAGTAGACGGCGGAGTTGTCAAACTAAGCGGCCAGTCCAGAGATATTTTATTAAAAACCGCCACCCATAAAGAAATGCCAAGCAGAGTAGCTGGCCGTTACTAACCAAGTAGGCGGCAATTTTTGCCAGCAGTCGGTACTTTTGACAACCCCGTGAGCTGCCTCAACTTTGAGGAAAAAGAATTTACTGTTCTCCTGTTAAAATCATACTAGTTTGTTCATATTACCTACACATTAAGTGTCTTTGGAGGCACTTCTGCTCCTTTTCATCCCACCCCAGGTTAGTGTTATGACAAGGGTTTCTTAACCCCTTCCCTGCCAACCCCATTGAGAAGTCCTGTGCCAATACAAATTGAACTTTTTTTTTAATTAGACACTACCCATTTTAAGTACCAATGACACCCAAGCATTAAGAAGTAACATACAACAGGTATACATTTTTTGCAACTACAACAAAAAATCTTTCACTGTCAAAGGAAACTTTAGCCTCTGAATCATGAGAGTCAAAGCTTTCATCATCCTCATTTGCACCAGAGATCTCCTCAAAATCACTAAAATTGCTGTCACTATTGGAAACATTTTCTTCTCTGGAATCATTCCATACTTCATCTCACACATCTTGAGCAGTTTCATATCTCTCCATATTCAAAATCGAACACAAATTTTACTTTGCTCTTGCAACTATGTGATTTTTGAAAGCAATATGGTGGAGGGCAGACAAAAATGTTTCTGTCTGATCTATAAACCCATTTTGCTAAATGTGGGACTAGGCACTAGTACTTACCAGTCTACTAACTTCTTCTGGGCCTGAGAGGCCAGGTTATATTACATCTCCAGTGCCAGGGATTTGACTGTTACTCTCTCATTTTTAACATACTGAGTACGTCATACAGACATGTGAATTGCAAATAGCGCGACATAATGTGATAGTACATGGTGATTCTGTGATAGTACATGGTGATTCTGTTCTAGCTGACATTGTTATATATAGTTAACTAATTTAATTCAATGCTCTTTCATTAATCTCTTGTAAAATAACGGAATGAATAAAAGGTTAATTCGTTTGCCCTTACAAGCAAGATTTCTATCTGAACACTTTTCTGATTTTCTAGCTTAATATACCTGAAGGGACTCCAGATGCAGGAATAGGTGCGGTACTGCCTGGTCCATCAATACCTTCATCTGGTAAAAAAAAAAGATCATTGACGAATTCAGTTTTTAATCTAGAGGCTCATATACATGCGTAACTCACTACACAAAGTACAACAGGCAACTCTTAGGTCCTGTTCTATTGAGAACACACACATGAGTAAAAATGCCTGGTGCAGGAGAAAAAGTTCAAATTGCCTTCAACCTTCATCATCATAAACTTTTGCCACAATGTTGTATTATATCACAACATTAAAAATGTCTAAATAAACAGATTAAGTCAAAATTGGTATCAGTTTCAAGAACACAAAGCTTAACATTGGTTCCAGTAAAGGATCTTATTCATTTAGGCACCTCACTGGACCCAAATACGAAGTTTCCTGTTTGTGCCACTAACGCATTGGGTATGTCTTTTCTTGGATGCAGCACCATAGCCTTGGAAAAAGAATTTTGAATCTAAAAAAAATCTATTAAACATGAAAAATATTATTGTTACATGGTCATTTAAACTTTGCTCTCAAGGCTTTCTCTATTTGTTGAGAAAAACAGTGCCATTATAAGACATGAGGCTGTAAAGAAAAAGAGGTTTGTTTTGTAGAGCTGGTGCATAGTTTAGGTAAAATAATTTACACTTCCTTTACTTTACAAAGATTTCAAAGGTATCCTACAATATATCAATATCCACCTCCGACAACAGGAGTTTTGAAGTCTACTTCCACACTAAGGTATTTACGTGTATTACAGAAGACTTTTTGTTAGATTGTGTACACCACAAAGAATCAAGAAAGATAATTTTAATTTTTCTCACATCTGATGCTAAGGAATTGAATAAAAATATATTAGGTCAAGGACATTTTAATTCCACTTCACACAAAATATATTTAATTCAAAAAGTGAGAAGGTTGAGGAATATATTATCAAACATGAAATCTATTATTGGATGCTCCAACACCTTCCAGATAAGTGGCATTTCTGCGCTAAAAACACAGTCCAACACCGCATTATGGGCTCCCGGTTTATACGGATATCTCATTATTACGGACAGTTTGCTTTGTCCCTGGGGAAAGAAAGCCTGTACATTTTCTCCAAAATTCAACTGAACACTTTGATAATACAAACACTTTTTATGGCCTCTTCAGTGTCCATATTAACGGGGTTTGACTGGAAAACCAAAGAAATTACATGAAAATCTTCCAACACGTGCATTTTCATACAGAACAAGAAAAACAAAACTATTTCTGCTCACAGAGTTGAGCAAGTACACTACCTTTGTCTCGTCACATGTTCACAAAACATTGCACATTCAATGACATCACGCATCGTACGTGATAATGGCTTCGACTGACAAGGAAAAGGAATACTCTCAAGATTCATAAACTAAGACAAAGGTAATTATAATATTCCAGACATCCTTTCCTTCCAAGAAAACTCTTTATTCTGGAAGTTATCTTCAAACGGACATGACGCCAGATCTGAGTCAGCACAAATAACTAACACCTTCACTTTTTCAGCAAAATATTTTGATAGCAGGCTAATAGGATTTAAGTTTTTACGTGAAGTCTTATTGAATCGAAATAGCAATATATAGACACGCATATATCTCAAATGCCAATTAAACCGACTTCAAACAGCGCGAGAGTTCAAATACAAAAATAAAAATCGCGCCATTTGCAGAAGGTCTGGAAAAATTTGTAGAAAATGACCACGTAAGCTTATTTATGCATTTGAGATGGAGTTGTAGTCATTCATTCCATCAAAAAATCTACCTGAAACTGTAGGATAGTTAGACTTCACCAATATTCTCACTTAAAACAACATATCTGCCTTACCGTCTTCTTGAGTAGGTCGCAGTAGTGCTTCTAGATGCGGAGAGACTTCATTCAAAACATTACAGAACGCATTGAAGGCTTTAGGTCCTTTCCGAGGTAAAATGTCCAGAACTTCTTCTCGCTGTTCGGCTGGAGTCGACTTAGCATTCACACTGTCCTTATCTTCTTCGCTAAAGATTTCCCTTGAGTAAAGCAGCGATGCGACTCGTTTCGCTTCTAGATCTCTCAACAATGCCTCTCTGTTACTTCGCAAGGCTTTTCTATCTTCTTCCTGCATACTGACTGCGGATTACACCAAAAATAAGAAGACGCTTTTTTCCGGCGACAAAATCTTCTTTCCTTTCCAAAGGAGGTCTTTGATAGCCTCGTTCTCATTATAGGCAGGTAAAATCGAAAGTGAGTCGGAAGAATTCCGATTGCTTTTAACCAATCACAATGTGCAACTTATTCCTCGTGATTTGACTCGAAAACGGCGAAAAGTGACAGCAATAAAAATGTCGATGACAAAAGGGACTTTGGTTTTTTGGTTTTTTCTTTTCTTTTTTTAATTTTCAGCCCGATATTTCTCTTTGAAACAAGCCCTAGCTTAGTCAGAAGCTGGCTGAGTGGGATGCAAACTGTAAAACAAGGCTTACCGTAAAGCTATGGGATTTTTCTTCCAATATCGTAAAATTCCGAAAATAAGCCCTACTGGGCTTACATTTTTCAAAGGCCCTTTTTGAGGGGCTTATTTTTGGAGGGGCTTATCTACGAAGGGAAATTTGCGTTTCAAAATCGATTGAGCTAGCCTTATAGTTGGGAGTAAATTTACCGTTTTTGTTTTGTTTTACATTATATTTGAGGGCAATTTTCCAAGTAAAACCCCCCGGGAGGCGGGGGGGGGGGGCTTATATTTTGAGGGCCGATTTAACGGAGGGTTTCTTGCGTTACCGGTTTGCAGGGCTCATGGAGGGGCTTATTTTCGGAATTTTACGGTATTTCCTCAGGCACGGCCCTCGGTAGTGAAGCTTTTCTTTAATGACTCGTCATTTTCGGCATTCTGTCGCCTTTCGTAATAAGCCTCTATGAAAATCTTCATGTAGTATTGCGCCCTCTTTCCTTTTGGATTTTGCAACTGTAGTGTTAATAAAATTGTAATATCTTGATATCGTCAAAGAGATGGTTACGTTTACTGTACAGCATGCATAACTGGCTTAAGTGAGTTTTTTTTTTTTATTAAATATGTTTTTTGTGTGGAGGGGGGGTCACCAAAAAAAACACCTTTTGGGGGGGCATGAGAAAAGATTTATTGATTGAGGGTGGCCAATGCAGTTATTAATGACAGTTCAAGAAATTCCACTAGCCAGCAAGTGTCTGGCCACCTCTCAAATCTTAAGATCTCTCCGAACTATTCTTACTTGCAGTTCCTACTAAAGTAACTAAGAAAATGTTCAATGGAACAAAAGTCCCGACTGGTGCTGGAGTTTCTTTCTTTCCTTCTTATTTTTTTTGGAAAGAAACTACAACACGGCGCTTTTGTTGATAATTACTGTTTGTTGAACGTTCTCTCACTTTCTTTTTAAAGTGCCACGTAGCTTACCGGAATTCTCTTTTCCCGTTCTAAAGTCTGTTCTCAGAACGTGCCCTGGGATTGCTCACAAAGCTCCTACAACAACTGTCACCACCTCCACTTTTCGCATAGCCCAAACGGTGGTTAATATATATCTAACACTTTAAATCTCAAAGTGAAACAAAGTGAAACTAAAGCCAGTATGGTTTGTATATATAGTGGCGGAGCTATGCTCATGACGAGAACATGAATACTTTCGTTATACACTGCTACAGCATCCCAGACGTAATGGTTAAAGTTCGGCAACCACACCCTCCCCAAATGTGCTGGCGAATACACTTGGCAAACACGAAGCATCCAGAAGATGAACATGGCACAGCCCGAATGGAGGATACCATAACCAGATTGAATATATTATGGTTAATTAGGAGGCGCTTCATGACCAGCGTAAACACCGCTAAGACAAGAAGCTTCCCAGGAGCTGACATAGGAAGCGACCATGATTTAGTGATGATGTCTTTTCGGCTACTTAAAGAAGATAAAAATGCAGGGCCCCACAAGGATTAACTGACATATTGAACGAAGAGCACTGAAGAAGGGAAGACACGAGACAGCAAAAGGGCAGAAAAGGACAGAGCAGTTAACCAGGAAATTAAGAAGAGCATAAAAAATCGAGAGCAGAGCAGTTAACCAGGAAATTAAGAAGAGCATAAAAAATCAAGAGTATCGGATTGACGCACAGTGTCAAGATATTGAAGATAACATCAGGAAGAAAAATAGCCAGAAATCAAATCAGCTAGTAAAAACTCTAACTAGGACAAGGACAAACCAACACCATACTGGACAAAGCCGGGAATTTGCCTAACCGAAACCAACGACATTCTAAAGACGCGGACAGAGTACTGCGCAGAACTGTACAGCCACACAGTCGAAGGTGACCCTGAAAAGCTGATTGTCCCACCGGCAACCAACACTGATAACCACCCAATCTTGCGGATAGAGGTCGAAGCAGCTGTGAAATCGCTGCAAATGACATCAGCATTGACATAAAATCAAGGGTGAAAAATTGGACGTGGTTGACAGCTTCAAGTATCTGGGCGCAGTCGTCACAGATCAGGGTTCCAAGCCTACCGGTAAGTACTGTCCAGAATTACACAGACAACAGCAGCACTAGTGAGACTGAAGACCATCTGGAGCGATAAGCACATCCCTCTAAGATCAGCCTTATGCGCTCTCTGGTTATCTCAGTACAGTTGCATGCCTGCGAAAGTCGGACGTTGATATCGGACATCCTGAAGAAATTGCAGGCCACTGAGATGAGATGGCATCTCATACAGAGACCACATCACCAAGCCATCGGGCCCTATGATGACATGACGGTATGGGCATGAATCAAGATCAGCAGGGCTTACCAAGACAATTTTACAAGGTGGAAGAAAGGGCCGACAAAAGAAGCGTTGGGAGAATAACATATCTGAGTGGACAGGGTTGAAGTTTTGCGACGCCTAAAGAGAATGTGAAAACAAAATCACATGGAGGGAAAGGGTTGATAGGTCCCTGGCGCCCCAGCGGTCACCATGACTACAGGATAGCAGGATAGATGAAGGTGCATCTTTTCTTTTGACACCTCAAACTAACCAGCATCTCTTTATAACGTAAACACTAACAAAAATGAGAAAACAATATGTCAAATGTTTTGGCGTATAGGCAAATTCTCTTTATTCTCTTCTCTAACTATTTTACATTAAGAAAAGTGCAGAGAATCTACATATTAATGTTATTTTGAGCTTTGATGGTCAAATGAAAGAAAGTACTCGACTATTTAACACTTGATGGATCTAAGAGTGAGGCTTGGTTAAAACAAGGGAACAATAAGGAAACTGAAATGAATTTTGCCCAACTTAAAAACTAATGTGACATTACTGTAACTTCAATTTTCACCACTAACTAAAGTCAAAATGAGCAACTCAGCTAATCAGCCCTAGAAGCTGGAGAGTCAGGTCAAACTCAAAAGAAAAATAGAATATAACATATTTTGCCCTTTGTATTTCATTTAACGTTAAAAATAGATCACAAAGTGAAACCGAAGTTGTACATCCCTTTTCCCAAACCAACAAGGCATCCAATAGTGAAAAAATAATTGTCAAAATTACCTCGTTATATTTACAGTCATATGCAATGAAACCACTTCCACCAAAAAAATGCTACTAAAAATAAATAATTTCAAAAAGCAAAGTAATCTTTCCCCTTCAATCAACAGGGGAAAAATCTTTTTTAACTTTTTTAACTCTATTTTTTTTTTCTTTTCTTAAACATGTAAATAATAGCCTGCAATGTAGGGTGTTATTTAGGTGCATGAGCAATAGAAATAAGTCTAGGTAACCATAAGCACCATGTTGACTTCCAAAACAAAACATAAAGAGAAGGCGAGATGAGTCCTTCCAACCGAATCCCACCTTCAGCACACAAAGAAAGTCAAGTGTAATAGCCCAGGGCTGTGTATTGAATTTTCCTTACAGGCTAGTGAATTCTATTCTTAACCTACCGACAGGAAGGCCAATTTTTTTTTCTTTGGTGGGGAAGGGGGGGTGGGGGGAATTCAAATGCTAGCTACAGCATGCTCTCTTCGCACCCTGCACCTTTCCTAATCATCATATTACTGTTGGGCTGTGTTTCTTCCTATCATCTCTTTGCTATTTGCTGTTTCATGAAAATGAAGTAAGATGTACTTCTCAAACTCATCAATGATTCATAAAGAAAATTCAAAGGAAATTGATGTTTAATGAGTGTTTGGAAATCAGATGAAAAACTGCTCATTTTGGCATCCTTAATTTCCCCTTTTAAAATTATTTCGTTTGAGAAGTAATATAAGCGTTCGACACAGTGTTCCATCACCAGATGAAACACCTTGACGTTCGTCAAAAATACTCCACTGTGCATTGTATTTTCAACTCTCTTCTCGGTGTTTCTTCTGGTGATGAAACACTGTGTCTCATGCTTGATATATTACATGAAACACCAAGCATTATTCTGTTCAAGTCCTAAAATACACTGCATCGCAGGCTCTAAGATTGTACACTGACAATTCTTCATTTTCCTTAACTTTTATGGTATTTAATGCGTCTAAGATGAAGGAAAACAAAACAATCTCTGTTTCTAGGCATTTCAAGGAGAAGCTAAACTGCAAATTTCTTAATTAGCTGCTGAGAGTTACTTGTTTGAGGTTAAGGAACTCAATATACACACAATGCATTCCAAGTAAGGCTTAGTTTCATCATTAATCAATTAGCATCTAACCATTGAAAAGCCTTGATTTTCTTCAAAATGATCACTGTAATTGGGACTTTCAATAGCACACAGCACCCACTGGTACACTGCTGGGTATTTTGTCCTGTCCCCCACCCCCCCCCTCTACTTTACCATCGTTTTTGCCTTTTAAAGTAATTGTCTTTCAGAATTTGTCTTAAACTAAAACCTACTTCAAAACATATTGAATCCACTGCTGCTGAAATTTGTACATCATAATCACAGTGCAACAACAACAACAACTAATGTCAATATTTTGATTGTTCTTAGCATGCCTTTATGTAACAGTATGACACTGAAGGAATGTCATGAGAGAGACAAGGATGACTTGTCTGATGCTGAAGATGGGAAGGTGTATGCACCACAGCATGTTCTTGATACATCAGATTAACAAGTTGTCATGCAAAACTTGGATATCTTGATGTAGAACCATGTGATGTCCTGACTGCGAACAGCATGAAGTCATTACTCATCGGTTAGCACTATCTTACTAAGCTGTTGTAACACTGGTACGAGGGCTGTCATCATCTAGCTCATATCGTTGGTCAATAAAATCCATCGACTTCTTGAGTTTGTTCATTGTCTTTTGCACTCTTAAAGCTGTCAAACGAGCAGCTGGATGTTGCGCCCAACACTCTGTCATCAGCTTGGCCATTGTTTGAAGAGTCTGTTGATTAATCAAAGTTGTAATTTATGATACTCAAATACTTATCACACAAACAGCAGGTCCCTGATAGAGCCCTGAGTAATCATTATTCTAAGTTGACAAGACTCAGAAGGTAACGTTTGTAAACAAAACAATCTCAAAGTGTTTAACTAAACAAGCTTTTTAAGAGCTTAGTTTTGTGTTGAACAGGCATTTAGTAAATGACAAGTACTCCTTTGATACTAAAATAAGTTGTCTATGAAAATAAAAATAAATAAACTCTTGCCAAGGACACATTAAAATGTGTTGATGGTATTATGTTACCATCCATGTTGAAAGAAACTTCTTTTCACTAAACTGCATTTAATGTTGTTTTTACCTCATCTCTGTGCCATCTATTTGGTATTGATGGCCGCCTCTTTTCAGTTAACACAACTTTCCTCACTTCATCAAAAGAGGGATCACCCGGAAGCATATCAAAGTAAGGTACTTGGTATTCTTCACACATTCCAGTTTCTGGAACAATGAAACAATAGTTTAAGAAGTGGTTGCATCAAAGAAGAAATGGACAAACAGCCAATGGTATCATCACCATCAGAGAAACAACTGTAATATTGCATACCAAAGACCCTCAGACTGAACAATAAGTATTGGGACTGAGTTTTAGTAAATGCTTTCAGACAAAGTTTGTGTGCTTTACAAAATCAGATGTCATATCAATCCAATCAAGGACAGAAACGAGGTTCTGAGGGCATAGTGCAACTGGTTTGAAATTATTCCAAAGTTCTACTTGTATAGTACATCATCACATATTCATGGTCAAATCTAAAGGTCACTACTGTCTCAACTCAGAGTGGCCATAATCAATTTTTTTTTATCAATGGCTACTATAATTGAACCAAGGTGGAAAAAGTTTATGGTGTACATGTATGCAAGGAGATGAAACTTACCATCTGAGAAACATCTTCTGGCAATCTCCCACAGAACCAGCCCAAAGGAGTAAATGTCTGCCATCTTAAATGCCGCAAAATTTCTACAATCCAAAGCATTGTCTAACACCTCCGGAGCCATGTATCTTCTAGTTCCCACTCTTGTGTCAGGTTTGATGTCAATTTCTTCAGTATCGGAAGAGTATTTTACAGCAAGTCCAAAGTCTGCTATGCAACATGTCAAGTTCTCTTTGACAAGAATGTTCTTGCTCTTAATGTCCCGATGTGCTATTGGAGGTTTTCCTTTGGTTCCCTGGATTTCTGTATGAAGATGAGTCAATCCTGCAGAAGCCGATAATGCAAGCTTGACCATAGTCTTCTTGTTCAGCCCGTGACATCGTAAGAAGTCATACAAAGAGCCATATGGATGGTAATCTGTTATGAGGTACATTTGCGTCACTTGATTGCTTCCAATTATATCTGAGGCTATGAAACCCAGAACACTTTCATGTCGCAATAGAACTGTCTGGTAAATCTCTGTTTCCCTCTGCCATGAAGATTCACAATGGGAAAGGAATATTTTGACTGCTACATCCTCTCCTCTCCATCTTGCCTGCCACACCTCACCATACCGTCCTTTACCAACACTCCTTATAAGTGTCACTTGCTTAGCAATGGTTCTCTGAACCTAAAAAAAAACATTTCACACTTTTACACCATGTTACAAGACTGTGAGTTATAGCCTGGAAGCATGCTTGTGGCATGATAACCAATGTCTGCTATTTCCATTGATACATTTCTTCGCTTTTGTTTTAGCTTTTGCTTTTTTTAAATAAATGAAAATTTAAAAAACCTAACAGCATGCAGAATTAATGTCACAGATAATCTAGTAAAATTTATAACCAAGTAGTGCCTCATTAGTCTCTAACATCTTAGTGCAAGAGCAAGGCTGCTGTGCTCCAGCAGCAGCACTCAGCGGCCTCTGGACCCTAATAGTTGCTTCAGGGTGACTAGAAAATCTTAGTTTTCTAACAGAAATCATGTGCTGGGCACCCTCGAGAGAACTGGGCTGCCTTCAATTTTTCTTGGAACACAGTCACTTACTGGTATTCAATGTTGTGTGTGCCACACATGATATCTTCTTCTTCTACAGAGGAACCCCACCTTACTGCCACCTTGGTAAAACGGTCACCTCATTACAACAGCCACCTTTTTACAGTCCAGTAAAACGAGCATGCATTTTCTTATCAGAAACCCTCGTTAATGTGGTTACTAGTTTATACGGCCAACAGCCACGTTTCAAAATCCCATTTACAGTAGAATCGTTTATAATTTCACCCTGTTAATACCGCCACTTGTTTCGAAATTTAGAAAATTAAAATACCTGTGATATGTTATTTTCATTGACCTTCTAAGCTGAGCCTGTTCTTTTATTGTTGGTGACCGTGTTAAGGTATGTCCACTGCACTATTACTATGACATGTACATTGTAGACTGTTATGTATGTAAGTATGTATGAAACCATCTAGCAGGCTACATTAACCTTTCTCAACCATATTCAACTATGAAAATTACGAAGTTTTCACTTTTGAATTTGTAGACAAACAACACATGCTATGCTCTGATCAGCCAAATGATAACTAGGTGATGGAACTTTTTTCAGAGTACTATTTGTCTCAGTATTTCACAAAATGAAAATTTACTTAACAGACATAACTACAGATATTTAACTAACCAGAAGAGGCAATCCTGAACCGCTTCCAGAGCTTTGGTCCAGCATATCTTGGAGGGTTTCTCCTTTCGTCATATATGGACTGCCGTACTTCTCAAAGTCAAAGGGATGTGGTGTCTGTGATGCCTTTAACCTACAAAAACGTTTCCTTAAGTCACCAAAAAAAGACCAAAACAGTTTTTCAATACTTAACTCTAGGTAAATGTCTCACGTAGAAAAGAATCATATGACTGTGGTGCTTGTGAGAAACAACTGAAGAAAAATGACGGCAGGTTAGCAAGTGAACAGAAGTTGATAAAAACAGTGAGTGGGCATGAATTGAGAAAGTCCTAATGTTCAACTCTGACCAAACACTTCTGCTTTAAAGTGGTAAATTGACTCCATCAACTCAGTCAAGATATAACCAATCTTAATGCATTACTTTTTGCCACAGTGCAAGGTGATCACTGCGTAGTTAGTACATATAAAAGCACCAGTCTGCTGAGAGAGAGATAGCACGTTCAAATCCACCATCAGATCAATGCTAGGGGTTTTAAAATAACTAATGAGAATGTGCTGCCTTTCTTCTGACATCTACAAAATCCTTAGACATTCCAGCCTTCAGGGATAAGGATTAAAAACTGTAGGCTCCATCTCACAGTTCTTTCACTTTTCTAGTTCTTGAGGATTGAGGTCATTTTTCATCCCCTCCCACTGTGTACATTGCAAAGTTCTATGAATAAATAGAAAGAAATGACAGAGAATCCTGTCATTGCCAGTTTTAAGGAAGAAAATAAAACAAAATAGGACGAAATACTCACCGATAACAAAAGAATGTGAGAAATATTATAAATATCACCCCGCAAACACCAGCACTGATAAAAAGAATTTTGTATGTTTGGATGGCATCACCTTCAGATTCCTCACGAAGAGGCTCAACTAAACACAAGCAAAGAAATGAAGCTAAGTCAAACAGACATGCATGTAGTTACTCATAATTACTTGAAAAACAAAACTTTTATTGTATTCCACTAATCATCAAAATGAAAGCTAGATTTATGGGTAGCTGGGAGGGAGGGAACCCCTCCCTCATAGGACCTATGTTTTCCAGTTAGTACTCATCCCCATAGAGCAGGTCTTTGCCCAATAGAGGCAGAGGAAATAAAATTTGCTTAGACATATTCTCTGACTATAAATCAGAAGACTTGCAACCATTCCTAAACACTGTATCTCTATATGACTACTGATGCATTAGTAATGAATCTTACACAAAACCACTCCCATATCACTGAACAGCACTTACAGAATACATTTTGCAGTGCACATTAGAAAGTACAGTTTCCATCTTTAATTATAGAGCATGAAGGTGATTACAAACATATAATCATGGACAGTAGCCTACATAACTGGTCTTGAGAAGTCTGTGCTGAGCAAGAGTAGGAGGTAACGGCTTGTCTGTCTCGTTCATCATCTCATAATTTCTCACTTTAAATACATGATTGAAACATAGCTGACCTCTTATTTTAACGGCTTTTACTGAAGAAAGCCTTAAGTCATTTTTTTGTTGGTATGGCTACATTTTATACAAGTACATTTTACAAGAAAATTCATCCATAGTGATTTTGTGTTGTATATCTTTGATTTTTCATGACTCATTGGGTCAACACCTTTGATATTGATTGCGAGTTTGGGTTTGAATACTTCAATTACAACTTTATTCTTAAAAAGACTTGTCATTTTCTTGTTTGTCATATGTCACATTTTTCCAAGTTCAGTTTTTCTTGACCTGGCTGACTTTTAAATTTTTACTTGCTGTTTACACATCTGTGTTCAAATACAGAACTACTAGAATAAAATACCATTTCTTGAGAGTCATACAGCCCAACTCAGAGCAAAATATCAACAACAGTAAAAATAGGAGTTTGATGGAGCTGTTGTAAACAAGAGACAGAAGCACAAAGGGTGATATTGTACTTGTAAACAAAATTCAGTTTGGGAGCCATTGCTGCATTCTTGGTTCTTAAGTACTAAAATAACTAAGAGATGCAGTCATCACAGTTTTTATTGTTTCATATCTATGTGATCACGGAAAATCAAAACCATAATTACCGACTACTGTACACCTATTCGAGAAAACTAATTTACAATGCAGGGTCAGATCATTTACACCTACAATAACTCATTCTGTCATTCTTACTAAATTAATTTGTGACAAATCTATATATCACCCATGCATACTTGATATCTGTGCACAATATACATGTGATATTGATAGTGCTGCAGAAGTACAAGTGGTTTTATAGAAATAAAGCATCTTAAGAGATTAGAATATTGGTCGCACTTTCCCCTCAGTTCAAGTTCAAGCATGTTGAATTCTATTCTTCAAATTAGTACATGTAACTTATGCCTTATGATAACATTAATAGATAAGGTTAGTTTGAGTGTTCTGTAGAGGGGAGGGGAGGGGAGGGGAGGGGAGAGGAGTCAAATCTTCGATTTCTGTGTATTTTCATATAGGCTACCCTGTCCCTCTAAGATGGCGGCAAAATGTCACAGTTTTCGTTCACATAAATAATAAGACTATTAATATCAGCCATCTCAGGGATGAGCTCTTTATTCACAGATTCTTGCTCCATGGCAAATGAGTTACATGCGATAAAATCAACAATTGAGCAGAAATAATGTGCTTGGTGCATGCTAAAGAATGCATAAGGTAATTTATAGAAAAGTGTGCAAAGATTCAGCCTTCATTCTCGAAAAAAAAAAGAGACTTCTAACAAGATGGCTGGCAAGCTATTTTGTATTTATACAAAAGCAGACTGAGAATTTTTTGTACACTCAAACAAAGTTCTTACCAGTAGTAGGAGGTGCAGTTGAAGGCAAAACAGGACGTAAATCTTCATTACATAAGTCTTCATTTTTGCAACATTTCACGGAAAGTAGTTTGGCATGCACATGATCTGGGGTGTTACACTGCATAAGTGCCTTCTCCTCTGATGGCAAACAGCCATAAGTGATAAACTCAACACCATCATCATCATTGTCCACTTCAATCTTTTTATAACACTGCCCATCTGTTGTGCATGTTTCATTGACGTGGTCTCCAGGGCAAGAATGTGTGGTACACTTGCATCTAATGCTACCAGTTTCTAAAAAAAGGAAATGCAATGTGAATAAAAATTTATCCTCACCACGAGAGGGCACAGTTAATCAACTACATCAATTAATTTTGGAACGTTATCCAGGGGCTTTCACCGTGGCAAGCTAGCCCCTCCATAGAACACCACCCTGACGGCTGGTTAATCTCTGCCACCAACAGGGTTGGAAAGTTACTGTTATCTCCAGTTGCCCCTGGAGCAACCACAAGACTTGTCCGTCCAAGTCAACCTCTTAGTCCAGTTCAATCCAAGAAAGTAAAACACTGAGGTTCATTCCCACCGAGCATTAGGTAATCTTTTACCAGGTTTGTAACACAATTGCATGATGGTTTTATAGGTCAAGTTCATAGTCGATTCTACATTAAACAGAGGCGACTAGTGCGATTGGCTGTAAAATTTTTGCTTCGCTTGCCATCTCAAATAACTCCTCTGTGCCCTGTGCTATTAGTTTTTAGTCTTTTTCGCTTTAAATAGCGGTAAGATTCAGAAAATGCAAATGTTTCTTTTCTTGTCTGTGGGCCCCAAATTCGGTCCCAGGCATTCCCAGCAGGGACGGTGAAAACTGGGGATAAGTGTCTCGGCATGATGAAAGCCATGCAGGGAAGATTAATGCGAAAGATATAGAGATTTTCCTGAACAAGTTGGTCCACGAATTCTATTGCTTCAAAGTGTTGATTACTTTGGAACTTGAAAAACAGAAGAGTCTTAGATGAGCAAAAATGATGGTGAGGCTGTGTAAACATTCATTGTATGCAAATGAGTCTTGTGATGAGCATTGGGTTTATTTTCGGCAATGATTGAAACGATTTAGATTACTGGACTGTCAATTAAAAAGGGCGTGAAAAACTAAAACCGAGGAAATCCTGTTTCCTGTAGGAAGCCACGCTGTTGCAAAGGCAAAGAGTTCAAATTTGAATTTAAATTCCCATAAATCGATGTTTTATCGCAGATTCACCTTGTGGTATGTAATGATAGATTTTCGCAGTTGTTAATCGATGTTAGACGTGAGGTCGCGTTGCACTTTACAAAATGAGAAATCAACGACTAAGCTAACCTTAAACTATTCATCACCTGTGTCACAGATGCATTACCGGTAGCTTTGTACCTAACGGTCATGCACTCTGCTTACAGGACTTCATTTCCAATAGAATCTACTAGTCTACAAACTGGAATTAGTGTATTACTTTTCTACTAGTTTGAGAGATGTGTTTTTATTTTAAATACTGATGTCTTTGTTGATGTTTCCTTGGTGTCATAGATTCCCAAGGTCTAGCCTCTTCGCTTCATATTGCCTTTGATTGTAGAAGATTCCTTGAAATTACAGTATACTATGATGATTGCATTTTTAGCAGCTTAGTATTCTCTTGATTTCGACGGATAACAACAGAACACAAGGCATGACAAGGAAACGTCACAAGAGAATTAAGAAGCAGAAGAAGGGCGTCCACAGTGTGGTGTTCCTTTCATTGCTAAAATTTAACTTCATCAAAAAATCATGTTTGAGCAATCTCATAGTTTTTATTGAGGCAAATAAATAAATAATAATTAATGGTTTGCAAATCGGTGCAAATTCTGTTACCCAACTGAAACATTACAATATTTTTCCAGTTTTAAAAAGGAAGGCTTTCGAAGTTTCTGACTATTATATACACTAAAGGCAGTCAATGGTTACTGTGTAACCTAGCTAGCTAGCATTTTTTTCCTCCTTCCGCACATAGTCCTTATGGCTTACACACCCATCAGACACACGCCCCTTAAGAATTAATTGCCTCCTCATTTCTTATCTTATCTCCAAGAATGGTCGAGTTGATGTTTTTAGAGCATCTGATTTCTTATCTAATCTCCAAACAAGTGAGACTTCAGGCTTTAAACAGCATTCCTGTTCACAATAAAATGTGCCTCACTTGTTTTGTTTTTTATCCCATCAAGGCGAAAACTGTTGCTACCTGTTTGGCTTTAAAATGTGGATTTATCTTTTGAAAACCATCTGCCATAACTACAAAACATAGCGTTTTCTTTCAGAACAAATTGCAGCCGTGATTGCGAAGTCCTCGCTTGGAAGTGTTATGCAAAAAGAACAGGGCATGGGAAGGAGACTCCCTCCTGCTCACCCCGTTCTTTCTTACACCCATTCAAAGAAATCCTCCATGAATCTTAAAATGTCTGATAACGCACACTTTTTTTTTAGCTTTCTAATTCTTACACCTCTAATCTGCTGTAGTTTCATCTGTTGTCATGGATTCCAAATTGAAGCAGTAGAGGAGGCTCGTACATTTTCTATTTTACAAGTAAACAGAGAATCACCAGGCTATGGGAGACAGACAGGGAAAAACATGGCGGCAATGTGGAGCACATCTCACAGTAGTGCATCCTGGACTATGTTTACATACATAAACTGCTGATTAATGCACAGGCTCATTCAAGCCAAACAATGTGTTCAGAGTACATTTTTTCCCGCATTTGTTTTGTGTTCAACTAACTTTTAGGTATCATGAACCCTTCCAAGGAAAAAAGCTGTCATGTTTATTTCTCTTTGGGGACTAATGCCTCAGCAGATTGGGTTGTCCAAGAGGCAACCAATGAGCACAAAACTAAAATCTTGACTGAGGGATTTTGTATTCACTGCTATGGTTTTGGGCTACCATTCTTTCTGACTGGCTAAAAACTAGAAGCAAAGGCAAAACATGCTGTAACTTAAACTGTCTATATCTGACAGTTAAGTTGTAAGTTGTGAAGAAAGGTTAAGTTGTGAATTTCCTTGGTCTCAAATGAATGACTAAGGTTGGAAAAAAAGCTTGAATGAACACTGGCTTAGTCTGAGAACAGATTTTACATGTACCTACAACATAGCTACATAATATAACATTACTAATAAAGAATCCACTGAACTGGCACTTATCATCCAACCCATACCACCTGTTTAAATTGCACTGACGATGCTACTTGATAAAGCACTAGTCAAGTTGTTATCCCTGATGAAGCTGATATACAGTGTAGAATTTAGTAATTAAACACTTAAAGTAAAACAGTTCCAATATCAACCTAGTAAGCATAACATAACTACCCCCCAAGCTATTACCCAAAGAACACTTACATACTAACCTGTATGTGTAATAAAAAGGAACCTTGGTATTTAAATTTACTATCTCGATGATAAATAAGTACATGTACACCAGTAAATAAGAATTGCAATATTTTATTGCTATATTATTGTAAGCATGCTAATCATTATTATTAATATTATTATCTATTATCATTATTATAAGTATTTTTAAAACTATTATTATTATCATTACTATTATTAGTGCATGAACATGCCAACAACCATACAACGATAGTCCAACATATATGTATACGTGTCAAGGTACAGTGTATATTACACTACACTATACTAATATCAATGGTTCCCCCACAAAGCATAAGAATCACCAGTAAACTAATTAAATGCAAACTCTTGTATAATTGTATTAACAAATGGACTAACATTAAGTTGTGGAAAATGAAAACAAGAAAAAAGGAATTTGGCATAATGGCTATGACTGTGATCAGAGTTTAACACAAATTACATTATTGTAAAGCCATAAGACATACGCTTACTGATAGATAACTACTGCAACATTATAATTCTTCAACACTATTATTTTAAACTCAAGTCAAGCAAGCAATATATTAATTTTGTCAATTAATGCATTCTTAGACTTCCAATAGCTTAACCCAACCCATAAAGATTGATCATCAAGTACCACCTGGACATAGAGTTTATTCTCTTTGAAAAAACAACTAAATCTGCAATTTTCTGTTTGCACTGATCTACAGAAATCATTTGTTTCAAGGCCTTATATTAAGAGTACATTGCTGTAAAAGGATGGTGAAGTTAGGAAGTTTAAAAGGGCAAGCTCTTTAAAAGGCATCTTTGTCTTATCATGACTTCCCCAACTATGGAGCAGAAAAGGCCATATGGCCATAAAGATTTTTATTGATACATTACCAGCAAAACTTATTTATCCAATTTACTGTAAGTACTGTTGGTTGAATGATCAAGATACAGTGCATTGTGAAGCAGAATATTTACTAAGTAACAATGTAGCAAAATAGCCACTCACCATTACATCAACCACCCTGAACAGTTATTACGCACAACTCCTAACAAGCATGTTCTAACTTAAAAGGCAAACTGTTTTACAGGTGTATTTATGTTTGTCTTGCCCCAACACATGGACCCAAAGTATACACGTTTCTAAACAGAACGATTTCATAAATAAGCCTACTAATACTTTGTTTCACTGTGAAAAAGAGCAGCTGTACAAATGAATATATAAATTATATCCCCAAGTCATTTAATTTCAAAGCTGCTTGAACTCTGTCCACAAAATTACACACCAGTTATGCTTTTCAAGTAACAAAACTAAATTCCACATAAACCTGATAAGGGCACATCAATATCTTAGTTTTTTATGAAAGAGCATTTTTTAAAACTCTGAATGAAATCTTATACTACAATAACATCTCTACATGTAACTTCTGCATTGAACAACACTGATCTGTCTCCAAAGATCTCATCTCTGAGAGGTTCTAAGGCTACCATCGTGGGAGGCTTGCATATTGGATGTACAATGATTCCATATTGTATAGTATTGCAGCAGTATTATTGCACATAAAAACACTGAACATCATGAATTTATGAACAGTCTTGATAAGTCAAAATTAACAACATAATATTTCACATCAAAAATATCAATCAGTTTTGCTGTGAGTGGCTGTTCAAGTTTTAAATTAAAGGTTATCCTTAAAAGAATTATATATTTTTCACTGTTACAGTGTATGTGTTTCTTTGAGGTACACTCATTTTTCAGATTTTCCAATTAGCACAAGGGCATTATACTTAAGATTACAAGAGGGTAGTCTAAAAACTCAGGGAGGCAAAGCAAGACGGATAACAATTTTAATTTTGCAATAACAAAGGTCAGTATTTGATCTTGATAAAACTAAGTGCGTTTTTACCTCTAAGGTACTGCCAATAATATTGAACAACTTCATGAGTTTGAAGAATGACCTAGTATTTAGTTTCAAACATGTAAACTATCATTTTCAAAGGCACCAAAATGGAACTGGAAAAAAAGACATACATTATTTTGCCACCAGCTGCCCCACATTTAATCTGTATAATTTTAATTCACTTTTGAATTAGTCTGTACAGAAGAGCTTACACTATTGTACACCAAAACAATAAGGTGTAGAGGACACATGGTATACAACACGCTAATTGGGAATGAGGCCAATATAATTGATTTAAACAATGCACCACTGTGTTATTTTGATAAAGTAAAGCAGAAACAATGCAAAAAAATTCAATAGCAAATATGGTTGATTAGTGGAGGAAATATACGGGTACATTACTGATTAGCTACTCTAACATGAAGTTAAGAGTTCAATATGATTATTTTCAAGGTTATGCTAATAATGGTATTTTCTAACTGGTAAAAATAATCTATATGGTTATCAGTTTTTAGGGAGTAATAAATAAATGAAACACCTGGCTTTACAATTATTTGACTTTAAAATATGTTGGAGAGTCCTGTTAGCTACAATTGAAGGTCTCCAAAGTGAGATAAGACAGATATAAATGAAACTTACATCGAAATAATTTTTGAAACACCATGGTCACTAAAAAATGAATATTGTACATTTATGTACTAGGGAAACCATAAGGCAGAATTTCCAGATTTCCTTTTTGGCGTGTATGATAATTATAATACTTATTAAAGAAATATGATTCACTTCTTTAATAACAACTTACGTTGTACTTTGAGAAGCGAAAGCTATTAATTAGAGATCAAGCTGTACTGTAATTCTACAAAAGATCAATGAACATAAAAGAAAATAGAAATGCAGACATGTATAGTTAAATGTACAGACACAATAACAAAAATACTACTTTATAATTGAAAACTTCGCCCAAATCTACGAGAAAACAGTAATTAGGGTTATAAGAAAAGAATCTAAGAGTTTTTTCTTTCAACCAAATTAAAACTCGTAACAACTTTGTCGTCCTTTTGCAAACTATAGACACTTTACAACAATTCATATTTGCTTAGAAAACTAACGATTAATCCATAATGCACTTAAAATTGTGAGAAAGCAAATACGAAGCAACTAAACAGTGCATGCTTCCTTTGCACAGTTTACTCGCAGTTCATGAGGAAGTTCCTTTTTCGCGAAGATGATCGGCGACGACAAGTGTGGGTACCAAATGACAAATGATATTTAGTTCCGAATCATTTCAAAACCAAAATTAAAGTGGAATGAAACGGTTATTTAATCGTTGTTTTTTAAATACTTAAAAAAAGGAAAATAAATTGTTCTATAAAAACGACTTTTTATAGCAAAAAACTGAAATTTCGACTCTTAGCAATTACGTCAAGTTCCAACGTTTACATAACATACGATTTTAACTCGCAGAAGACAAAGACGTGTTTGTATTTGCTCGTACGTTTTGAAAAAGTACTCTATTAACAGACTAAAAATTTCAATTTCTTATTGTCGGACAAAAGAACTACTCGAAGTAGTTAAAGGAGTTTTACGTTAAGTGATTTTCCTCCAGTGTTCGTTTAATACCGTGTTACAAACTGGCCACGCGTAAACTATAAGTTTTAGTTCAAAACAAAAGCACTTTTATAGGCGAGATTTAATTTGTAAAAGAACTAACAAGCTACTGTTTGAGGAAGAAAGATATAAAGCAAGGCAAAATGGATCAATTTGCTGTACACGAGAACGTGAGTAGGATGAATTTAACGATAACGATATTGTGGATGCAATATAATATGGTCACCAAAAGTCAAAATTTTATTCATCTTCCTGGCGTCCGGCAGCTTCCAGAGATCGAGGGACTACAGCCACAATGTCTGGGAGTTTCCACAAAAATGCGCTTAAAAAAATGAGCGATGAAAGTAATATAGTGCAACAGAGTCTCAATTTGCATGAAATTGTAGATCCGACTTGACGGATAGAGCAAGAAATAAACACGGTCATTACTATGTGAAGCTTTTAAAGAGAACACCCGATTTAACAAAAACGCGATATTATTAGCTGTACCACAAGATCATTAAAGCACCTTCACAAAAATTTAGTGCAAAGTGCATTTTCAGATGAACCAAAACTACTAATGCATGTGAACTTGCTACGCGAAAAACATCACCCCACAACACGAGGGCCGGAGCTGCCGTGTTTTGGCGCGCTTGCAGAAATAACTTCGTGGCTCGTATGATCTGCAAACCGGTATAAAACGTTATAAACGCTTCGAATTTTGCCAATTATTTTGATATCACCTTTTAAAAGCTATGTCGTGAAACATATCGACTAAATACGTTGCGTGGGGCAAACTAGAATGTATGATGCGTGTCCGCGTCGATTAACAACACTCGTTCAGCTGAACTTTTATGCGTTATGCCGATTACAATCCAATTTTCGCACCCAAACGATTCAACAAGAAGCTACATGCGATAGCTTTCGATACCAGATTAGATTTCCGAGCGAAAAAAAAAATCGCAGCGACTCTCAATAAGGTTTCCCGAGGCGTTTACAGACGAATGCGACTTCATGCCGCCTTGAAATAGAGCGGGTTCATATTTGTTCATGCTCCGAAGATTCACACCTTTCATGAAAGCACAAATCAAAAATTAATCACTTAAGACTGCTTACCCTGAGCCAGAAAGCAAAGAAAGATGAAGCAGCAAAGGTGAAATGCACTTGTGCCAGTTCGTGTCGCCATGTTGATCATCTGCGGCTTTTAAACGCAGCCATCCATTCGAGTTTGATTGAAAATATAATGGGCACAACACAAAATGTGACGTATTCTTGTGTACCCCCTACTGCGAAATCCTATGCAGAGCTTCTCGAAAAAGCGGCCTTGTTTGACAGTAGTATCGATAAATTTGAGTCCAAAATTTGCAACGCAAAAACAGTGTTAAGCGGTGCCGCCTGTTTGAGTCACAAAGTCGTCTGCTCTTGGGGGTCTGATATTTTCAAGGAATTTGACAGCTATGAGACGGCTAGTTATGTATTTACTTTGTAAAAGGAAATAGACCTTGCTGAGAACAATACCATACTAATCATTCCTTTGAAAAGAGCCAATCACAGATCAGATTAGCGACTTCTCACTGCAAAACAATACCGTGCTAAAAGAAAACGCTCTTTCAGTAAATGGAGTTCAGGGTTGTTTTTGGTTCATATAATTTTTCGCAGTATAGTGAGAGGAAGAAAAAGAGCGTCACCTTTGATAGAGACGTCGATGAAGGGAGCCAGCCAAGTGTTATGTCAATTTGGAATGTTAGTGCAATTTCCTCCACAACTGTAGAGGAAATATGGGCGAGAAGTCACCTGGAAACCATAAACGAGGAATGGACTATCGGATATTTTATTCTTTACATAGCATGTTATGATGGTTTCAGCGATTTCGCTTCTGTTTCCTTTATTTATCCTTCTTTATGTCAAGTTTACTGGAACCTTTTGAATTTTGGCGAAAACCAACTTAGCGAAACAAACCTGTGAGCTGTCTAATCGTGATACTCTCTTCAGTTTTTGTTGCTTGGTAATTGTAAGTGCTTTTTCATAGTGGTCAATTAGACTGGCACTGAAGAAGTCGAGCCGCGGAGTCTAAAGGAAATATTGAAAGAAACAAAAAAAAAAACTTTTATATTCTCCCAGCTGTACAGTCAGTCTTTGCTTTTTCTTTCTCGATTTTCCGGGATATAGATTGGTTTTTGAATAAAATACACAGAAGTCTCAGAGTTGGCCTGCGCTTATTGGAAACACTTTCTACGCAGGCTAGGCTATCTCAGAGTATTTCCTTAGTCCAGAGAGACCAGAGAACCCGTCTGTATTTTTGATACAATAATAACCATAGGCTCCCTAGGTACCGGATTTAGCTTAGCCGATTTGAGCCGAAACAAAAACAAGACGCCGTCTTGCAGACGAATCACAGAAAATGAGTACAGCTTTAATACCAGTCGAGTCAGAGAAGTGGTCAGTATTGCCTGGGCTTTCGATAATTGCTGTAGGCTCAAAAAGTCTCGATTTTTATAACTAAGATATTGGAAAATAATAATCAAAACCTAATTTTAACTCTTCGCTTTGTTTTTCTAACCAGTACCTGACCCGAAAATATGATAAAAGTCTTGCCCAGGTTTTTATAACTGTTGAAGAAATATTTTGGAAAAATCTGTTCGGAAGAATTTGAGATCTAAAACCTAATTTTTTAAAACTCTTCGCTTTGTTTTTCTAATTACCCATTTTTAACCTGACCCAAAAAAAATAGAATTTTCGGGAGCCTTTTCCTGGCTGAAATTTTCGAGAAGGTAAGTTTTTATCCCTATAATTTTCGGATAACTAGACTTTCAGCTAGGAAATCCGAACAGATGAAAAGATTTAGGGGATAAAAATATGCCTATATCTACCGTTTGAATACTAAAATACGTTCAACAACGCTATGTTAAGTGGTTTTGAACTATATCCTCGTTGGGTGCCCCTGAGAAATCAGGCAAACTAACCTGACATAAGGCGAATTTATTTGAAGCGCTTTCCATCCTTGTTTTCCTCAACCTAATAAGACACTAGGTACACAAATCAGCACTTCTGCAATAACTTACGATTAGGCTTTTAATCATTTACAGTTTTGTTTGTTTTAGCGGATTTGTTTCTTCATAAGCTGTTATTGCCAAAAATAAGATTTCTTTTAGTCTACTTTTGATGACTTTTAGTTCTTTACCTTGGTCAGCGTAACAAACGAAAGGAAATAACAATGGGCATACGGGCCAAAAGTTTTGCGACCACTTTCTCTGGTGCCTGCATGCCGCATCGCCGGAGGTGCCGGGCCACCGACATACTCGTAGTACGACTCGACAGTGAGAAAACGAAATTGCTAAAAACGAGACATCTAGAAAGCTCGAGAATTACAACTCATTTCTTGGCTTGACAGTTCGATCGAGCTATTCTACCAGTTTGAGAAGTGCTACAGAGGAAGAACTTGATGAGAGAGAAAATTAATAAATTTTACGTATACTCAGTATTGCAAGCCGGCTGCAGTCTTTCGCTTCAAGCAGAGGTCTCTCATTCGTAAACTGCAGTCTTATCCGCTTTCTTATTTTTATTTACATCAAGCATAAAACATTCTTTTTTCCTGCCTGCTTATTGAGCTTTTCTCCGGAAAAATAAATGATTACACCAAATGCCACGATTAACGAAGGCGTGGCTTAAGAGATCCGGTTTTTCTACGTGCTTGACCAAGAGCCATTTTGGCTCTTGGCATGACTTACTATGCGCATGCTTACAAGTAGTGTTCAGGGCTCCAGGCTCCACTCTTACCTCTCAAAGGAAAGGCTCTTTGACCCCAAATGCGCGATGGAGGGTGCTCCCTTGAAATGAAATTTAAGAAAAACGTCACTCGGGTTTCTTTCATTGACAATGAAGAAGAAAAACTGTGGTACAAAGCAGAGCAATTCAGCATATGCCAAATAAAAATTTAGGAAAAAATGACTGTAATAACAAAAATTGAAGACCTGATAACAGGGGATCTCGAATTTTGAAATCCTCCTTCAAAACATAGCATCAGATGTACTAGCTCATTATCTCGTGAAGAGTAAACCTGCATGTTTTTCAATTTTAGGCTGAACAGGTTAGCCTAACGGTCTCAAAAACTAGGTTTTACTTGCGAGTTTCCATTTTCTTTTATTTCAAAATTGGCACGGTGTTGCTCACTCGGAAATGAATTACCGCAGATAACTAGCATTAACTCGAGTGTGTTGTGTGGAGTCAGAACAGCTATTAACGGCCCAAAATACTCCCGCGATCCAATGTCAAAACAACCACAAAAGCTTGTGTCGCAGTATTTGAGGGAAGGGGCGGCTCTCTCTACAAATGGTATACATGACAAGCACAGCTGCGGTTATGATGATAGTCCTTTGCGGTGAACATGACCCCAGGCGTCGGAATCCAAAAGGTCGAACTAAACATTTCACACTCGAGGGCGTTTTTCCGACGCGGGTTGAGCTGTGCAGCTTATTTTTCCTGTTTCTGCTCTCCTGTGACCAGGAAAGAAGGGATTTTGTTTTTCAGTGTTTAGCCGATACGAAGGAAAGCTGAGGCAGGAACCAGAAAAAATAACAAAAGACCTTCTAGTTCTACTCTACTGTCGACAGCTTTCTTTTTTATCAATAAGTCTTGCTTACCGCTGATATTTCGCCGGGTTTTTGTAGTCTTGTTCAGAGTATCGCCTGCAAAAAAAAAAGCCTAAACAAATCAAAAGTTATTCCTTCTACGATTGAGACAGAGAGATTTTCTCATGGCAGCCTTAAAATCTTGGTTACCCCTCTTATAATATTCTCATGTAGCATAAAGAAACATTTTAACGCAAAAAAAAATACAGCTGAGATGAACGAAAAGTTTTTAAACATCAAAATTAAATCCTAAGATCCAAAAGTATGAAGAGCTTTCATTGAAATGGTCATAACATTCAATTCCTTGTTAAAAAGATAATTTAAAAATTTCCTCTTCTTTATACTTGATTCAGGCCCTTACAGGAAGCCTGCAATTTTTGTTGGATAACTGATGAAGTAAATGGCAAGGAATGCAAATCAAGTTTGATTAATTGTCAAATTGGTAAATGAAAGGGCTAGGTTTCGACTGCTCGAAGCAGTTTCTCCTTTAGTTACTTGCTGAGGACAGACTATCGAGTGGAGTGGAATAGAAGAGACCCGTTAAGTTTGTTAATTCTGCAAATTAACTAAATTTGTAAAACACAGAGCACCGCTATGGCGATCGCCAAATAGCCGCATAAAAACTGAAAAAGTAGTTAAAATCGCAGCTTGCAATTTGCCTGCACAATGCAAAGCTGAAGCAAAATATTGTTAAGTCCTTTTAAAACTGCAATTTTCAGAAAGGCAACACAAAAGAACCCCGGCAGAACGTAAAGTATGTAAGTCTCGCATCAACATGAGTTACAACGGACACGCTGAACAGAGTCTGGGGCATTTCGTATGAGGGGCCACTCTGTTGATACTAATATGATTTTGTCCACAGACCCTCCAGACCGTCTACACTGAGATAAGTTGCAACCAGTGCAATTGTCGCGAGAGGAGGCCCTACTCGCGATTATAACCTTTATTTCAAGAGGGTGACATCAGTTACTATGAAAAGTATTCTCTCTAGTGGTCCTCTAAAAACAAAATTAATAATAATAAATTACAACAATCATGATGATTAAAACAGCCTATGTACAAGTAGTGATTATAATAAAAGATCCTAAAAATTCTAGAGATTTAAAAAGAGATGTTATAAACGAATGTGAATAAATTAGTCACTGAAAAAGGGGAATCAATGATATAAACACCGAAATTTTAAAAATCAGAATAATAACTTTTTGATTTTAACATTGTCCACCGTATAGCCTGAGGCGGCGTTATTAGTCAGTGTAATCTCCATCAAGCTAAAGGAGGTGATTGGCTCTAGGTTAAGGACATTTAATTCTTTTATGGAGGAATAGAAGAATGTTTTCCTCATTGCTTCGGTTCTGGGCTTCGGTTAGCTTTCGGTTAGATCAAGCATAACACAATCTGCAAAGAGGCCTTTATCCAACCTCGTCCCCAGGGCTTTTCCCTTAAAAAGTGGGTGGGACGGGTTGCATATAAATTAGCTTCTCAGGAATATTTAGGCTGTACACGTGACCAGCCGATGCCAGGGCCTTTTCCCGCCCCACCCATTTTTTAAGGGAAAAGCCCTGGGGACGAGGTTGGCTTTTATCCACTGCTTCAAGCAACTCATCTTTAATTTTGATAAGGATGGTTTCCCTCTAAAACCCGATTAGCATTTGTACAGTAGATCGTGATTAGTG